ATATATATTTTTTTAATATATCACCTGAGATAAAAAAATACATACCATATATGCAAATAAGACAATTAAATCTTTATTATGCATATATATAAAATGAAACTAAAGATCAGATATTGTTATGACTTTTACCGCAAGATAGCAGCATTGTCGGGTTATTGATCATATAGTGGAGAGTGCGGAAATCTAACAGGCAGGTGAAAATTGCCTTAAATTGTGAAAATTATAAAACTTTCTAATAATCTTCACTTGCGACATGTCTACATGCGGCCACAGAGATGTTACTCATTAAACAGACAGACAGTTAATTCGGTCACAATTAAGTACCAAAGGTGGTGGCATTATTATTGATATACTAATTAAAGCAAACAAAGTATTGTCGTGCGGCATAAACACGCGATTTAAAAGGATTTTGCAAAAATGTGTGTTAGCACCATTTAAAGCACATGTTACGTGGAAAATCAGTCCCATTTTTCTAGTAAGTATAAAATATGCATGACACACGACATATTTAGATATATATATATATATATATACGACGAGATATTTACGATTGTTTAACCGGAAAATGTCTAAACCCGAAGAGAAAGGCATACTAACGGCACCAAATGTACAAATCTTACCGTATATGATATTATCACAGATAATTACTTGTAAGAGCAAAAAACGCACGCGCAATTCGCACAACCGTAATTTCTCACGTGTAACATCAGATGGCATTATATGTTTTACTTAACATCAAATATTAATTAAGATGCAACATAACTGATAAATAATGCTATTGTGAAACTGAAAAATAATTGTATTCCACGTAAAAAACTTATAAAATCGAAAACAATTAATTTACTTACAATTATGTAATCACATACTATAGTATTATCTTACTAGAAAAAATATATTATATATGTATATATATATATAAATACATATATATAAAGAAACGCGATAGTGCTCAAGATAAGCGCAACAAAGTGTGCGCGCACTACGCACGGTATTATATAATATAATAGGTAAATAAGTTTTTAGAATTAAAATTCATATATAATTTATAAGAGAAAAAAGATTTTTTAAAGTGCATCTAGAGATGTCTCTAGATATACTTTAGAAGTTTAAAAACATGTTGAAAACAATAAGAACCACTGCAATAAGACACTTCTTATCGCTAGACACGAAACTTTTTATTTCGATTTTTACTCGATAAAATATATAACCATTTATACAGTATATATAGTATTTTAGTTTCTAATTATTTTAATGTTATTTAATGTGCTTCATTGAACACAGATAATATTAATATTTATGCTGTTTTTTGGCAAATAAATACATCATGATAAAAATGTATATGCTAGAAAATTATGCTATGAGGAAAACAATCAGTGGTTTGATAAAAATGAAACTATTTTAAATTAAGACTAGGTTACAAATATACGTAGTTTCAAGCACGTTACATGGAAGAAACTAAATTATTAGAAAGTAGTCGGTTAAAAAACTAGAAATCTAGTCTGTTCTAGTCAACCAGTGACCGGAAAATCTTGATGAGAACGTGTAAAATTCTACACTCCTTCATTTAGTAAACAGTAAAAAAAATTCAATTGATTAAAAAAACTCTGCAATTACAAATTTTTATCAAAAACGCAAAATATAATGCAACTTTAATTTTCTCTTCGACATTACCTATCCTATCCAGTCTCTTACAGGAAATATATAAACGATTATATAAAACTCGAAACACGTCAGCGAGTAATCAGATATGTATACATGTATTTTTATAAAAAAAATATGTAAATATGCACATGAAAAAAATTGTTGTTACGTAGAAATTAAATGTTAGCATTTTATAAATTACCTTGAATATATTATGCTAGTATTTTGCTGTGTCAGTGTGTTGGTTGGGTTTGTAAGAACATAATAAATTGTTTATTGCATTTATGTTGTATCTGTGCAAAATAAATAGATGTTAATCATCGAGTAAGAAAGAGAGAGAGAGAGAAAGAGAGAGAGATTTAAAAAGTCCGCGAGTCCATTATCGGTGGCAATGGGAACATAACATACTTTATACTCGACGTGATGAATTGAAAGTTGCCAGACGCGTTCTTCCGAATTTAAAATGCGCTTCGTTCTAAAGTCGCGTCTCAATCATGCATCTTCTGAGAGATCTGCGCGCATCTTCGGTTACAGGATATCGAGCGTGGCGAAGGACGCTTTGTATTCGGAGTATCGTCTTCAGGTAACTCGCGGTCGGCGTCGGCGTCGACGTCGACGCCGGAATCGGCGTTGGCATCGACGCCGATATCGTCGAACGAGTCTACCATCGCCAACAGATATGATGTGAGGGCAACGGCCGGAGTGGGGCACCAAGTAAATGTGCCGAACGTGGTGGGCACGCTAGCCGACCAGAGTACGGAGCGCACGATCGCGAAGAAGAGAACTACGACGACAAGATCGGTGAGTGATTCCTCCGCGAGCAAAAGTCGCTGGAAAACTTTCGGCCGTTTTCTACGACACTTGACTCTTACTATGCTGCTTCTGGCGGCTGTTGCGGGCGCTCTGGCTCTCATACTGATTTATATGGGTCCGATCTATCTTGTGCAACTCCTTGTCGTGGTCTCCGTCGCCTACTTCGTCGCCGGTGGACGTCTACGATGGTTTTACATCGCGCTTAGAACAATTCCGCGAGATGTAAAGTGAGTATTTTTTTTTGTAAATAACATCAGACATGCGCGCAAATTTTACTTCTGCACTGTTATCTTCTGCACCGCTATCGCGCGAAATCAGTCAATTGTTTACTTAGTTAAGAAGAGAGCGATGTGACTTATTATGAAAGATTAAGATCTGCATAAGTGTGTGGTCTTACGTTGGTGTTCTTATTAGCTTTATTAGTCAAATATCTTCTGCTAAACAACTTACACATCAGTTTTCTAACTGTATACAAAATGTGTTTGATGTTACAAGTGGAGATTACTTTTGTACATATTTGCTCTCGTCACACAATAACATAATTATATATCACGAATACATATACATTATTCATGTAAAACATATTAATGTTTTTACGATTACGCAGTTAATATAAGAGAATAAGATTTAAAAAATTAACTTATTTTCTTTATATATATATATATATATATATATATATATATAAACTACATATATATAAATTATACATGTAAACTTTTTTATTATTAATAACAAAAACAAATCTTAGAGAATTTATTCTTATTTTTTGAAAAAACAATAACGGACATCGCTAATAATTATTGATCATTGATTTGTGCAATCCAACCGGATGAAAAAACAATTCTTTTATTTGAATACAGAGACTCGAATACGAATGTAAATTGCGTGAGCATAAAGAAAATATTTGAACTTTGCGCTTTTACTTTTTAAAGCGTTTTTTCTTTACCAGCCATATTGAATTTCCATAATTGGAGACTGTCATCTATGAGTAAATAATTATCTACAAAGAAACAATTTATTTTCAATATTATAAACAAATTTTACTCAAAATACACACACATTAATAATACTGTCACGAGTTCAAATCATTTCTTGCTACATTCTATTTCTCTCACAAAAATTGAAATTCTTAAATCATTAACTTACAATAATTGACCTCGAAATTAAACAAGAAAAGAATGTGTGCATGCGTGTCTCGTAACGAACACGATTATGAACACGTATTAGATATCACAATAATCGCCAATTATATGTTGTTTTTCCTTATGAACACTATATAAGAAACTGTGAAATAACTTAGCTTTTTAAATTACTTTGTTACGTAAGAAAAAGTTAACCTATAAAACAAATAAACTCTATTTCCAAAATAAAACCATCGGAAATATCATTTTAAGTAAAAATTTATTTTAAAAAGTTATTAGTATAAAAACAAAGTTTGTATTCTGTGTGTGAGATAGATTTTGTTTAGGTGTTTGAATCTTCGACGTTTACGTTCGCGTATGTTATAGCATCCACAGTAACTTGATCTTACGTTGATGATTTTTCGTTCTTTTATGTTTGCGGCCGTGATTGTCATTGATCATGACCACGAATATAGTATAGATATTACACCGCGATCAGAACCGAAGCCATGACTGTGGTGGGACTGACTTTTATCAAGATCTAGGTCATTATATCACACACAGTCATAAACCGTACTTCGATGTGTATTAAATGATTTGTTTTTTCTTTTTGGAACAAAAAAAATTTAAACAATTTTGTCTGAATAGATAATTTAAAAAGTCAACATAATCAGAAATTAAACACAGACGAGACTGATTTAAACTCATGTCCTTCGAGACGGAGGGAGAGAGAAAAAAATTAACAAAAACAATTGAATAAATTGAGAACTGTAAAAGAATTATTGGTGAAAAAAAAATTGATGCAATACGAAACAAAATATTCTCTTTTTTGTGCTAGCCTTGAGGAGAAAACATTTTTATTATTTTATCTTTTGTTCCGCACTGAAGCTGAGCGAATGCAACATTCTTTCTCGTGTTGACCTCGAGAAAGAATAACGGAATTTCGTGGTTTTCCTTAGTCTTTATAATATAAATACGCAAAATAAGAGGTTTATTTTTTGTGTGACTCTACTGTTACTTAAATTTAGAAAATATTCGAAAAACAATACATTGAGATAATTCTTGGAAACAATTTATATTTTTGCTATATATTTGAATGAAATTTTTTTATTCTTTATAAAATATTATCCTTTTACTTATTCTTCAAATATTGTTAAACTGATATAATAAATATTCGCAAAAAATATACATTTTAAGAATATGCAGTTTAGCACAATTGATAATATGGAATAAGATTTTTTACATTTAATAAAGTTTTAAGAATATGCATATTTAATCCATAGTTTTAAATATTTATGCTCTTATATTTAGAAATCTTATATGTGTATAGCATATTTAATAGAGTGTACATGGAACTTTTTTTTTCAGAGGACTCATTGGATATGTTAGAATGCTAATGTCAATACGCGGCCATCAAAAGAAAGACAGAAGTGTTGCCGATGTATTTAGACAGTATGTGAATCATTATCCAAACAAAATTTGTCTAATATTTGAAGATCAGAAATGGACTTTTCAACAGGTAAAAAATGTGTTTTTTTTTTACATTAACTCAGTTTAAAATATCTTTCTTTTAGTAAAGATCTAATTCTCTCTTTCTCTTTCTCTTCCTTTCCTTCTCTTTCTCTACAACTATAATAATTTATATAAATAAATGTATATAAATTGATGAGAGACTCTTGCACATATATTACGTTGTGAGCTTTATAAACTTAATTTGAAATTTATTCTTTACTGTTCTAGAAGTTATTATTTATAACATTTGGACACACATATAATGCGATATTATATATTTTAATTATGTACAATATACATGCAATTAACTTATGAAGAAAATACACAAAGTGCGGTAAAGTTTATCAAATGTGTTTTTAATTCTCACTTTATTATACAATGTGTGTATAATAATGTCCCACAATTCGTGACCTCGATTTTAATGATCTATTCTTGTTCAATTTGCAGTCGGCTCTTTCTCACGCGACATCATCTATAGATATCGCATTGTAATTGTGATTCCATTTTTTTTCACAGATGGAGGACTTCAGTAACAAAATTGCAAAAATATTTCAATCGCACGGTTACAAGAAGGGAGATGTGATTGCATTGTTATTGGAAAATCGACCGGAATTCGTTGGGATTTGGCTTGGTTTAAGCAAGCTCGGCGTTGTAACATCTCTGATTAATACCAATCTTCGTAAAACTAGTCTACTACATAGTATCAACGTAGCGAACTGTCAGGCGCTCATATACAGCGTAGAATTGTTTGACGGTACAAATATTATATTTATCTAATAGTTATTATTTTACACAACACTCGAGATATTAGAAATGTATTCATAAGATCGCGATGTTTTTCTAACAATCCTAGTAGAAATGTATTCTAATTTTTTGTTAATTATGAATATTTCAACAATATTATATATGTATATATATATTTGTACGTATAATTTCAGCTGTAACAGACATCGCCGCGTCCTTTGATGCCAAATTGGCACTATATAGATTCGGAAGTCATCCGAATATAACACCAATCGGTTTAAAAGAAAAGGACTTGAACCTTCTCTTGACGGATACATCTGCTGCGCCACCCGATATAAAAGAGAAAGGATGTTATAATGATACGTTGGTGTATATTTACACAAGCGGGACAACAGGACTTCCCAAGCCAGCCGTAATTACAAATTCAAGGTACTACTTTGTCAATATATGCTGCAAAGTATAAATCTTTTTTTTTGATATAATAATATTATTTACGATTTTTTGAAAACATCATGTAACAGATTATTTTTTTTTTTTTTTTTTTTTTAGATTTATGTTTATAGCAGGTGCTGTTCATTTTCTGGGAATTTTGCGTAATTCGGATGTTGTGTACACACCATTGCCGTTGTATCACACAGCTGGTGGTGTTATGGCGGTGGGTCAAGCTTTGTTGCACGGTAACACAACAGTAATAAGAAAAAAATTTTCGGCTAGCTTGTACTTCAGCGATTGCATAAAATACAAGTGCACTGTGAGTATAATAAATTCTATATTTTAAATCAGTTACAAAAACACCTATTTGATCTGGTCTTTTGTATTAATTTCTTCTACTAAAGTAAAATTGTACTATCAACATTTATGTTTTTGATGAAAATTTTGGAAAATATCAGGTCGCTCAATACATAGGCGAAATGTGTCGATACATATTGGCGGTACCGCAGAAAAAAGAAGATACCGAGCATAACGTTAGAATGATATTCGGAAATGGATTACGACCGCAAATTTGGGAGGAATTTGTCAAGAGATTCAATATCAGAAAAGTTCTTGAGTTTTATGGCGCAACCGAGGGCAATGCTAATATCAGTATGTAATGTTCTATTCATAGTGTTTTTATGATACACGTATACATGCATACACGTGCGCATATATGTATATGTATATATTTAAATATACATATACCTTTTATTTTTATTTATTATCGAGGAGTTGTATGTGCGTTTTAAAAATGTGATAGAAGAACATTATTGAGAACATTACAAAAAGTTTTTTTTTTCCAGTGAATGTTGATAATAAAATTGGGGCAGTGGGATTTCTCTCAAGAATTATTCCATCGGTTTATCCGATATCTATTATCAAAGTGAACGAAGACGGAGAACCAATACGCGACTCTAAAGGATTATGTCAAGTTTGCGAGCCAAGTAAGCTACTAATATGCAATAAGAAGCTAGCACATTATTATTGTTCTACAGATTTTAAATGTTGCAATAATTCTCAAATTAAACCTAATATATTTTTCAATAGATGAGCCTGGAGTGTTTATAGGAAAAATTGAATCAAATAATCCCGCGAGAGCATTTTTGGGATATGTTGATCAAAAAGCATCTGACAAGAAAATTGTTCGCGATGTTTTCAAAAAAGGTGATTCCGCGTTTTTGTCAGGTATGTACAAATATTTCATATTTACATTATATTCACTTTATATGTGCTTTAAACTACAAAAGTTTTAATCCGTGTTTAAACTTGTGAAAGATTAAAAATAAAATTTGTTCAGGACCGATGCGAGCTAACGTTGCAGAATTTTAAAGTAAATATTCTTGATTATATAAGCAATGACAAACGTTTCGATTTGATTTTGGATCTTCTTCGATGACATATAATTCTAAACAATGTTCAAAATGTGCAAATATTTGTAAATTCAAGATCACGATTTGTTTCTCCTTAATATATCTATGTTTAACATCTGCAAAACAGTTATATTTAGTCTTCTTTTTTTTCATTTATAAATTAGTTTATGTTTGTTCACATTCTACACTAAAAAATGTAATTTAATTTATGTTAGCAGTAAGTAAATTTTGTTGCAAAACATATATTTATCGACTTAAATTAATTAGGAGACATTGTGGTTGCTGATGAACTGGGTTACTTGTATTTCAAGGACAGAACGGGCGATACGTTCCGATGGAAAGGAGAAAATGTTTCGACTTCTGAAATTGAAGCGATAGTCAGCAATCTTATCAATTATCGAGACTGTATTGTATACGGAGTTGAGGTAATAATAATACGCATACAATGATGTATTTTTTTCAATGAAGTTTTGTTCTGTTAAGAAATCTAATGCGAAAACGCAATCTTTGACAATAAATGTGCACTAAACTTAAGAAACCGAATAGATAATTATTTTGATATAGATTCGAGGTAACGAAGGTAGAGCGGGAATGGCTGCTATTTACGATGAAGACGGGACACTTGATGTGAACAAATTAGCTTCTGATATTCAGGAACAGTTACCCGCCTATGCTAGGCCACAATTTGTTAGAATTCTGACAAAGATTGATCTCACAGGTACATTTTTACAAATAAATACATTTATATCTTTAGTGTGGAACAAATGCTATGTGAAATTTAATTGCTAAACAACTACTATATTTTGCTTTAAAAATAGAATAACAAAATCAAAACATATTACATGTAGAAATTTGGAAAATATACACAAGTGTCTCTCTATTTTCTCTCTTTTTCTCATTATTATTGATTTACAGGAACGTTTAAACTGAAGAAGAAAGATCTACAAGAAGAAGGATACAATCCTTCTAAAGTAAAAGACAAACTCTATTATTTTAATGCTAAGCTTGGATATCAACCATTGACGCCAGAAGTTTACAACGAGATTCAAGAAGGAAAACTTAAGTTCTAAAACCTCAACTTTTTATAAATGAAATGAATGAGAGAAGTTTACTGAGATGACAAAAAGACTATAATATTGTCAGCAGCTGTAGGCAGTATATTAGTATAAATACGTTAACTTATTATGTTTTAAGCAAATTTGTCATCAAGATAAAGTAAATAACGCAACAAAGGTGTGGTGAAAATAGAACATATACACATATAATGCAAAATATGTACAAAAGAAGTTAGACAGTTGAACAACACAATTCAAATTACTTATTTTTTTTTTAATTTATTTTCTATGATAAGCCTTTTTAAGTCTTCACAGTTTATATATTATATATTTTATATAAATATATATACATATATATATATATATATTTTATAAATCTTATTTAATTAACTGGTAAATGTGACTGTCTGTCTTCTCTGAATCACTCATTTCCAAATTGTAATATTTGTTTTTTGTATTGTACTCTTCCGCTCTCTTCCCTTTCGCATATAATATTTGTACCATTTTATAAAAGAAAGATATTTGAAAATGTATAATAAATTGTTACATGATTGTTATATAAAATACAAATGTGATTCTATGTTTACTTTATTCCGCGGTTGAAATTTTAAAACCTCTTTTGTTCCACAAAACACGTATTATATAATTTTCAATTCCTCATGTTAAGACAAATAATTTTTTATTTATAAAAACAATTTATGATCTAAGGAGATGTACTCACCAGGCTGATACGCTCAATCTCGCACCGTGCGCGGCCAATTATCGCACCGTCCGAAGTTTGGATGCTGCTTGCTACCATCTTGATTGTTTTTCACAGTCACATTGTTGCACAAATCGTACAATAAAGAACCGTTCGCATTCACATTGTTCTTCATTTTCACTGTTTTTTCGAATGCACAATCGCCGCGCTAACGCGCGCGTATGACATTTTCTCGCGCGCGACTTTGACATATAATTTAACCGATACTTCGATACTTCGCCGATTACTAGCGCGAGTGCGGAAGACTACTAGTTACGCAACACTTAACGAACCGATACTTTGCGGTACACGCGTATATTACAGAGATATACTTACGTGCAAGATAATAATCGCAAGAAATGCAGGACAGCTTGTACGTTCTGAACTTTTGCCTCCGTCACTGCCCATGACTGCCCGCCAATTCGAGTGTATCGAAACGCGCGATATTTCGATTCTCGAAATATCGAACCGTAGAGCGCGCGCGCGCACAAAGCCGCCAATTTTCGATTCGCACGTGGGAATTTTTTAAGAAAAGGAGACATTCCAAAAGTCTTTCTTCATAGCACATTGATTATATTTGATCGTGTAATATCAATTAACATGTAATAAGTCTGTTACCATGTGGAACAAAAGATAAAACACTGTGATATTTTTTTATTATCGCTGTTTCACTTTTCTGTTTTATTTTTCTAACACTTGGGTGACGGAGGCGCTGATAATTTTCTTTACAACACGAAAATTTCGGTACTAATGGTTTATGATAACTTTTATGATTTTTTTTTTTTTAATTTTCCGAGCGGCTGACAACTTATGTGATTTGAAAAGAATTCAACCGTCCTAACCTATTCTAACTTAACCTCACTTATTCTGGCGTAAAGTCAGAGCGTAGTAGTCGTGGTGATAAACACAACGCGCTCCGAGGACACAAATTGTATTTTTCCATTTTTCCAACACCTGTTAACGGCACGTAATATCTCTCAATTCGGAACAGACGTATAATAATTCAAAGAAAACGAAAAAGTTTTAATTTAACTGTTATAAAAAATACAAAATGAGAGAAACATTGCACCGTGTGTTATTTACGTGATATGTTGTGCCGAAAAATGTGATGGTGTGATAATTTGCTTATACTATTTCATTTTTTTTTAAGCAGAAGATAATGACTGTGTAAACGTGTGAAGAGCATATATACATAGAATTGTGTTATACCAAACATGTTTTTGATATAAACTTGATGTATAAATTTACACAACGATATATAACTTATATCTGCAGCAATATATGTTGTAATATAACATAAAATAACATTATATTATTGTGCAACATTATATTTATTCTTAAAGAAAACTGTCTTGTATATAAAAAATATGAGTGCTGACGAGAGACTTGTTACTGAAGTGCCCAGTAGCTTAAAGCAATTGGCACGCCTTGTTGTGCGTGGATTTTATACAATAGAGGATGCCTTAATTGTGGACATGCTTGTTAGAAATCCATGTAAGGTTTTTTACATACATGTCAATATATATAAGCTTTTCAAAATCAAAATAATTTTTTCCTACTGATATATATTGCACATTTTATTATTTATAACATAGGTATGAAAGAAGATGATATCTGTGAGTTGTTGAAGTTTGAACGAAAAATGTTAAGAGCCAGAATAACAACATTACGAAATGATAAGTTCATTCAAGTGAGATTGAAAATGGAAACAGGCTCAGATGGCAAAGCACAAAAAGTCAATTATTACTTTATTAATTATAAAGTATGTAGCTTGATTACAAGTTTCTTTCTAACTTAATAAGAAAAACAAGAAGAGTAAATAAAAACATCAATATTTTTGTTCTAGACATTTGTAAATGTAGTTAAATACAAACTTGATTTAATGAGAAAGAGAATGGAAACTGAGGAGAGAGATGCAACCAGCAGAGCTAGTTTTAAATGTCTAAGTTGTTTAAAAACATTTACTGATCTTGAGGTAGAGATAATATAATTAATATAATTAATAAAATTAAGTAAAGCATAAATAAAATTTTGTCAAATTGTTTCTACAGGCGGATCAACTTTTTGATCCTAGAACGGATGAATTTAGGTGTACATATTGTCACGAATTAGTAGAAGAAGATCAATCTGCTCTCCCAAAGATAGATTCTAGATTATTATTAGCAAAATTCAATGAACAGATGGAACCTTTGTATATATTACTAAGAGAAGTTGAAGGAATTAAATTGGCACCTGAAATATTGGAACCAGAGCCTGTTGATATTAATGTTATTCGGGGGTGAGTACTTTTAAAAATAATTTTGAAATGGCAATTTTTGAACCACTAACTCAAATTTGTTCAATGATATTGTTTTATTTAATATTAAATCTTAAAATTAAATTAAAAAATGCATTAAATTTTAAAATAGGTTTTTATTTTATATTTTTTTACGTTATATATAAATTAAAAATGTTTTATCTATTAAAAAACTTTTTTTATTTAATTATTTTCGATAGCATCGACACAAAAAAACCAAGTAATCTCAGAGCACCTAACGAACAATGGTCTGGTGAAGCTACAAGAACGTCAGGCTTTTTGGTGGAAGACACTAGAGTCGATGTTACTATTGGAGACGAGTCTTCTGAGGATAACGCAAATCACAGAAAGGAGAGACCCATATGGATGATGGAAAGCACAATTATTAATTCTGACGGTTTACAGGTATTTGTTTATTGTCATATTTTCCCTTGAACTCTTTACGAGTTCTTTCTTCATGTCTTAAATATTACTTCGCAGCCTGACGGTGTGAATACACAAGAGAACATTTTGGACAAAGCCGCTGCAACTGCCACAAATACAACCACAACGAACAACAAGCAGGGTGAGGATATTATGTCGGTGCTGCTAGCTCACGAAAAGAAAGGCGGCACCAATTCCACCACGTCTATCAAAGCGGCGCTTCCACAAGAATCCAGCGATAGCAGCGATAACGAGGAAGACGCGGAAATGCAAATCATCGATGCCGGTTTGAAAAATTTTTTATGCATTACATATTTTGAAATTGAGATAATTGTTCAAGCGTAGAGAGTAATATAAAATCAACAAAAAAAAATACAAAAAATGATCGCGCATATCTGAGAAGCGTGTACATAAGAAACACAATTTTTCTGCTTCTTAGTTTTTTTTGTATCTGTCTTTAAATTTGTCAAAAAATTACTCTATTTTGTTTCTTATAATTCAAATAATATTGTTCATGTATCTTTATCCATCGATTCTCTAGGTGAAGTAGATGCAATGGATTCTGAAGACGACGAACTCACACCGACTGTCAGCGTCGGCGGCAAAACTGTTGTCATCACCGACGTTAACGACACCCTGATCGCGGAGATGACGCCTCTAGAGAAGGAAGCTTACATTCAAACGTACCAGGAATATTATTCACATATGTACGATTAAACAACAACGTGCCGTCTTCGCAGTCCTCTGCACAAGACTGATGTCAATGTGGTATTTCCTTTGGTTTTCTGTAATATTTTTTTGCGTAAGAAAATATATAATTTTCTTCATAATAATCTTTTTAATAACTTGGTTATTCTCTTGCTTGCGTATTCTTTTTATTGAAAAATAGAGCATGTGTTCATCACGCATGCATATTCACATCTTGAAGAATTGTGACTGGTGATATTTAAAAAGAAAAAAGACAAAGGTGCATTTTTATAGTTCCATATATATTTTCTAATATATATAATTGCAACTGAACAATATCGTCACTCAACAGTTCTTAAGAGATAAACAAAGAATTCAACGCAGAGAATACGATAAAATATAATAAATTAAAATAAATAACATATACTTTGTCACTTCTGGTAATACGGGAAATTTTCAAAACTTAATCACAAACATCAATTATTCATTAAGCTCACTTGATACTTTTTTTTTTTTTTTTTTTGGTTCGTCTCACAGTGAATTTCTGTCCGACCACCACTATCGCACGGAAATTCCGAGACGAGTTTTATTTAAAGTTATTTTTTCGCTTTTTTTGTATTTTTTTTTATAAATTATTTTGGTGTGGTTTTATATATAATATTATTTTATATAATATTATATAATTAAAATCTGAAAATTTTTTTATCTATTGTTTTCTTGATACAGTTTATTCCACCAGAAATCTTGTCAAAAGAATCCTTTAAGAATGTTAGAAATATATTATTTAAAAAATTAAAATTTAATTTTAAGAGCGTTTAAGATAATTTAGAATCGTTTTATTATAATATCTGTATTTACATGAAGGTAAATTCGAGATTGTCGAGACAAAGAAAAATTCATTACAAGTATTATTAGGATTCTTTTGAGATAATTAACTGTGCGAAAAGCACCGATTTTGAGTTTATTCCGGTTCATTCAAGCGCAAACGAGCGAAATCTTCGAACACGATGTTATCATCGTCATCGTTGGCGTAGCAAGAGTTCTCGTATTTTGCTCTTTCAGTGCTCTTGCTCTTCTTCAACGTAGCCTTTTCTTTTTCATTAGCATCTGTATGACAAAAAAATTGTGTTTGATTAAATTCAAATTTCAAACTTTTAAAATTTAAATATTTGTCACGACTAAGAAAAAAACAAATATCTAGTTTTTGTGAAAAATAGTTTTACATACAGCAAAACTGTTAATGTGCGTATGATTACGGCATGTGTGCACGCACGCACGCGCGCGTGAATACGTATAAAAATATCGTGATTAACGTACTAGGGGCTGGATGCATCAGTTTGAATGGAACATCGGTGATCAGCTCGCCGCCTAGTGTACCGCAGTTAACTTTGACTCGAACAGAGTAAGAAATCACGATACCCATGGCTTCAGCCGGACACTTACCCTCGGTGACTAGAGTTGAAGATGCAAGATTTACGTCATCGTCCTGAAGCAAAAACAAAACAGGAAAATCAAAACAAATTATCACAATTATCGATTATCGCGACAAAAGTAATTAAATGTGTTATTTTTTCCACAACAAATGATGGAGTTATTAGATATTATATATATATATATAATAATATTTATAAGAATTATATTTTAATATTGTAGCAATTTAAAAGAGTTATATATTTTGAAAACGTGGTTTTTTTTTTACTCATGTTGCTTTACGCACTTTGAGATGTCCGTCGAGAGCGATGCCATGCCGATCTTTGTTGCTGCTGGCCAAAGGCACAAGATAGAATTGTTTCGTGAAAGATGCGCCTGGTGTGATCGGGCAGCCTTCGCGTGTCTCTAAACTAGCTACATGCCGCGAAAATTGGGTGTTTACCATTGTCACTTCGCAGTGTTGTACCACGAACATCTGTGAAAAAAAAACACCACATTATGTAATCAAAAAAACCAAACAGAAATAATTTTTGACACAAATATATTTAAAACTTTTTAGAGCATGTACCTTGATATTCTTAACCGCTTTACGCGAATTGTTTGTGATAATGACGTTCGCCGCAATTTTCTCGCCATGATAGTAGAGCTCCTTATCCAGTGTGACTTCCAAATTCAATTTACCTTGCGAGAAGGTAAATCCTTTGGAAACCAAAGAGCTGGGAAGTCTTCGGCCTCGCGACGGCGGAGCGTACTGTAGTTTTTTGATAGCTAACGCTACAGAGGACCTTTTGTGTCCCTGATAATGAAAAAAAAAAAAATATATAGAATATCTATGACAAAATTTCAGTTTTTAAATTTTACACACACATTAAGTTTGATATTTCTTAAATACCTTGTCTTCTTCGCTTTCGCCAACGAATACTTTCACGGTGTACTCGACTCCCAATGGTTTTCCTTGGTCGTCGTCGCCAGGTTGTAGAGTGACCGAGCAAGGAGCTGTTTGCGGGAATTGGAATATGAACGGATATGCGTTCGGACCCAGGCGCTTTAGCAAGCGCTCCTGAATCGGTGTAGTTTCCTGCTTTTCTTTCTTCAGTGGTACTAATTGACCGCTTGCTACTGTCAGTTCCTTGCTGAATTTGACTCCCATAACTTCGTCTTCTTCTCGGCCATAGCGGTAGGTTGTGATGACCTAAACAGATCGGATTTTTACGTTACAACGTTATTCATCGACAGAAAAAAGATATCTCTTCAAAGTTACTTTAAGACGCGTGGGAAAACAGTTTACCTGACCGAAGACTTTGCGCCCCTGAAGATAGTCATTTTCGACAACGATAACGCCGTCGATGGGATCGGTGTGGTCTAGATGATCGATGAAGTCTCTTTTGCCCAAGTAGACCGTAACTTTCCCTGAGTAAGAGGTGTAAATGTAATTTTTTTTTTTTTGAAGTTTCTTCTTTGCATCAAAAGAAATATATGACTTTGCTTGAAGAAAACTTAAGGGAATGGAATTATAAATAAAAACTCACCATTAGGGGTGGTCTTCTTGAATACTTTGATGGCTGCAACGGCGATCAAAAACAGGAACGGGAGCATCTGTGCACTTTGTTTTTTTCTAACCGGACGTGTGAGATTTAGCAGAGAAATTTATTTCCCGCCCAGAAGTGACACATTCCTAACAGTGGGATCGCATATTCATATAGTCTCGCCGGGGCTTCATCTTGCTTTGAAGCCGTACTGGCTAATTGGATCACCTTGTTACAGAACTGATGGACGCTTTAAGCGGATTGTGCGAGTTATGACGCACCAGAGAACCATCGTATGCATTTTCCGTGTGCTTTACTCATCGTCAGTAAGTCATGAACACTCAACAAACATCAATAATGGTGTTGATAACAATATTTATACATGTATATATTACAGTACAAAATATTATAAAAAAAAATAATAAAATGAAATTTTATATACATGTAACTTAAGAAAAATGTTTATGTATTTTTCTCCAACAATCTCATGCGCGAAAGAGACGCAACTGCAAAGCAAATAGTGCGACAACAGTGAGTATAAAAAAATCATATATAAATGTAATAAAAACTTTTACATGAAGTGGAAATAAAAAAGAAGAATATATACATATACTTCTCGTTCAGTCTTAAGAGAGTTTATTTTTATTTTGATAATAGATATTTATACAATACAATATAGAGGTATTTCTTGTAGTCGAAACAAAAACGCGAAATTTTCGAACGATCGCTATTTTCACGGTTGTTCTTAATAATATATCGATATCTATCGCGATCTTCCAGTAGATATTATTATTATTATTATTATTATTATTATTATTATTATTTTTGTTGTTATTATTATTATTATTACATTTCGCGTTAACAATTAAACTCGCTTATGTTTCTTCGCAATTCATTTCTTTCTTTCGTCTTTACATTGTGTGGTTGCTCGATGTAACATTATATACATATTTCTTCTTCTTCTGTATGTGTGTGTGTGTGTATATGCGTGTGTACATGTGTATGGGCATGAACACCATCGGTATACGATGCTCCCAAAAATATCGTGGTAACTGAGAAACACTTTCTTTCTTTTTTTCCGCAATATGAAAAAGGCAGTAGTAAATTCGAATGCCCCTTCGAATACATACGAGATATCGCTTTCTCTCGACAATCATATAGGCATGATCAATTGAAGATCGAGATTTTTTTTTCTTTTTTTTTTCTTTTTTTTTTTTTTACATTGTGCTTATGAGAACACATGACAAACAGTTTCCTCGATACTTCTCTAAATGCTTCTCTCCTCCCATTTATTTCGAAACCAAAAATCTTCACGCTAAAGAAAAAACGCGAAAACGCGTTGACAGCTGTGAAGAGAGTCGCAAGAGATATTAATTTTTTTTATTCCAATAATAATAATAAAAAAAAAAGAAAACTAAAAAATTATCGCTCGGAGGAGGATCTCCTACAACGTATAATAAGAATCGCTATGAATTAGAAAAAAAGTTCTACGACGATGATAACAGTAAATAATATACATTATAACGTAGTAGTAATAAGAATAGTGTGATATATATATATATATGTATAAACATATCTAATAATAGGCACAGTTAAAGAGTATGGTACATATAGTTATATTCATTACTCAGCACTTTTATTATAACTACAGAAATTCGTTGCTACCAGGGAACAGAAATGCTGGCGAAATTTTATGAAATCTTTATTCCAAACTTATGTTTCGTACAATACCTACTATAGTCTACAATATCGTCCCGACACTTTCACAGCTCCTAACATTTATAATAAATGAGATCGGTTTTTTCACAAAGAATTTTTTTTATAAAAAAGAAGAAAAAAACAACAACAAAAATCAAAACGACGGCGAGAAATAAATTTATAAGAATTTTACAATTAATCATAGGTTGCTGTAGAGCGACAAAGTACAACCAAACAAAAATCTCTCAAAAGTGGATAAAAATTGAAATCCAAAACGAATTCGCAATATACTCCAAAAGTTTAAGCTAATGTATCTCTCTATAAAGTTCTCACTTTTTTACAAATAATTTGTAACGCTATTCCTTAGATTTACGCAATCGTACATCAGAAGTTAAATCTCTCTTTTCCTTGCAAAACAGTTAGAGAATGGCAATCCTTTTTACTCTTATCTTTTCCTACATACATTATCTTCTCTGTCTTAAATTTTGCAAAATATGTTGTAAATTTGCGCTGAAAGCATTGGTTGCCATGTACATTTTGAGCAATATTTTAAATTGTCGCAGTCAAAAAACAAATATTAAGAATTTATTGGAGTAGCTTCGTTTAGACATTCGGTTCAATGTTTGAGTTGAAACATTTGTGAAATCTAACAATTTTCCTTATGTTATATAGTGTCCGCGAAATGAGCTAAGAAGAAAATATATATATCTGTGTGTGACAAACTAGAAGAAAAATTTCGCAGCTCTCTCTCTCTCTCTCACTCTTTCTCTCTTTCGCTCACTCTTTTTCTCTCACTCTCTCTTTTGTTTTTTCTCAAGCCTCCTACTAATCTTGCACCTGTGTACATGTATCATACTTTTAACCGTAATAACATTTGTACATAAGTAGGATCAGTTCCCTGATACCAGCGTACTTCTAATGTCGAACAGTACAAATATTGTTAGTCTCGAAAGTATACATGGTAGATTTTCGTAGTACGTTCACCGCGAACTCTTTCGCTTCTCTCTCTTTTCTCTCTACAAACTTACGTTGCTAATCGTTATATCTTTTTCTTCTTCGTTTTTTTTGTTTTTTATCGTTTTTTTTTATTTTTTATTTTTTTTTTTTTAATTCTTTGAATGTTTGTTTTACCCACAACTTTGACTGCTGAAACCAGTTATTCTTTTAGAGGTAATTTCCGAAGCAGGACGATGCTGCGGACCTCGGCACAAGCAAAATTTGTTTCACACAGTAGAAATCTAGAAAATGACAAAATACAAATCACAACACACAAACTTTGGTATTTATTTTTGCATATATACAACTTCCTTAAAACTTCTTCAAAGTTCAGACGCAAGCACTCTTCCTACTTACCTAGTATTCTTCACAAAAATGGCTCCTTATAAATAAAAATCTTTTCTTATGATAGATCTAAAAATTAAAAATAGAAAAAGTTGTAAATACATTTAAAAAAAAATAAAGTGCACATTATTTTGTGTTCTTCGAAAATATACTTACAACTCGGTGCAGCCGAAGCTTCAAATTTCTTTTGTATCTGATCGTATGTAAACTTTACGAAAGCGTCATATTGCTCGGAGAGCTTTACATGTAAGATTTTATCATATTCTTCTCGAATTTGTGTTTCTTGTTCCTTGAGCATACGCTCGCAGATCAAGCCAACCTACAAAATTATAATCTTATAAGCAATCCGTGAAAGCGATATTTATTGTTAATATAAGTAGCAATCAATATTTAATTCTGAACAAAAACCTGTTGCAACAAAAAAACAAAAGAAAAGTGAATTTGCAGATTTTGGAAGACAAAATTACCTGTCTAAATGTGAAAAGAGGTTTTTCCTTTCCACTAGAGTTATGACTAAATGGGGTTGAAGATGAGGCAGATGGGCTAGAAGGACTCGAAGGACCTTCCATATCTGATGAGTCACTGGCTGGGAATTGCAATTGTTTACGCCGTTGTAATCTGCGGAGTTCATCTCTGACTTTGGCAGCCATCTTCTCTGTATAGAGACAATTGCAATATACTTTTAAAGCATATTTATACTGAATGAATCACAAGCTTCTCAATAGGGAAGGATTTCAAATGTTTGTCTTCTATCTAAATTTTTTGCAACAACCAAAACCTGTGCACGTATGTAAGAACAATTATAACATAGTTATTAAAAATATATATCGTTTTTTTTAGAATATTATCAAGTAAACACATTATCTGAGCGAGAGACATTTAAATATCTCGTGTCTGTCTCTCATTAAATATTATACACACTCACAATGTAAGTGAGCACGTCATGCTAAATCGTTTTAAATCTTGACACATGCAACTAAGACAGAGAATCCATCGCGGAATGTACTTTCGTGCACCAGGTTGCACGCCTTCCTTTTTAAAATCGCCGAACGGCAAAGAGAAGACAGGAAGAAAAACCCGAATCGCAAGCGTGTCCGTTACAACATTACCATATGATTTACGCGTGCCCCGCCCCCTACCCGCGTGAAACTCTCCGGGTACGGGTTTTAAATCGCTAGAGATTAGCCGCCCCTTTTCACCGTCTCTTTTTCACCCGTCTCCTTTCTCCCCCTGTCGCGCGCGGACGCTGCCTGGACGCCCATCTCTTTTCTTCCTTCTTCGTGCACGCAAGGAAATGTGAATATGTACGCGAGAAAAGAGAAAGAGAGAAAGCGCGAGAGAAAGAGAAAGAGAGACACACAAACACAAGGAGGGAGGGGGGGGGGTTCAGAAAAAGGCGACGGGTGCGACGGAGACCGAGAGAAAGATGGCCGTAGCCTGCGGTGTAATTACCAGGCGTCAATTTGTTGGCGATCTCGCCGAACGGAGACGGGTTCTGCGGCAGCGAGCTGCTACGCGGAGACGACGCCGATGTGCCGGACGACATGCACGACATGGGCATGCATCTACGCCGCTTGCTGGGCCGGCCATGGCTGTGCACCGGATCGAACTCCAAGGACCTTTTGAGTGTGGCGCACGCCATCGTGCTCTTGGTGGCGCGTCGTTCCGAATCTCACTGCGTCCCGTGTACGACTGCCACCTAGTCGCCGCGAGCCGTGTCGATCCCGGAGTGCGGAGGGAGACAGCGCTAAGGCGAAGGGGAGGCGAAGGGAGGAGCGGCACTCGCCTCGCCGACGGACGGTGCCGATCTAGGGAGAAGGGAACAAGCGCAACGGAGGGAGGTGCGCGAGACGATACAACTCGATGGTAAGAGAATACTCGTGGTGAGATAATTGAGAGAGCGAGTGAGATGCGACACGTTGAAAATTGCAACAAACGCTCTAAACGGCAATTAAAGTCCGCCGAGAACAAACAACAAACAATTAACGCCGACGACACCGATGGGGAACACGATTTTGTTTAAAGCGCTCCGCGGTCTAACTCGCACAGCCTCTGCCGACAAAACAAACACTGCTGCGCTTAGCGAGCCAATATGGCCGCCCGCCTTGGCTACGCGCAGCAACTCTGAGCAACTCCTTCCGCCGGCTGTGACCAACACATATTTGCCCGATCCCTCTCTTCTTCTCGTTCTTCGCTCGGGGGGAAAATGATGCGTGGCGCACGTGTGTTCGTGAGGGTCTGTTCGTTTTAACTGCACTTTCCGCTTTTTGTTTTTTTTTTCTTATTTTTATATTGAAATCAGATAAAAAAAAAAAAAAAAGATATGCGCGCACACACCCGGTGTCCGATTGGAACTAACCAAGCGTGGAAGGTGTAATTACAACAAATAGATCAGGCATTCCATTCGCGCTTAATGTAACGAGCGTGTACTGTCTCGTACATGTGTATTTCATGTACGTATACGTCTGGCTAGAGAAAAGGAGAGAGATAACTATATATATGTATATATATATATATATGTATGTGTGTACGTCCTTAGAATGCAAATTCCTTGAACGTGGACGTCAGATTGCGCTGCAGATGGGAGGGGAGGGGGAGAGAGAGAGAGAGACAGACAGAAAATGTTGGAGCGTCGTGTGTTATCTAAATTTATTTTGACGTCTATGCGTGATTGTCTCAACGTATCTTGCAAACAAATTGTTGCCGTCTTGATTTGAATTGGAAATTTCACGCGTGACACAGGTTTCGATTTTCATTTCGCTTTCAAAGTTGTTTTTTTTTTTTTTTTTTATAACTCGAATATGCGCGCACGCATAAATATAATTGTATCCGAGAGTTAATAATCAGTGATTTTATCGATACACACCGTGACAGGAGAGGAATGCGCGGTGTTCCACGATACGAGAGTGCACGCGGCGCATCCCAGCGCGTTTCGTATCATCGCCAGCCAGCGTTCGCGTTTGCGCGGTACGCGCGAGTCCGAGCGCACCGCGACGCACGCAGAGACAGTTCTACATCGATAACGTCAATACTCGAGCGTTGATACACGGATCAAGTGCGAGAGGCACAATACGTTATGCCGCAGTAAAAGAGCAAAGTGGCGCAGTCATTTTCGACACGAGAGATCTCGTTCATTCCGGCAATAGCGACGGCCAGGAGCCAGGACGAGGACGTTTGGGTTCGTGTGTGTGTGTGTGTGTGTGTGTGTGCGCGCGCGCGCGCGTGTGTGTGTGCGTGCGTGCGTGCGTGCGTGCATTGCGTGCATGCGTGCTTGCGTGCGAACCTCGCCTCTGTCTCCTTCTCGCACGGGAGATACGTCTCTGGTAGTACATCATATCGTCGCCGCGACGCGAGGTGAGAGACGTGGGCTGCTTTCAGGTAATGGACAAATCGTGCAACGGGCGTGGGTAATATATTGGTGTGTCTGTCGAACCCGAAGCGCGATCGCGCATCGAGTTTCGAAGACGACGGCCTGCCGAGCGTCTACATGACGACGGAGCAGGATATACCAGAATATCTAGAAGGTTGCGGGCTGACCACCTGCACGGCCGGCGACATGCCTGAAGAAATGGAGGAGCCAGGAACGAGCGGTAAGGAGAAAAAGCTGCTGTCCACGTCCTTCGGCGGCGGTAATAGCGGCCAGGGCGACATCAAGAAGACCGTCATGGTCAAACATCCGGAATCGAACAAGCCGAAACCGACCATGAAGAAGAGCAAACCGATTCAGGCGGATCTGGACGTCGCCAAGGAGTTTATACGTTGCAGGGATCTGTGTGTCAGGCGACTGGATCTAAGCAAGTCCAGCATCACGAACTTACCGAGTTCGGTGAGGGAATTGACTCATTTGAAGGAGTTGTATCTGTACGGCAACAAATTGGTTACGCTACCGCCTGAGATTGGATGCCTATCAAATCTGGAAACATTAGCATTGAGTGAGAATTGGATAACTAATTTGCCCAACACTTTAGAAAACCTGAAAGCATTACGAGTCCTGGATTTGAGACATAACAAATTGAACGAGATACCAGATGTGGTTTACAAGCTTACTTCACTGACCACGCTGTTCCTGCGCTTCAATAGAGTTAAGTTTGTCAGTGACAATATAAGATATCTGAGAAATCTGACCATGCTGAGCTTACGTGAGAATAAGATCAAAGAACTGCCTCCTGGAGTAGGTGAACTTGTGAATCTTATCACCTTTGACGTTTCGCACAATCATCTGGAGCATCTGCCTCAGGAGATCGGCAAGTGCATACAGTTGTCTACGCTGGATTTGCAACACAATGAACTCTTGGACATACCGGAGACCATAGGCAATTTAGTGTCACTGTCGAGACTGGGTCTTCGATACAACAGACTCACAAGTATTCCGCAATCTTTGGCAAACTGTAAATCGATGGAAGAATTCAGCGTGGAGGGCAATCAGGTGTCGCATCTTCCGGATGGCTTGTTATGCAGTTTGTCGAATCTGCGAACGATCACGCTGTCTAGAAACTGTTTTACTTCGTATCCGTCGGGCGGACCGTCTCAGTTTACAAACGTTTGCTCGATTAACATGGAACACAATCAGATCGACAAAATACCGTACGCTATCTTCTCACGTGCCAAGAACCTCACAAAGCTGAACATGAAAGAGAATCAGCTGACAGCACTGCCACTGGACATTGGCACATGGGTCAATATGGTCGAGCTGAATCTCGGGACGAATTTGCTGACGAAAATTCCAGAAGACATAAGTTGCCTGCACAGTCTCGAGACGCTGATACTATCCAACAATCTCCTGAAACGTATTCCGGCCACTATAGCGAATTTGCGTAAATTACGGGTGCTGGATCTTGAGGAAAACCACATCGACTCGTTGCCAAACGAGATCGGCTTTCTCCGCGACCTGCAAAAGCTGATCTTGCAGTCGAATCATATCACGTCGCTGCCGCGCGCGATCGGACACTTGACGAACCTCACGTATCTTAGCGTAGGTGAGAACAATCTCAGCTATCTGCCAGAGGAGATCGGCACCCTGGAGAACCTGGAGTCGCTGTACATCAACGACAACCCGAATCTGCACAACCTGCCGTTCGAGCTTGCTTTGTGCACGAATCTCAGTATTATGTCAATTGAGAACTGTCCATTGTCGCAGATCCCGCCAGAGATAGTGGCTAGCGGGCCGTCAATAGTAATCCAGTTTCTGAAAATGCAGGGACCTTATCGATCTATGTAACATATTTAATTAAAAAAAAAAACAAAAAAAAAAAAGACTTGTCCCTTGTTTTCGCGCGCGCTGATGAACAAGAAAAACCTGCTGCTGGATGTCGATTCTTAATCAACAAGAGGAAGAAACATCATGAGGAAGCAATTCGCATAATAATGAGAAGATGATATATCTATGATAGAGAATCCTCTATCAACCTGAAATTCTCACTTTAATGATCTCACTTTTAAGAAAGCATATATATATATATGTATATATATATATATATATATATATAGAGATACCGAGATATAATAATGTATAAGACGAATTAGATAGCCTTGTTTTCAGCAGCGTGAGAATGATATTTTTTCTAACAGGGGATAAAGGTGTAAAAAAAAAAAAAAGAAAGGAATAGAAAAATGTGCGTAATGTAAAATTGGTGCTGAATTGAGTATATTTTTCTTGCAAACACACAGGAGAATAGGAAGCCTTGTGCAATTTTGAAACAAATGAATAAAGAAAAAAAATATCTTAGATATATCACACACACATACACACACACACACAGCAAATGACAACTTAACGTCTAAAGTTAGGAAAGACGATATACGAAATGTATATTTGAACGAGCAAATAAATTTTTATTTGTATTTTTACTCTTAGTTTTACATTTATATTTATGTATTTTATTTTAAGGAATCAAAAAGGGGGCGAAATGGTCGAAGAGATTTCATCGATAATGTTCTACCGACTTCGAACTTTCAAATCGGCAATATTTTGATCGATACAATAAAATATCGTTCGTCAAAATATTCGATATCGGGGGATTCCGTTGATGTGTGAATCGAGTTCGACGTCGAGACGAAAACGTCGATAAGAGATCGTCGATTATTTTTTAATATAAAAATTTTGTGCTGAGAGATTCAATGCAATGTCAGTAAGAGTCATGTTTCAGTATAGTAAGTTAATTTCGTTTTCAATTGTTATTGTGTTGCGATAGAAATTTATTGTCAAACCTCTGAAATATATATTTTTTCTCTGGTTTAAATCCGTGGCTTAACAACGCATGGTTTTTCACAATCAGTTGGAAAAAAATTAAAAGTGAAACAGTACTAAAACATGATTTGTTACTGGGACAATTATCTTATTTTGTTGTCACAAAGAAATTTATATATATATATATATATCACAAGATGCGACATTTTATACAGTGTGAAGGAAAACTCGTTTTGTAGATTTTTGTTTTACAGAATCTACAATGATTAAAATTATACACGAAATATATTTGCAATATATTGTATTGTATTATTGCAATTATTAATTTTTAGAGCTGATTAATTAAATCACGATATATTCTATATTTGTATTGGCAAAATTTATCGATCAAATGTCTTTCTCTTTCGAAATTGTTAAGTTGTGTAATTAAAGAGTATAAAGCTTTTTATACGCGAGATACATTGTCGTGCAAGTATTACCAAGGAAAATTATACTGCGTAAAACATTCTATCTTTCTACTATATATAAGTACAAATAAGTGCGAGAGAAAATTTGTATTCTAAAAAAAAAAAAAAGCGAGACAAAAGAAATTGTTAAGAATCGGCATCAATGGCATTCAGTAATGTATTTAAAAAAAAAGAAACAAAAACGATGAACGCGTTACTTCGTATATAAGTGAAAAGAAAAAGAAGATATTTTAATAAACTATTGAAAATTGAGAAGTTGTAAATATATGCGTGCACACACAAAAAAAGTGAATAAACATGTACACACAAAAAGTTCCCGTACACACACACACACACACACATACGTTCTGGTGTTACACACATATAAATATATATACATATAGTATATTTTTTCTCATTTGTTTGTTAATGTGTGTGTCACTTTATAAGGTACAAAATACACTGTTGATCTAAGATCTACAGGACGTCACTCTGCAGAAACATAATACTATAGTTCTCTATATAATTCAGCAGTTTGTATCGAAGTCGCGAGAAAGCGACTAAAGCGTTAGCAAATTTTATTTACGTCAATAAATTTTAAGCTGCTGTAAAAGTCAAGAATATACAGTAATACGCTTGTGAAAGTAAGAATTATATTACGAAGAAAGAGTAACAAAATAATTATACATACGTACTATTCTATATATACGTATGCATTTATGTGTATATACAAAAAAAAAACTTATACGGTGCACGTTATATCATGTTACAAAAAAAACAAAAACATTGGTTTATTTTTTTTATCATATAATTTGCAATAGCCGACACAATAGCGTGATATTGTGACAATTTTATGTAATTTTAACGAGATTCGCGATTTTACATTACGAATTTCACACGCGCGAGCAAATTTTATGTGCAATTAATTATCGCGCAAGTAAATTGAAACGGCACAATTAATTGTGTATTTTTATTTAAATTAAATGAATATAGCCGTGAAAAAAAAAATATATATATATATATTACTTGAAAGAGAGAAAACTAATCGAGCGTAAAATGTCACGTTTACAGAGAAATGTTTAAAACGCGATTGAACTTGTGAAGGAGTTGACTAAAGAAAATTGAAACGACAACGGGAAGATATATTTTTTTTTAATTGTAAAACAAAGAGAAAAGAACACGATGCCGATCTTGTTATTTTGATTTACGTAACGATCAATATTTCGTGCGACGATAAAAAAAAAAAAAAAAAAAAAAAAAAAAGCAATTAAACCACTGTTTCAGAATGCGTTTTCACTAGATTAAAGAGCCAAATGTAAGCATAAGAAAAACGAAGAAGTAACAGAGGACACGATACATTGAGCATTTTCTTGACATTATATTTTGCTAAGTTCCATAAATTTCTCTATATCTCATCTTTCTCTCTCTTTCTCTCTCTCTCTCTCTTTCTCTTTCTTTCTCTTCTCTCTCTTTCTATCTTTCATATCAATGTTGTTGTTCTCTCGATTCTGCCCCAATAAGCAAAGTAAAAAAAAAAAAAAAAGAAAAAAGAAAAAAAAATTATGCCGGCATATCGATAGCAATGCGCACTTTGGCATGTAATTGCTACCTTTTTGACGACAAAAATTGCCTGTTTTCGACAGATTTTGCTATCAGGGGCACAAAACAATCGTGCCAATTGTGAAACTATATGTATTATATATCATACATACGTATATCTGTATGGATATTTATATATAATCGCCTTATATATTATTAATTAATAGATAAGTATTGTTACATCTATACCGCGACAGAAAAAAAAAAAAAAAAAAACCAGATTTGTTATTTAACGTTGTGCCTATAGACGTATAATAATCTTAAGTTCTCTTAGGATCTTTGTGGTTTACATTTACAATTTCCTTATTCTAAATAGTTTCTTTTTTTACTTAATGTGTACATGTTGTTAGATTGTATATCTCTTCGCGTACATGTTGATCTATAAGAGCAGTCTTCTGTACCGTGTTAGATCATACTTCGCAATTAGCTAATTTGTTCCCATCACATCGTTTTCAACGTTTTTTGTTTTTTTTGTTTTTTTTAGCTTACTTTTAAATGTCGGATCATTTTAATTGCACGTACAACATCAAACGTGACCTATTGATTACAAATGATATATACATACATAGAATAAATTATATAAAAAATCATATTGTTTATAAATAACAAAATAATTAAATTAAGTATGTAAACATGTGTAGTGTCGAGAGAGACGCCGGGATAATAATTTCTGAGTACGTATTAAGTCGTGATAATCACTTCCGAACGTGTGTTCAAAACGTAAATCAATAATTACATCGTGATCTCTCTGTTGTAATGTGCGCAAAAATATGTTTGTTGTGTCAAGAACGATTAGTGCAAAAAAAAAAAAAAAAAAGTGCTTTCTTGGCTTCTACGTACGATATGTGTTGTTCTACGTTAAACATGTTTGCAAAAAATGTTAGATTGTTTAGTAGCCGACATCAATTATCAATGTGTTGTAATTAATCATCTATTGGTATTGTAAAAAAAAAATCTCTGTATATTTAATAGTCGGGATTATTAGTTTTGCGAGAAGGAGGAAACGTCTGTCCCTTGTCCGAGTAATTTTTTATTGTCGGAGTAATTTCTACCGAGAGAGAATCGACAGACGATATATGTATATACATATATATATATATATATGTGTGTGTGTATATATATATAGGCGTATCTTGTTGAAATGTTGTAAAATTGCAACTATACTGTGGCTGTGTGAAAAAAAAAAAGCTCTTATTCAAGTGCTGTAATTGTCCCCAAACATCGATTATCAATCGTTCCGACGGTTTTTCCTTTTTCCGCTCCGCTTGTCACGGATATTAAAAACTTCTATTTTCCATTATACAAGTTAGTTGTAGCTATATTTCCTTCGATTAGTTGAAAGCGCACGATACGATTAGATTTTCGCGCGATTGTTTAGATATCATTTCGAATTTTTCGTCGCTCTTCGAATGTTAACAAAGTAATTTGATGTTAATGTTGATAATTTGATAATTCTATCGTTACCTCTTTAACGTTTTGCAATTTATTATAATCGCATATATACACAATCTCTAATTTGTATATTATCTGTAGTATCTGTTTGTTACTCCGTGCGCGAGTAAAGTACGAAACACTCGCGAATTTGTTGATGATTAAAAAATGGAACTTAGCAAATTCTCTCCGTTAAATCATGTCACAAGTATTCCTCTATGTTAAAGTTTAATGTGTAATCTGTTGTAAGAATTGTTGCTTCTATATGAGGCTTTCTATATACTTTACGTCTATCTATTTGTGTATCTACGATAATACGTATCTATGTTTCACTCACTGAGAGAGCAGAGTACACTCGCATATTTCCATAAAAGTTTATCTCTTTCTCTCTTCCTTTCTCTCTCTCCCTCCCTCCCTCCCTCTCTCTCTTTCTTTCTTTCTTTCTTTCTTTCTCTTTTTCTCTCGGCTCTTTCTCTGTTTTTTAAGTCTGTAAGAAGCTTTATCGCTGAAGAATGATAGGTCCAGTGCGTGTTTTGTGTGATCGCCGTATTTGCGTGTAAAGCGAATTTAATTTACAGGTTCCCTCCATTAGACTGTATCTTCAAATTGAGAATAATTATTAAGCGCTAATTAAGGGATTTTTCTTTCTCGTTTTTGCTCCGTTTCGCAATGACAATTTTACCTTCCAATCCGTCACGATGATAAATACGTTGCGAGGAGGATATTGTTAAAAATTAACTATAGTAAGATTTAGATATCGGTGAGACGAAGAACGTTGCAAAGAGGTTCTTCCTGATTAATGTTAAATATTTTAAGTCCGAAAGAGAGTCAAAATTTCTTTCATTGTATTATATAGGATAAAGGTGGCAATGTAACGGTCGCCATATTTGTGTAAGCTTCTATTTAATATTTTATAGTAATAGCGAAACACACGTATAATTTAGTACACGTCTTGCCAAAGACGTAACTAGGTTGTTGTAAAAACAATTAAGTTTTTTTTTTTTTTTTAAGATACCCACTATCTTAATTTAGTTTAATGCGACTGTTATGTGAAGTACTTGCACATGTACGTATACGCAAACACATAGTGCGCGCGTTAAGTTTTGTAAAAAACCTTTTGAATTTTAGAACAATAATACAATAATTTTAGACACATTTATTTGTATATACAGCGCTTTTAACATATTTTATATGCCGTTTAGCTATTTCATTTTAAGAGTTGTTAGTTTCGTTTTTTCTGTGCAAGATATCGATATATAGAGTAAAAATATAACAAATTAATTTTAAAAGAAAATACGCGCGTAGATTTTAGAAGCTTTTAGAAGTTTGGATAGACGTGTGGTTGAAGAGCGAAAACTTTTCGGACAAAACAGACGAAGAAAAAAAGAATACAAATGTGCGAATAAAGTGGTATACGTATTGTAAACGATATTTTTTGTTAATTAAGAATTAACATTTTTACGGTATTATTTTAAACGCAACGTGGCGACCGTTTAGCAAATTAGCTTCTAGATATTGCAACGAAAGTCTTCATGTAATGGAAAAAAACTCATCAAGAATAAGCATGCTATTTGCATGCCATATGCACGCTAGAGACACATTGGTGATATAATATACGATTCATTGTGATAAAACTCTCTCTGTTCAACAGTTTAAAGAGAAAAAAAAACAAGGAAACTATATAAATTGATAGATGAATATTAATCCATTTACAGCGATAAATTTATGGGACAATTACAAAAAACAATATGCTATTCCGAGATTTATATATTTATATATATATATATATATATGTATATATCTATGTACACACAGATATATATGTATATAAAATATAAACATTTGTTGAATAGTTTATTGCGTATTACATACGCACATGATATTGTGTTATGTGTATGTATAATTCCAAGATTATGTAATATTAAATGTAATTCACAATGTACATTTACATTTACGAAACACTCTCTGTATAAATATTTCTAAAAAAAAATACATAAATATATATTATAAAATATTATTTTCCAATTTTTTTCGGCAACATCTTCGTACGCTCTAAATCGTTCGCTCTTTAGAATGATCAATGAAGTGTTCGTTTTCAAATATTAAGAACAATTGTGATTTATTTCAGTAGTTTTTTTTAGTGAACTTAAAAAGAGATAAACCCAGTTTTTTATATCGTTTCTTTGGATACGTTTTTATGACACAATTAATTGTAACAGTCTTTATACTTGTGCTGCTCGAGTCTGATGGAAATCTCACTGCGTTTTTTCAGAGTAAAAGTTTTGGATTTCTCGTCACTCGTGTACTGTAATTAAGATTTAAAAAATATATGCGTCTACATGTCTCATTAGCGTCAAGGTAAAGCGGAAACATAAAGACAACAGTCAATAGAAAGAAAATAAAAATTCGTACTTCCGCAGATACTTCGGACACATTTGTGATCGCAGTTCTCTCGGTGTATATGACGCTTTTTTCAAGCGATAATTGAGGATAATTCTTAGGAGTCGTAATTAATTCCTCGTTAGGCGTGAAGTTTGATTTGTTGTTTTTCAAGCATGATTTGGTTCTGGTCGTTGGCAATTGACGATTGTTGCGTGGTTTTTTGTTCTTCGCATCTAAACGGTCGAAAGTAATTAGAGAGATAGTGGAGGTGCTTATACAATTTACCAAAAATTTAAAACAATCGCGTGTACCTTCGCGCACCACGTTACTTTTACGTCGTCTGACTTTATTTTTATCAGTGTGAATTGTTTCGTTGTAGAGCGGCACTGAAATGGCAAGTTTGCACGACGATTCTAAAGGACGTATCAATCTAAAAAATTAGAACAAGTTTTCATTATGTCACCGCAACCAGTTCAGAACGTTAATTAATTGTTTTTGTACGGGTGTAAAAACTGCGTAACTATTGTATATAAAAAAATATTGTTACATATACATATATATATATATATATATCCGACGACACACCTCAGTAATTCCGTAACGTTATCCGAAACGTCTTGTAACTCGCCAAGTTTTGTCAAAGCGTTTTCTATTGTTTGTTTAACAACGCTGTTCTTGGAGTTAAGACTACATATTTCTGCTTTGAGATTATCGATTTCGTTTATCAGATCAATCAGTTCTGAGCTCCTTTCCACATCTGAATTATCTTTTAGTTGTTGCGAAACAAAAAGTTAACGTTTTTAAATATTAAAATTTTTTTTACGCACCGTGTATGTTGTTGTTTATATATGCATTTTTCACCTTCGTTATTTGTGTTCTTTTGTTTTACACAATCACTTTCTATAACAAAAGGATGTCGTTTGAAAATAACGGAGAAGTTGTGCTCGCGCGAAAATTGCCATACTTGATCGCAAATTGAGTCTTCCAGCGACCACACTTGATGATTTAATTCTTCCTAAAGTATAAAGACAAAATAATTTTGTGTAATATTTATTTTGATGAAATGTTAAATAATAATCTTCTCAATGTGAGAACTCGCTTCGCGCGCAAATTCTCCTTTCCAATCGGAAGCGCATTCGTTTTAAAGAATCGCTCTGAGGTGGCGATAATAAATGTTTCTTCCTTGTACATTAACAAATGCTCCGTTAATCTTACCAGATTTTGTTTTTCCGCATCTAATATCTTTTCTTCCTCCGCTAAGCTGTCTTGATACTTGTTCACTGTATCTTTTGTGACTTCCAGTTCCACGCTTTTATTTCCGTACATCAGCAAAACGGAATTTAAAGAGAAATGATGTTCCGCTTCGTCCTCGACGTTGATGTTCTCCGAATTATGTTGACCGATCATTTCCGTCATTGTCACTGTATAAATTTAAATTAAAAAATTTTAATTTCTTTTATTCTCGCCGCTATACAATTCTTAACGACTTCTTGCGAAAATTAAAAATTGAAATCTAAGAAAACGCACGTTTTACGCATTGGTTTGAAAATCGAGCAGTCAATTGTTGCCAACGTAGTTGCGACGAAAGACCTAAAGCCGCGATGACTTTTCCTCGTGCATTGAGAACACTGTTGAAATTGTTGAAAAAAAACTATCAAACCCCCCCGAGCATCGAGGCGCCGCGCGCGCACAAAACTCCCCGTGGCATGTAAACAAAGTTCGAAAACGTGATATGTTCGAGATTGTGGTTCTGTCTTCTGAAATTTTGAAATTTGTTTTCCGGAACATGTTTACGGATACAAGTTAAAATGAGTACAAACGGCGTAAAAACGTTAATGAAGAAAGCGTGAGTATGACATTTTCAATTTAAGTTCTTTTCTCTCGTATAACCTCCGAACGCTCGTAGATATTCGATATAATTGTGGAGAAATTTTATTATTTATCTCGTTAATAATCGCGGCAAAAAAAAAACGCGACGCATATTGGGTACGTCGCAATACTGACTTTTTAATCATGTTGAACAGTGAACCATCGCCTGGATGGGTACGTTGTCAGAAGTGTCTGGCGATAGGACACTGGACTTACGAGTGCAAAAACAAAAGAAAGTACTTGCACAGATCCTCTCGCACTTCTCAGCTGAAAAAGGCTTTGGAAAAACAAGATGATAACAATGTGTATGAGATTCATATTATTCAATTGCATGTACAGGATGTTTTGTTACCTGATTATTTGTTTGAGGAGTATTAAGAGATATTAAGTATTTACATGGTTGTTTCTTAAGAAACAAGATTGCCTTAATCACACACATGTATATGTTTTGTATATATCTAAAAGACACACATATACAATTAAGATAATCCTAATCTTAAGATTTAACTATGAAGTGCTTAAAATATTTTATAAGCAGACACAAAGACACATTGTGATAAAGTGTGATAAAAATATTACTTATCAAAAACAAAGAAAAAGATTTAGATAGAGTATCTTATATTATTTTTTTTCTTGAAGATATAAAGAACAAACAAACTAGATATGCAATGAAAAACTGAGAAAATATTAGATTTTGCAACAAGGTATAAGAAGTAAAAGTAATAAAAAAAAAGAATTCTTCTCAAAAGCATGTTTTAATCTTGTTATTTGAAAGATAAAACATCCTTTACATTTACATTTAGAATTAGAAGCTTTAACAATCTTGACAAGCTCAAATAAATTTGTTTCTTAGGCAAGTGAGAAAAAAAATGAGAAAAGAGAAATCCAGCAGTTCTAGTGATTCCAGCTCATCAAGCAGCGAAGATTCTAGCAGCAGCAGTAGCAGCAGTTCTTCGTCAGATAGTGAATCGGACTCTAGCGACAGTGTTTCTAGCAGTACAAGTACTAGTAGTAGTAGCAATAGCAGTTATGCTTCTCGCAAAAAATAGCAAAAATTGTGAAAGTATGCGGAGAAATATTGCCTTCTAATGTTTACTCTTCTTATTTTTTCAAACAACAATAATTATAATGCCACTTTAAAAAGAATGGCATCAGAAAAAAAAAAAAAACAATATATTTAAAATATATTTTGTGTCAAAAATTTATTGTGCTTCGTAAAATATGCAAAATACATGGTTATATATAATTAGTGTATATTTTTTAAAATTATGATACTTCTCCTCAATATATATAAACATGTTTTCTTAACAGAAGTTTTAGTAAAATTATCATAATGAATTTTTTTACTTCACACTTTTTATATTAAAATATAGTTTCTTCTGCCATAGGTTCAATTTTTATGAGATGTATATTAGATGTTTTATATTGCAGAGATTTCTTTGTCATTACGAGATTAACTTTACAAATTTTTACACTAATAGCATAGAGTACACATACACACACTATTTATCTAACAGTTTTGTATATTGAATGTGAATGTAAGAAAAGAAAAATCCATATAGTGTAAAAAAAATTCGATAACTTAAATATACTAAATTATATACTTAAAAAAATATGTATTACTTTTATCGTATATTAATGTTATTTTTGTGCTGTTATTACTTGCACAAGCTTTGTTACATATAAGAATATAAAATTTATTGTGATGGGTGATTGTTCGTTTTTTTTTATATAATAATATTTAATAATATAAAAATGTTAATTATTTTTATCGAGTATTTCAATACGGCGAAAATATAAAAGTTTTTACACATAAAATTGTTTAAAAGAACTGTTTAGTTACACACGTGATCTCAAAAAAAAAAAAATATGCTTTCCAAATCAATCTTCGATGCCTTCTGGCAAAGTCTGCACTATTACTTTTCTCCTTGGCTCATAAGTAAAATTATTTAGTTTGAAAATATCACTATCATAAAATGTATGCAGATTGTGTAAACCAATTTGCTTCGCCTGCAAACAAAACAATTATTGATACATACGTGCGAGATACACTAAATAAATAAAGATTATTCTATTTTTTGTAAAAAAAAAAAAATAAATAATGAGTGGAAAATATTATATAAATGTAAACTTGATACATGAATAAACCTTATTTTTTTAAACAAATATATTAATAGCGAATGTAATAAAAGTCTTGTGTAAATACTAGCAATAACTGAAAAAAGACAAAAGATTTCATTTTTTTTTAGCTTGAATAATTATTTTAAAATATTCTGAAAGATTAATTTTACAATTTGATGGAAATGTTGCGTAAAATTTAACGTAATTCATTGTAATATTCGTTACCCTTTCCAACAGATCCTTCTCCGATATTTCGACGGTCGAGATGTGTCCGCCGTACTTAGCTTTTTGAAATCCTAAAGTATCCAAAGTGATATTTCGTAGTATGTAGTACAAGAGTTCGTTGTGATCTTTCTTATATGATAAATATTTCTGGAACGTCTGTCGCGAGATACACACACATTCAAAAAAGAGAGTTCAGATTAGCAGATTAAGTAGTAATAAAAAAAAAAAAAAATTAGAAAGTAATAATACCTGACGCATAGATTTCATAACGGAATATTTTTGCGTATCGACGAAACTGTCGAGAACTATTCTAATAGCAAAATTCATGTCGCTCTCTTGAACGTGATCTCTTAAGTGCATCTTGGCGCTAGCCTCCGACATGCGAATAATGCTTTCTATATGACGCACAGTGATCGGCAAGCTTCCAGTTGACTGTAATGAAATAACGAGATAAACTATCGCAATATATTGTGAAATTCGACATTTTAATAATGCTTGATGATTTCTTTGATCTTTTCTTTAAGATATTTGTTTTCATGTAAAAAAAATATATTTACTTAAATAAATAAATATATTTACGTAAAAATAGATCTTATATTTCGCTAACTCACCAAGCTCTCCTGTCTCAACTGACTATACAATTTTGGAATTTTGTCGTGATCGTTGAACAGCTTTGGATGCACGTTCTGCTTCGCATAAACGATATACTTTTTGAGAAGATCTTGTGGAATGTACAGATCCTGCGTGGCGGGATCTAATTCCACGGCCTGCGTTCTCTCCGTGCACGTCGGATGATGCTTGATGTGAGAGTTAACGACGAACTTTGCCAAGTGACGATCCTGCATAGGATCGACTTCATCTTTCACTATGCACAACACGTCGAATCGAGACAGAATCGGTTCCGACAGATCTACCTATATGCGGAGCAATAATATAACGCGAATATATTTTCTCAAATTTGATAGTCATATAAATTTTAGAAGATTATAGGAAGATTAAGAGATTTCGCGATCGCACATACATTTTCTGCGAAGGTCATACTAGGATCGTATCGACCGCCTATAGGATTAGATGCCGCTATTACAGCGCATCTGGCATGAAGAGACGCCACGATACCAGCTTTGGAGATAGAAATGCTTTGCTGCTCCATAGCTTCATGGATGGAGGTTCTGTCCTGATCGTTCATCTATAGATGACAAGAATAAAAATTATACAACACTCTTATAACTGTTCTTTTATATAAATAAACAAAAAGAATATTTGTGTGTAAACAAATCTTATATATTTAGGTGTAGAAGTTCATAAATTTGTACTTTGTCAAACTCATCGATGAGACATATCCCGTGATCGGCGAGGACCAAAGCTCCAGCCTCTAAAGTCCATTCTCTGCTGACAGGTGACCTCCTTACATAAGCGGTTAGACCAACAGCCGAAGCGCCCTGACCTGTCGTGAAGACCACTCTGGGCGCAATCTTCTCAACATATTTTAAGAATTGCGATTTGGCGGTGCCAGGATCTCCGCACAGCAGAATATTTATGTCGCCGCGTAGTTTGTGCTTACCACCTGTATGTAAAAAAAATTTAATGAGAAGAAAGAAACACAAATTCAAATTGTGATATAAAATATTTCGAAGAAGAAAAAACGATACCAGGATTCTTTGATTCGCCACCAAATATCGACAGTGCCAAGGCTCTCTTGATATTCTCATGTCCGTAAATCGAAGGTGCGATACTCGCTACTATACGTTCTGCGATTCTCTGATCTTTACTCAGAGCAATTATGCTCGTAACGTCCTCTTCCGTAAGTGACTCCACGATCTCCTTTGAGTCTTTGACAAACAAGTGATTGGCCAATAATACTGTGGAAAATACTGGAAATCCCTTCACACAGAAAAGATCAAATATAAAAAATCAGAGAAAAAATATAAATTATGTTTTATGATTATTTTACGATCAATATAATTTTAAAGAAAAAAAACACACGATTAATTTATTTAAAAGGTCACGCACCTGTTCAGTATTCAGAGAACCATCGTAATTATTAGTATAAATAGCGGTAACGTCTATTTCGTCTCCCGGTTTGCAACGATCACAGAGATCGGACAGCAAAATGCAATCTTTACTGCGAGGTATTCTACCGGCAGGTATTCTGCCAGGGGATTCTTGTATTGTTATTCTTTGGTAATTCCTGTATATAGTTTGTTCCATATTGATCTAAAAAACCACGATGTTCGTAAGTATAAAAAAAAAGTAATCACATTGAGCAACGAATTTAACAATGTAAGAATAAACATTAACTTACCATGAATGGACCGATACTTTGACATTCGGGACACGAACCTGGCTTGACTTCTGTATTCTGAGATTGAACAAATGGTCCTAGAACATAGCTGCACTTGGTACAGTCATATTTCACTACTGACAACTGTGGCAAAACACCTGTAGTCGCCGTTACAACTCCAAGAGTTCGTACCAATTGATTTAAGTGAAGTTTTCTAATATAACGAAAGTGAAATTATTGTTACTACGCACACACACTTCATACAAAAAAAAAACAAATGTTAACTGTATATAAATATTTTTAATTATATAGATCATCACCTGAACGTGCGCAATTCTTCTATCAACGGCAACTCCGATATTCTGACGTGAATTTCTGACGTAACTCTCTCGTAGCTGGGAAAAATGGTCAGTACCAGTTCTTTTGCGACTTCGTCAAATATCTCGAGCATTTGAAATGGCGCTTCTGGCAAAAAGTAAGCCAAAACATGTTCCTTACTGGCAAGAATGGGAAATTCCACTATAAAACTGGACTATTAAAATAAATAAAATTTCTATAAAATTAAACCGATAAAACTAAAGTACGTCCGTGTAAATAACTTATAAACAAAATAAAACATTATAAAAGTTAAAAGTTTTTTTTATCAATATTATGTAAGACTCAATATTGTACCTGATTACTTTCGCACATGTGACGAATACGTTCTTTATACATATATTGTCCTTTGGAATTTGTATGAGTGCGAAGAAAGCTTTTGAAGCGATTCGAAATTTCCGTTCGTGGTCCCAACATCATTACCCAATCCTTTACTGAATGTCCTTTAGTATCTTCTAAATTTTCAATAGATTCGATCATCTAAATTCAAGTGATAGAAATTGTCTCATTAATTAAAATTTTTAATGACAATTAAAAAATATATATATATACAATAAGCAAGTTGTTATTACAAGATTGTTACCTCTGCATCCTCTATTATACCAGTAGCAGCTTTTTCAGCCATACGTCGTTTGCGTGCCTGCACATCTTCGTCATCAGTTTCATCTGAAGAAATAAATAGAAACCGATTAAAAAACTGTTTTACAATTTTATAAAAACAGTTTTAATACTGGTTTGTCTAATTTCTTATAATCATTTGATTTCTAAGAATGTAATAAGAAATAATAATATTACCATAAAGAAGATCGCGACCATCCCTTACAATACCAGCTGCACGATCTCTCTTTCGCATTTCTGCTTCTGCAGCTACACGTTCGTTCTGAGACATATCTGAATATTCTTCATCATCAAGTAGATTGGGATCGTATCTGTCTAGTGCTGACATAGGCCGATAATCGCTGTATGTATCACAATCAAGTTTAAATTACTTTTCCAAGTAAGTTTGTGCAATCATGTTTATTATCTTCAATATATGACTGTCTATTAATTATTCTATTTATTATTGTAAAAAAGTGTTAAAGATATTTAGTTGTTACACACATCTGATAAATATCTTTAGTTAGATTTTTATTAAATTTAAGAGCATCAAATGCTTACGCTTCCATATTATCTCCAAACAGTTCCTCTCCCTCTTCTTCTTCTTCCTCATTATTAACATCATTTTCCTCACCAAGCAAATCAGATTCATTTTCAAATGGCTCCTCTATATCAGGTGCAGGAGAAGTCATTGCATCAGTATGTCGTTCAGAACGCACAGGAGAACTTGATTGACTCTTATAATACATATAAAATTAAATGTTATATTTCTAATTGTTCTTTAGTATATGTATGAAGACAATAACTATATATAAAGACATATGTTACGAGCACACTTTGTTAGATATTAATAATTGCATGTATAGTTATCACACAATCAAATACATACTATACTTCATGGCATATACAATATATGTAAACAATTTTTATATATTTATATATATATTCACTTATGTGTAGCACACATATAATTTTCTCATACACACATATGAGCAAAATATATATACATTGTATAAATTTTCTTAATAACAATTTTTTAAAAACTTTACCATTGTTGTTCTTTCTTCTCTAGGATATTTTTGCCAAAAAATAAATTCCTTCTAACACAACTAACACAACTCTGTTCAATTTAACTCACATCAATCACAAAGCTAAACACAATGCGTTTGCACGTGTATTTGGCGGGAATGCTTTATACTTTGGCTGCGTTCCAAAAATGTACTCGTCAGTTAGAACAGCGGTGATTTAAATCTGGGGGCAAAAAGAAAGAGCAAAGGTTTTTGTAATCTGATTGGTCGATCAGCAAACGCTGCTTTTGATCAATAGTTTTTGGAACGCAGTCTGTCGCTGCCAGTACTGTTCCAGCAGAGAGAAGCCTGTTCTATTGTCTTTTCAATGAGAGAAAGATCCGCGAACCCCCACTCCTCCAGTGCTGTACTGTTTGCACCAGGTCGTTAGTGCGGAACGCTCTCATCACTCTGTTCACTATTCCACCCCTATGCGCAGACCGCGGACTTTTCTCTCATTGAAGAGACAATACAATTGATCGCAAGCGCAAACGCACAAGGAACAGGTCTGGTAGAATTGACTAATCGTATTGATCAAATCAGCCAATTGATCAGCGTGATTGGTCAATTCTACGAGATCTATACATTGCGTTTGCGCTTGCGATCAATGTAAAACGGGCTCTATGGCCGTGGCCGCTCTCTCTGCTATTAGTAATAAGTAATATTAGTAATAAGTTTTTGGTAATAAAAGAAAAACAGAAAGAAATTTTGCAAATTTAATAAAAATACTTTGTATCTTAATTAAATTAAAACATTTCAATTTTTTTTTTACAGTTTTATATACATGCTTTTATTACATATATTTGGTGTGTATAACTTTTCTATATCAGTAATATTACCATGTAATATCACTAATTCATATCTTATATTATTTAAAATGTTTAAACCCACGTTTTAAGCGACTATTTATTGAATATTAAAAAACTGAATATTATATATGAGTTTTGTTTTTTTACTTGTGTATAAGAATATTTTTATTTGTATTTATCTGCTTCGTGAATAAACTGCGGCTTGAGAAAAATATATTTATCATTATCAGGCGCTTCTTCACTATAATATATAGTATTTTTGTTTCGTGTATCCCGATAAAACTTATACATGCACTCGTTATGATCTTTAGTGACAATTTTTTTAACATTGTCTAGAAACAGTTTGCAGAATGCTTTACAGTGGTTCACATTAAAATGAGCCTGCGTAAAGAACAATTGTGTAAATTAATAACATATATATCTAAACACATATTTCACTTTTTTTTAATAAGATTAAATACTTACGAACGAAAGGTTTAACAAATCGTCAGTGGAACATTCTTGTATCGATTTTACTATACTACTTTTTCCTTCCCTTAATCCAAATATACTTCTTCTTACACCCGCCAAACTATTTTGGTTCCACATGTCCGATATTTTTTTTGGTGTAAATTTGGCGGATAATTGTTCTATTTGACGAAAACCGATTGTTTTCAATTCGATTATTTCAAATTGTTTGCCAACAAGCGTATCTGTTATATAATCTTGTGATACAATCCCATCGATTTCTGCCTCATAGAGTAATGAGTGATCACCATAGTTTGCTTGAAATACGCAGTGAAATGCTTCGCTTGCATTAACAGGTTTTGATGTGTCTGGTTGGTGTGACGGGTGATCTGGTAGAAAACAAATTATTTTGTTAGGTGTATATATATATATTGCCGATTTGTACAGTCATTGAAACTACAATAAAAAAACCAATCGTTCCGCATGCGCCAAAATTTATTTTAAAAAGTCCGAATTTTCTTTTGTGACTTATGACATAAAATATATTAAATCAAAACCTTCCAACTCTCGCGCACGGCGTGCGGTTTTTATGCTATTAGATTTCTATGCAATCACGTGATCAGTTAAAAGATTTTAATTAATTATTAAATGAATTGAGTGTTAAATAAAACAGCAACAGTAAATAATGAAAAATACCTGCTACCATATATTGCTCAAATTTAAATCCCCACGCTTCGCCTCGTTTATCCATTGAATTTCCATGATTACGTTCTTGTGCATCTGTATAAAATTTGCATAAATATATCGTACCACGATATTTGCTGGCGCATATAATCCAATCACAATCATATTGCACATACGGACTGGACAGTATCGTGGTGAATGCTCCACGGCGACAGACAAAGTCTACATTCAACCTAAATTATATAAAAATAATATATACACGATATATTTAACTTATTAAAAGATATAAATATAATTATATACATTTAGTTATTTATATATGTCAGTTTTCAATTGATTAAAAAGACCAAGTATCGGCAGTTCGCGGCAACGATTGCTGCTTTTTTTGACGATAATATTTGTTTCTGATAGGTTTTTCTATTGTAGAAAAACAAAAATAGTTATTATATACGCAAAATCGTTTGCAATCACATCCATAATGCGCTCGCGCACAAACTTGAGTTATATACCTCGAACGATCAAATCTTATAAATTTTGATATGATATATAAAATATATATATATATAATAAATTGTAAAAATATACACATTTTATATAATTATGTATCGTATTTAACAACTTACCAGCGGTCTTTTTCCGTTGACATTAGTCTTTCCACGCGTGTAAAATTATTTAAAATCCATTTACATACGTCATCTAATTTGACGTACGAATTTGGCTTGTATTTCGTGGACGCAATATTTTCGTTCAGATCGTAATTTACATTGTTAAAATCTAAAGGGGGAACGTAATATTTCAATTGCGACAAGTCACCGCGATATTTCGAATTGCCATCGATACTGTAATGTCCGATCAATTCAATTTGCAATTGCGGAATTTCGAAACACTTGTCAAGCTCAATTCTGAACATCGCGACTATTAGATTATTTGTTTCCGTATGTACGAATACGAGACAATAATGTACAAATTTAGTTTGTTTTTATACACTTCGTCGAATATTCGAATACGTACTACGAAACGATAGACGTGCAACTGATTCTAATACCGTATGGGACACAGTTCTTTTATGATTATTATATATATATATATTGCGCAAATAAGTTTATCTTTTGTGGTTTTTTCTCCACGCAAAGATACGACAAAGTTCGCGTTAGTCACTCTACTGACTAACTCAGATAGTTATAAATAGTGACCAATGAGTAATTCAAGGGAATCCCCGATCATTTTCTGATAACTACAACTGCGGCCAAGCGCAACGGGAAATAGCAATTTTCTCCTAACAGTTGTCATCTTTTTTAATTGGCGAACGGAACATTTGAAACTCATTTTGTAGAAAATGAGCCAAATAGTTTAAGATGTGCGGCCGGCATAACGCTACAAATGTTTCGAAATCATCATTCTAAATAAACTGGATTCAAATCGAAAGGAAGATCCTACTGTGCGTAGGAGAAAAAAAGCGGCTAAAAAGTGGAGATAGTAGGTTTTTTTTTTTTTTGAACTGACAGCGCTAGTTCACGGTCTATCTTTTTGTTTATCCATATTAGAAAGAAAAAGATACGACTGTGAACTAATGCAGCCAGGGAAAACAAAAATCAAACCTTGGTGTTGGCGCGCGGAATTGGCGGGATAGTTATCGCAGCTTTTGTCTAGCAAACAGTCGCTAGATGGCGTTGCGAGATTCTATGAATTAGAAATTTCTAAGCAAAGAGGGCGTACAAGTATACCACAGCCCTCTAGCCTCGAAAAAACCAAACTAATCTCGAGCGCGATAACGTCTTTCTCTCAATCAATAAGAGATAAGGGCGCTTTTATCTGTCTTCGTGTTGTATATATTTTTGTCCGGATTTTAACTGCGCGTTGAACGCAGATTCCTTTGTGTCATAATGTTTAATCAAATATTGCGACTGATCGTTCGCAACGTGGCCAGAAATGGTGAGATTTTCGTACATCTCTTAAGTGTTTCTTTTCTGTTCATGTGAATTTTGTCAAACATGTATAACTTACATAATATCTGCTATCTGATCCACCTATCGCTTAAATTGTTATTGTGCAATGAATACGTAGCAATATCGAACAAATAATAGATAACTTAATATTGATTATCTATTTTTAACGATTACTTCTATTGCAACTTGCTATCAATCATTTTTTGTCATCTTAAGAACCTAACCGTTCTTGAGAAATTGAAAGAGATATTGAGACAATCATAAGATGATAACAAAATATCGCAATTAATTAATAAATCATTCTTTGTTTCGCTTTTAATAGGTTTTAGTATCTTGAAGTTTTAAAGTTTGTCATATGAATTTGTTCAATATATTGATATTTGTACAGGATTTATCAAGAATCTGTCGCTGAAATCGCATAAAGAGTTGAAATTAAATCATAGATCGTAATACAAAAGAGATGCATTCTTTCTTTTATAAATATGTTATTTCTGATAAAGGTGTTACTCGATCTGCCAGTACGAAAGTAACAGACATCAAATTGCCAACAATAAATGACATACCTGCCCCAAGTGGCCCATGGAAAGATCATTATGATGCAAGACAGAAAGTTTACAATATGCAATTAATTGCTGGTATTACTGTATTAGTTGGAACTATAACTTTTGTAAGTATAACATTGTATTATATAACATATGTAACTACTATTTTACTATAAAAATTATATTATTATATGAGTGCATTGTGTTTTCAGATAAAAGTATCAGGTATCATCTTCTTTAACTTCAACCCTCCTGTTCCTCCCGAGGAATCTGAGTAAAAATAAACATTCGCACCATCGTTAGCTAATTAAACTAGATACAAAAGCAATTTGGCCACTGGTAAGAATGTTACATACATTGTGTGACTGTAATATGCAATAACTTGTATATTCTCTTCAATAAATAGATCATATTTATGACAGATAGTTTTGGACATCTACTACAGCAAAGTATCCTTAATTTGTTAAATTATATATATATATGTATAACTTAAAAAGCTTTTACATATGTGTACATAACATTACAAACTATTTACTATTATAATTATAAATTTCCTTAAACGTTCTATACAATATTAAAATTTTTTTTTATTGTTACTTTCGATTTGTTGCACAATTTTTGCGGTGAGAAAAATGTACTATTGATTTGCAGGTACACGCCTATATATTTTTGTACATTAAACATTACAACCTATAGTATATAGTAACTATCTATATACACATTATACATAAAAAGTCAAATTAAATAGCGTTTTGTTTTATTGCAAATTTAATGAGATCGCGCTATTTCCGAAAAGAACTCTAAGATATCTTGAATGGTAAACTCCAGCATCACGTTACTGTCCGGATAGCAACGCTGTATCAACTCTTCGATGTGCCTGTACTGCGCGATAAACTCGTTCTGCATCTCGCGCCAAACGACCTACAAGCACAATTATACAAATGAGAAAAATAATATTTAATATTCATAAAAATTATGTTAGTTTGCATTTCTTCCTATATTCATACCTGTAACAAGTTCTCCTCTTCGCACAGATGCTTCTCGACTTTTCGATAAAGATTCTCAAGACCTTTTTTAACTTCCCTCGCGGGATATTCCTTTACTACGCGTCGTAACTCTTGTTTGCTAAAGGCCATCTGATAACTGACCTCGGATTCCTTCACACCGGCACCAACTTTAGCTTGCACACCTTCGAAGAAAAGCTGAAAAGTAAACGTTTCGAATTGAGACGATTCGATACGATCACATAAGTATCTGGTGTGTTTAGATTTTTAGACAATTTACATTAAGTTTCTCTAGAGGCCGTCCGAAATATTGCGTAACATAAGCACGAAGAGCGTCTTGGTACTTCTGCTTAGCTTCCTTCCGCTCATGGTCCAGCACGGAAATCTTTAATTGCGACAGGAGATCGTAAAGGTGGTGGAAATTCTCTGTGTTATTCAGAAACCACAACGATAGTTAGCGGTAAATAATAATTTAAACGATCTCTATGTGTATAAAAAGCAACTAAAAAAGATTGTTTTTACCCATTTTTATGACTTCCTGCGGCGTTTTGTGATGTTCCCGGCTGTGATTGCAGATAGCCTCAAACATGGTATTCACGAGTTTCGTGTACCACTTCTCGAGATCGACCTTTCTGTCGGAATTGCGAAAGATCTTCTCCGCGGTTCTCGCAAACGGTCCGAAATTCTCGACGTACGGCAATATGCCGCACTTGTGCCGACGATTCACCTTCGTGTCGTACAATGGGCACAACATGGACTGCAGTTGCGCCTGCATGAACTTGTCGAACGCGCGTTTCACGTGAATCAGAGCTGATGCAAATGTCATTGAGAGAAACGAGCCGGTATCTTGAGCGGACATGACGTGCTGCGACAAACGTACCAACACGTACATACACCAGCTGCAAATAACAGTTTACAAACGTAAATATAAATTAGATAACATAAAAATTACACTTCGAGTAAAAAAAAAAAACTCGAATAACTCACAAGCTATCGATCTTGTCAAGAAAACCGATGAAACTGTTTAACTCGTTTTCCAGCGACGGGAATATTGCGGCCATAGTCGCACGCACATCTGCGCTAACTTGACGTTCCAGTCTCTTGCTCGCTGTCGAAGTTACCGATCCGGGACTCGCCGCGCCGTTACTTGTGTTTTCTATCTCGTCCATTTCACTGCTCTGTTACGAAGCAATATTACCCTATTACCTTAAAACCATTTGACTTGAGCAAAGTTTAGCAAAAATATTTATATTTACTTTGGAAGGCGAAAGAACGGAATCTAGTTGAAAAAACGAGACGCAGAATCCTTGCTCGGCGAGACATACTGGCTGCATTTGCGAAAGCACGCAATCGAGAACCGAGTCCAGGAGGTTTCCTTCGCCTACTGGCGCCCACACTTCGCCGCTTAGCAAGCAGATAGGCGCCGGATTAAGTAGGTCCTCGGCTTTTTGACCGCTAGACCTTGATGTATTTACTTAAATCGTACTTCTTTATTAATATATACAGAGACAAAATTTATGTAAAAAAAACTAAGACTATAGAGCGTCTCACAAGTCGTAATTTATCTGACAATATCATGCATTATTCATTACGATTATTTATTAACCGAAACTTCATCGTAAAACTTCTTATTCTACCTTGCAATCGCTTGTTGATGAGCTTGTACTTGGCATCTTCAAAAAAGCATCTTAAATCCCTTTTGTACAGTTTGCTCATGGTGTCAGTATAAACTTTGGTTAACAGCACAAACGCTTTATTGTCCAAAGCTCTTAGCAGTTGCATTAATTCCGTATACGGTACAAGCTCGTTATGAACTCCTTGATGAGTCGGTAAGATTAAGTCTGTCGTGGAAGCCGATGAATCTCCGATATCATTACCCTAAAAACACAAATTTAAATTTAAAACAAACGATCCAGTTTTCACCTCAATTTAATCACAAATTATGGTACAAAAAAGTATTAAAAAATTGTGAAGTTACCAAATGTATGAAGAGATTGTTTAAATGCCTGGCAACAATGCCTGAGAATTTCACTTTGAGTTTGTCCAAACGTCTTCTCTGTTCAGTGACTGCGCTCAGCTTATCCAAGCCCGGCGGAAGAGGTGCCGTGATCGCTTTCAAAAGCGCCGCACCCGCAAGACCAAGCTCTTCCCTCTCGTTAGGCAGTTCCGCTTCGTTCAAAATACGTTGGTGAGTCGAGGAAATATCTAATTGTGACTTGTGAAAAAAAAGAAAAATTCTATACCGTGTAACCTTGTCAACACACAAAAATAATCATTATTTGTAAATATTTTTATTTGCTTACAATGACCAAATTTAACTGATCTAATAAGAGTCTCGCGTTATTGTTCGCTGTATGTATAGCCTGATTCTTTTGTCCAACACGAGCCATCACTTCTCTTATTCTTCCCAACGCTTCGTCATACGATGCTAATCGAGCTTCCACGATAGAAGCTTCGATTATCGCGGCGTCTATACTGTTCATCAGTTGAGTTACTCTTTGCTCTGACGCCAAGACTGAGTGTACATTTTCCTATATAAAAGTAAAGCACAGATAATTTCTTAAACTATATTAACACATTATACAAATATCAGTAACTAAAATTTATATTAAAATATATATCTTTTAAAGAAAACATAAAATATTATTTTACCCCATCGAGAATTGACAAATCCTTTGAAAGAGTCTCCATGAAAAGTTCCGCGTTAGATACAGCATATTCACAATTCTCTATCATTTGTTTCAAGTCAGCAGCTTCCTTTTCGGTAATAGGTTGATAGTCTGAGGTAATAGGTGATGCCAGAAGATCTGAAAAATATTGCATTTTCTCTAGTAAACAATGACAATAATTCATAAAACCAATTTGTTTATATTAGATATTTACAAAAAAAGGAGGTGCTAACGAGCGAATTGATCGAATTTTAAGTAATTAACAAAGATATACCAGGTGTAAATGTGATGCTGTCGCTCTCTTTTAACGCAGTTGGATCAATTAACCATTCTTTCGGGATATTTTTGAATTCTGGTCTTTGAGTCAAGCTGCAGGAATAAGTATACAAGTTACTGATAAACGTTCGTCTTTCCTGTGCTGTAGTAGATGTCCATTTGTAAACTTTGTCAATTTGTAACTCTATGTCCATTGAATCACTTTTCACACCATCTACAATCTGTATATCACTCAGAGGCCACGATTGCTTCTTCTTGTAAACATTCTTGTCATTCTTCTTTACTTGATACAATATGAGAGATCCTGGCGTATCGGTTGTGGTGGCCAAACACAGAAAGCTCATTTTCTTCTTTTTATAAGCTTTGCTAACGTAGCACACACTGAGCAGTTTTTCATCACCGGGAGTGAAAACTTCTCTCTGTAGGGTATGTCGAATGGCTGCCATGATTTAAACTTGATTATGTTACTTAATACGTAGTAATCTCTCTTTGCTATTATATGTATAATATATTTTCCATTATTCCTATAAGTGAAAATTTACAAAACAATATTAGATAAAAATATACATAAGAGAAAAATATATCTTACACTGCGTATGTAAAATGTTTTTTTTCTGTATTGTGATATTTATAGAATATATGCTTACGTATATTTCTTGTTAAAATACTTCACGTCACATCTAATCAATTATTTTTCCATAATAAACTTAATTAAAACTATCAAGGCTTTTTCATGTTTGTCAAAAGTTTTGCTCCGAGTTATGTGGCCGCACCAGCACTCAGCTGCTCAACACTTGTCAACCCGCAGCCTCACAATGGGGGCGTTAGCTGCGTGAGTACGTCGTACTATTACGTCGCTATACGCGTTGTATTCATTCATACACCTTCCGACACTTTCTGTACTCACAGTGTGAAATAGATGTATTTCTAAAAATAAACCTGAGAGAGAAAGAAAGAAAGAAAAGTGCAATTGGAAACCGCGTCTTTGTCACACACACGTCATCTCCTTTTTTCTGCTATTCATCTATCTATCTCTGTCTTTACTCTCTTTTGCACACAGGCATGAAAAGCACGAAATTTTATATACAGTATACACACACATACGTATTACGTAGAGTTACGTAGATACGTCGCGCGTTCTGTCTAATATTTTATAACTTAAAAATCAAGAGGCACGGTGGTGCCTCGCGCCAAGTATTTAAAAATATAATACATCGAAAAAATAATTAAAATTTTACAAGTGAGAACGCTCTATTTTACAGAGAAATAATATATATGATACAACAATGCGATAAGATAATGAAACACGGGTGGCTCGTTATCGCTCGGTCGCGTATTTTAGGATGTTACAGGTAAGAAAAAAATTGAACAGCATGGAATCTTATATGTTTTGAAAAGAGTGTGCGTGCACACAAGATAAAACTAAAAGTTTACAGTATGTAAAAAGATATGCTTATATAGGAGAGATTTGTTTTGTCATTTCGTTGTAATTGAAAATAAAAAGTTTTTACTTATAATTAACTTAAGATATCTATTTGCTTGCGAATTATACTTGAAAAGAAAAATAATTAATTTTAGTGTATGTGTAAAACAACAGTATTCACATTCACGTTTCAGCATACAGCCAAGAAAACGTTGTATCGGCACAATGGCACATCCGTTGATCGCAGTTTGTCAAATGCGATCCGTAGCTGACAAAGCAAAAAATTTAGAAGTTCTGACGGAATTAACAGCCGAGGCGAAACGCAGATCAGCTGCAGTATGTAGATCTGCTAACAAATCACATTATTATGTACATTTTGTTAAGTACATTTTGATAATTTTTCTCTCTTCTTTTTTTCTTTTCAATTTTTAATAATACATATACAAAACACACATCTCTTTACAGATAGCATTCTTTCCTGAAGCTTGTGATTACCTGGCGGATAACAAGAAAGACATTGTTGCTATGGCTGAACCTCTGACTGGACAGACGGTAAAATCTTACAAAGAGATTGCCGTTAAAAATGACATCTGGTTATCCTTGGGCGGAGTTCACGAAGCTGTAATACTTTGATTTTCATTTTACACCAACTTTACGGAATATTATAGTAAGCGATAGTCACTTGTTTGCTTAATTGTTTCAGTCAGACAATGCGGAAAAAATTTACAATACTCATATATTGATAAATAACGAAGGACAATTGATAGCTGCGTACAGAAAGATACATTTGTTCGATATGGATAACAAGGATACCGGAGTACGTCTGATGGAATCGGATTATGTTCTTAAAGGAGAGGATATTTCGCCACCTGTGTCCACGCCGATTGGCAAGCTCGCGCTCAGCATTGTATCCTTAATTAAAACAACATTTTTCTGAATACTTTTGTGATTTTTCATAAATTGCAAAAATTTACATATCTCGCTATGCTTAACAACAAACAAACTCACAGTGTTACGATATGCGGTTTCCCGAATTATCGTTGACTTTGCGGAACATGGGAGCGCAGATTCTCACATATCCGTCGGCGTTCACGTATCAGACCGGTGCGGCGCACTGGGAGGTGATGTTGCGTGCGCGAGCAATAGAGAATCAGTGTTACGTCGTGGCTGCGGCACAAACCGGCGCGCACAATAAAAAGAGAGTCAGCTGGGGACATGCCATGGTAAATTACTGGTCTCGGATCTTCTATAATTGAACAGAGAGAACTTTCACTTGACTGAAAATACGATTGAATTCCCATTCGTTTTCAGATTGTAGATCCTTGGGGCGCCGTTGTAGCACAATGCGCAGAAAAAACAGGCATAGCCATTGCGGAAATTGATCTCGCATTACTGGAAAGAGTCAGAAAAAACATGCCGTGCGAAGAACACCGCCGTACTGACTTGTATTCCAAAATGGAAATGCCGAAAGTCTAATTAATCGGTTACATCTCTCGATTGGGCTTGTTAATAATAAACTCTTTATTTTTTATGTTTTATATTTTGTTTCGTTATCTGTATGGTGATTCTTTTGTTTTATTGTTTATACATTGTTGTACTCTGTTAACAATAAATTCTGGTTAAGAGCACGCGATTTATGACATTAGGAACACTTCCATAAAATGTCTAGTTGCTCACAGAATTGTTTACATCTTCTTTTTGATAATACAACATATATGTGCAAAAAAGATGAAGTGTAACATAATTGTTAAATAAAAAATGCATATGTATATATTCTGTTACATAATTATAAGTAGTAGTATTAAATAAACATATCTATGTACACATAATTATTTTTCTAAATTATATAAACAATTATACATAATTGAAAAGTTTTTTCTTGAAAATTTACCCAAGTTTGTATCGTGCTTAATGTCACCTTAATCGGAAAATATCTCACCAATTTATTAAACCACATTTACAATGATGAAAATTAATACTTGAGAATTTAATTTTATTAACATTTTATTTTATAAATTTTCTTTTTATAATTTGGCGCTGTTTTAAAGTTCTAATCCACATCACCAGAGCAATCAGAAGTACCTATAGCAAAAAAGGATTGGATCGAACATTGCAATGTGAGGGGAACGTCAAGGTGTCTGATATAAAGCAGCAAAATTGTGTGCTATTAAGCTCTAACATCTAATTTATCATTTTATTTATTAAAAAATAGAGAAAGAGATCTTTATTTGTATGTATTTTATATGTATATGTATAATTCGATAAGTAAATAAATAAAACTTCTAAAAAAGTAAAGTAAATATTTTCTCATTAAACTTTAATTTATTTTACTGATTTAATTGTGAAGTGTTCCCTGGTTACGATTGTGTCGTTAAAAAGAGGGGAGAAAATACTCTCTATCTTAATCTTGCTACACAGTAGCTTATCGAAGACAACGATCAATGGAAATGACATTTCATGTGTAAATTTTTCTTAAACTCTGTTTTTCTTTATAAAACAAAGAAATAACTCATGACAACCGGGGAGCACTGTATATATTATCAGCTATATCAGATTTCAATGGAATACCCATAAGCTTGGTGTCCACTCCCTGTAATGCCCAATTATGTTCGCAGATCTCCAATGCTTCCCATTCAGACTTGAAAGCTGCTTTGGGATCAGGTGGCATGGACATTGCGGCACCTGATACTTCATCTTGCAATAATCTAGTTGTGTCAGCGGCATTATTCTCGCCGAGCACAAGTGTGTAAATGGATCTCAGTCCGAACACATTGAGGAAATACCAAGAAGCTGAAGAAACCCACGCAGCATCTAGTGTCACTAATTCTATGCCGCGTTGTAACATTGGCTTGAAACGTAATGTTAACGGAAACGGTACTTTAGCTAGAATAAAAACATACAAGCTAAATATATATATATATGATCTTGGAAGAGTTTAATTGAAAAAAAAAACATTCATATCTACTTAATATCATAATATAAATAAGAGACAATACTTGTTACAAATCCAGAGAACATCCAATTAATCCAACCGCCGATCAGTACCATAGGTAATACATTAGTTACATTTCCTTTCAACATGTCAGTCATCATGGTTGGATCAGTTATTGGATTTGGAGAAACCGGAGCACGTTTCTGAGTCTTGAAATATCCAGTATCTTCATTATTGAAAAAGTGTCTTCTGGTCATAAAAGCTACTTTTGGTATGTACTGTCCGTTCTCTCTGAGAAGTCTGGAGCGTATCATAACTTGACTGTGGAAAATGTTTAACAATGTAAACAAGAATCTTATGGTAAAAGGTAATTAAACAAATTAAAAAAAAAAAAAAAAAAAAACATGAAAATTAAAGAGTGTTTACCTATCCTGCACCTGATTAAGTTCGACCTTTTTCTGCGAGGCAAGCAGTATCGAAACATAGTGGCGAATAATACCGACGAGGAACGTAATCACTACTATGGGCAAAAACACCCAGCCTCGAATGTTCGGATCCAATAACAATTCAGCCATGTGTCTGTTCTATACAAAATTCACCGATCGGAAATGAAAACAAAATATTCACAGAAGATTCACGTCATCAAACGTCATCACAAACTCCACGATTCCAAAGGGTTATGTTGGAACGAGAAAATTGAGAACGGACGAACTCCGAACTCCGAGTTGAAGTAGCATTAGCCACACGCATGCGCGAAAAATATTCGATTGATCGAACATCTCGAAAAACTTAAGCTTTTCAAATTTCAAAGAAGCGATAAGAGATCAAGATCGTGTTCTCCGAAAACTGAACAATCAACATTGCAAGCGACTACAATCAGGATATCGATCGCAGTATGTTGGCGCCAGAGAAAACTTGATAAATCTTACACAGAATCATCAGTACACATGTGCGTACCCACTGTTTCAAAATAATAACAAGTTATTATCGTTGTGACGTTTACGTTAGATGATATCAAAATAACTTTATTGTTTAAAAATAAAGAGTTACATGTAAGAGCGTATATAATCCTTATAAAAAGATTTTATATAGGATATAATTGTAAACAAATATATATTTTTGCTAATTACAAAATAATTTATCATCGCGCGTTATAATATATCGCTAGGCGGTGCCAACGACTGATGCAATTTCGTTACCGCTGTTTGAACTATCTGCTGAAACGTCTCGTCCTCGCTGCTGGTCACCTCCAGATTCAACAGGTCTATATGCGCCTTCTTACCGTCAACGGTGACATAAAGTTTCTCACCTTTGAATATCTTAGGCACAGAGTCCTCGCCGAACATTTCTTGCAACATCTCTATGAGACATTCTTTGAAATGCATTCGATCCATCTTGGTCGGAGCGGGCAACATTTTCGGCGACTGATCCATCAGTTCGGCCTGAAGTATCGCCGTGAGAACGGAATCCGCGTACATGTCGTTAACCGGGGTCGCGATCCACTCCATCGTGACAATCTTACCGTCAATCGTGAGATCGACGTTCTTGAACACTCTGAGTTTCTTGTCGTCGATCACCTCAAGTGTGCCGGCTATTTGCGTTAAGAGATGTTTCAGCACGGGCAACGACGCGGAGAAGTACACGCTCTGTCGCTGTATGACCTGGCTCATACTCATGTCCGTGTACTTGGACAGGTCGCAAGGAGCGAGCATGTGATAATTGAAATTTCTCTTAACCAAAACACCGGACAGTTTCTGTCCCGGTTTGGGAACTTCCATCGCTAGAGTGCCCATCACCTTGGCGGTTTTCTCACCTCTGAAGTAGAGCTCGACCGCGACCGTGTTTCGCGGATTGTGTATCTCCATGGTTGTGTTGGGATCGTCTTCGTATTCCCGTTGCAACGCCGCTTTCAATCGACCCATTTCGTTTTGTTCGCCGTGTACCAGAACAACGTGAGGCGGTTTCAAAGTGCGAATAAATTCCGACGTTTGTTGATAATCCGTATGAGCGGAAAACGATATGTAATCAACAGACATTTTCAACGGCAACTTTTGCCCGGACATGGTCGTGATCTCCTCGGGTTCTGACAAAATTGTCTTGGCCAACGTGCCCTCGACGCAATAACCGGCTATTATAACGCCATTTTTCGCATCCGTGCACCAGGATTCGAACAATTCTCTGGACAAGCCGCTTTGCATCATACCAGGCGAAGCCATCACAACGCACGGTCCAATGTCTTCGAAGTGATCTATTCCTTTCAAATTGGATATGTGCTTGAACACAAACGGATTGTTAATGGCTATTTGTCGTCTGATCTTCTCGTTCATCGCGTTTACATAGGTCTGATAAACGGCCATGCACTTCTTGGCCAAGGAAGAGGCGTAATAAATTGGTATTTCGTGAAGTTCCGAGTGCTGGCTCCAATATTCGTCCAAAATAAGAAGAAGCTCCTGAGCTCTTCCCAACGCAAACACAGGTATCAGACATCTGCCTCCTCTGTTGACAATTTCATGTACGAGATTTGTGAATCTACTCTCTCTGTCCTCTCGCTTTTCGTGAATGTGAGTGCCGTAAGTCGATTCTGTGATCAGAACGTCGGGATGTATGTTCGGAATCTCGGCAGCCATCAGATGTCTGTCTTCTTGACGACTGAAATCCCCGGTGTACAGAATCTTCACACCAGCGATCTCGATCATGAACATGGCCGCTCCTAAAACATGACCCGCGTTGTAAGCCCAGAACTTGATCCCGAACACATCTTTCTCTTCGTGAAAGTTGATGGTCTCTATCTTGTCCATGCTGCTCTCAAGATCGGATTCGGTATACAACATCTGTTCAGTGGCTATGTTGCTCACTTTGATGTAATCGGACAACAGCCAGCGATAAATAGCCTTCGTCGCGTGTGTCATGAGGCAGCGACCTTTGAAGCTTGTCTTTTGCAGGAACCAGGGCAGCGCTCCGCAGTGATCCAAATGAAAGTGCGAAATCAACAGGAGATCGATCTCATCCGCCTCGACCAAATCGACGAAGGGAAGAGCATCCATGCCGGACAGACCGGGATGTATGCCGCAGTCCAGCATGATCTTCTTACCCTTGAATTCCAACATGATGCACGATCTGCCGACTTCTTGACCCGCGCCAAGCGGACGTATCGATAGCAAATCGCTCTCTTCCGCCGGCACTTGAGTGTCGCTTTTTCTCTTGGTCGACATGATGTTGCGAGAAACAATTGAGTTATACCTTTCAGAAAAGTATCCTCCACTTCTACCGTAACTTCTTTCTCTCTTTGGAATAACTCATCGAGCGAGATCTTGTTCGGCCAAAGATAAATCAACAAAGCAACGAGCTCTGGGTGAACCTCAACAAGGTGTCCAAAGTCGCTCTACAAGTGTTTTGCCAACTTTTCAGACATATATTCGAAAAAAAACGTACGTAGCCCGTTTTCCCTCAACAAAATTTAAAGCGTCGTACCGATTCTCACGTAACTCAGCTTATGTCAACGCGCTCATGTGCCGCTCGATATGTTTTCAGGAACATCCGCGCGCGTGTGTGGGTTGTACACACGCTCGGACAAGCGCGCCAATGTGTCACCTGTTGGAAACCGCTGCAAACTTGCCGAACAACCCGACGAGGAACATAAGGTTGGTATCTTGATACCGACCGAAGCTATGAAATGCGCCGATTTAAGTAAAACACTTTTCGCGCATCGCTCCGAGAGTACGCCACTGTTTGCGCACAATGGTCGGTCGCGCAAACACGAATTGTGCGAAGAGACATCCCCACGTACCGGGCGCAGGAGCTTCCCCGCGCGTCTCATCGTCCGATATCGTCGGCGGGTCCGCGGGCTTGGGTTGCGCGTGATGTGATTCAGTTTCTTCAGCGCACCGTTACCCGAGGAGTAGGCGATCCGTCACCGTCCAGCCACCGTTGCCGCCGCTTGAGAGCGAGCAAGAGCAGCGACGAGAGGGCCCAGTGTCGCGGTCGCCAGTAGTGTGTCCCCGTCGACGAAGTGTATATGTGTGTGACGTACGTTGCGTAGCGGGGAGAGCCGCGAGCGAAAGTTTTGCGGGTTAACACCAACACGACGTGATACACAAAGCGTGGCAAAAAAAGTTCCGCCGCGGAACAAAAAACGCGCCGCGCAGCAAAGAAGAGCGTGTGTGATTCTTCTTCTTCTTCTTCGTGCGCGCCAGGTAATGATCGAGTGAAGAACGTGCGAGAAGGATCGCACCGACAACACCCGCGGGACGCGCATCAGATCTCAGACCGGACCATGGGTCTGTGAGGGCGGCATTCGGTGGGAACGGTGCCCCCGCGAAGGGGAGGATCGTTGTACACGATCGCCGGGGAGGACGAACAGGAAGTAGTGCCACAGGCGTACAAGGGACAGCGGCGGGAAGGGAAGGTGAGGTTGTGGACGTCGCTGAGAGAACTGCCGTGAACGAGAGTCTGTGCTCGCACACCCGCTCGCTCGCTCGCTCGCTCGCTCGCTCGCGACCGGCTGTCACGACCGCCATGTTACCTCACGGCGGTGGCAGTGTTGTTAGGTCTTTGGCACCGCTGCTCGTTTGCTTCCTCGTGCTCGGCGCGGCCGACCTCGACGAATCCGGTGAGTCACTTTGGCGGCTACATCTTTTAACATTGAGGGGGGAAGAGGCGCGCCGGGACGCGCCTCTCCAATGAGCTCCGCGTTCTCGGCGAGCATTCGTGAATACCTATCTTCTTGTCTCTGTGTGGTTTGTTTCAGCTACACTCTTCTTGACACTTCTCGCGTATTAAATATATATTTGAGGGAAAGAAAACGAAAAACCCGGAAAGGAGAAGATGAAAAATATTCCCGTCTCCCGAATGCGATTCTAAAACATCGAGATGAGTTTTTCGCGTTTGTTATTTATTATGTGTGTCCCGAGCGATTGTTCGGATTAATTTGTTGTACGAACGGATAGAGGAATGTTGTAGAACGTTTGAAGAATTGATTTTTGATGAGTTTGATAACCTGAATGAAGAGCTTTTTAAGCGATCTTTCACGTCGTGTTGTATATATTCTTCTACGAGGAGAAAGGACGATATTACACGAGGGAAAAATATAGCGCGAAGAAGCACGTGGAAAATCACGCGCCGTGATGATCGATTAAAGAACGTGCGGAAACACTTCGCGAACGGTAACACGGGATTCCAAAATTTCACCGAAACACTTTTTAGATTTCGTTTCTCTTGCGAAGCGAAGAAGAAGTGGAAGAAGAAGTTTTTTTATCTGAAACAAAAATTTACTCTTTCTTGAAACTGGAATCTTTTTTGGACGCCAAGATCTTCTCCGTAACTGCGAACAAAAATTCTCCGCAACAATTGGACGTTTTGTGGGACGTTTTGCTAATCGCGCATTTCGTCATTTCTTCAACAAAACGCGCGACAGTTTCCGCCTGATCAAAAATGGTTCTTCTATCGGACCGCGTGTGACCATCGCATCTATATTTCGCGGAAAAAGAAACCGGAAAATTCCGGGCGTTAATTCCAGCTAACGGCTGGAATCCGCTCCGCTCGCGGCGACATCCGTCGCGCGAAATTTGGGGATCGGGGGGTTCCTCCTATCCGCGTTTCAACACAACGTTTCGCGTTGAACATTGGCAATTAGGTAAGTGGGAGATTGACCGAAAATTAAAATCGGCCCGCCGCGCTCGCACGCGCGCGTTCCGTTCTTTCCCCGTGTGTGTCAACAACGTGCCAGGTGGTTGGTCGAAGAGGGATTTTTCGTTCAGCTCTCTCGCGCGAGGATCCACTTGCGGATGAAAATAACTACTCGGCGAGAAGACTATAGACGCGCTTCTTCCACTCGAATCCCGCGGTTTGAGAAACGACATCACATTGAGCCACTTTGTAGAAAACATTGGGAAATCGCGCGCGTTAACACACACCTTACACGCGCACCTTCACACCTTGCACAGACTCTTTGAGATCTTTCTCGCGGAAAACTCCGTTTTGTTTTTTATCTTGTTTCAACAGAAATGTCCGAAAAACTGTGTGACGAAGCTGTCGATGGTTCGACAGTATTTAAAAATAAATAAATTTTCGACGAGTTCGCGTTGCGGATAATTAAATAGACGGGAGGACGTTCGGGTCTTGCGATAATTTTGGACACGTTTCTAATTTGGCAGCTTCTTATTTTTTCCAACATTTAAGCACGAGGTTACATACGCACGTGCGTGTTGGAGAGAGACAGAGAAAATATAGAGATAGATATATACGTGTTTACAAGAAACTAGAATGTGTAGACTAGAATGTGGCACTGGGTATAGCGAAAACAATATACAATGTGTGTGTGTGTGTGTGTGTGTGTGTACGTATGTATGTTAAGTGCGCGAGGAGGCGGTCGTTGGCATTGGACGGTACCACATTGTGAAAATGATGCGGCGACACGTAAGATGAATCCGTCACTTACGATGTTTTCCTCCGTAAATTTCTTGTACGAGGAACTTCAAATTGGGGACCATCAAGAAAGTTACTTGACCACGTCTCTAAGTAGAAATTATTACGAGAATTGAACAATATATATACATATATATATATATAAAAAGAACGTTTTTTCATCTATTTTTCGGTTCGTCGAAAAATGGACGGCCACGTTTCCACGCTTGCCGTATATTAAATTTGATTTCATTGATCGCGTAAGAATAACCGGAGTACCGGGGTGGCGGGGGAGGAGGAGGGATATTAAAGGGAGCCAGCGCGCTGCGAATTCGAAGAAGAAGAATTCGCGCGCGAATCAAAAAACGACGAATTCTTTCTTTCCGAATGATACATTTTTTTTGTATGTATCTTTTGAAAATAAGATTTCAGATTCTTTCGCGATAATCTGTTCGCGCGCGTGCGAGGAAATCGAAACGAGCAACGACGTTTTCTCGCGACAGGTGCGGACAAACCAGGAGAAGCGGAAGAAGCGGCGGACAGATCGAAAGTCGAGCCGACGGCGTCGCTCGAGATCCAGTCGTCGCAGGATATCGAGGGTATTGAAGCGGGCAGCACGCCGTCGCTGCTATGCAAGCTCGACGTGCCGGGTCAGGTCTGGTGGAGCACCGGCGGCAGAAATCTCACCACCATCAAGGATTTCGAGTACGGCGGCCGGCTCGACATCAAAAAAGCGAGCAGAAACGACACCGGCGACTACAAGTGCTCCGCGCAGACCGCCGACGGCGAATCGCTCGAGAAAAACATTCATATCAGAGTGATAGGTAATATATATATTCTTCGATTTAGAAATCTCTCTTATCGTTTCCTTGTTCGATTGCACGCGCGTTTATGAATTTCGAGTCTCTCTTTTTTTTTTTTTTTTGTTGACGCGAAAGATTCGTCATTATCGGTTTCGAATGGTGGTCTTATCGTGGTCTTTAAATGTCGGTTTCTCTTGTCGGTTTCCAGAACCCGGCAAAATAATGTCAGGCGGCGATGTGAGAGCGAAAGTGATGGAAGCGGCCAACTTGACTTGTCACATACACGGTTATCCGTTATCCAACTTCACTTGGTTAAAAGGGAATGATTCAGAGAGCAGCGAGCACTTGAACGATCTCACTGCCGTAGCGCAGATAAACGAGACTTATTCTGTTTTAATCCTGGAATTCAAGAGTCTCGCGCGCAAAGACAACGGCACTTACGCGTGCCAGGCGAGGGACTACAACGGGATAATTAGCGCCGTCGCGCACTTATTTGTCATTGACGTGCCGAAAGTTAGCATAGACTTTATGAAGGCCGTAGGCGCGGGAAGTATATTTCTAAATTGGACTGTCAACGATGGTAATGAACCGATCAAGAAGTACTTCATCCAGCACATGAAAAAGGGCACGGATCAACGTCAGTACTACGCTGAGCAAATCGGCGGCGGTAATTCGAGTTATGTTCTCAAAGGATTTGAAAGCGGCACCGCGTATCAAATTGGGATCAGTGCCACCAATGCCGTGGGCACATCCTACATGCAATTAGATCCACGGTGGATCACCACGCTTGACAAAGGTGCGTATTGTTATTATTGTTTAAGAAGAAATTTGTGTAGAAAGAAAAATGTTATAAATTACGATCTCTTTGCATAAGTAGTATTTTTTTTATAGCAAAAAGAAAAACACAAAATATAATTTTTTAAAAATAATATAGTTTTAAATTAAAGCTTTATCTTGTGTATTGTCTTTGTTAATACCGTCTACCAAAAAAAAAATACGCATTTTCAGATCCGGTGTTTGTGCCAAAAGTGTCTGTGAACGGCGTGACGGAGAATTCGATTACAATAGGCTGGACAGTGCCACCGCCGGATTTGAAAGAACATGTGCACTATTACAATCTGATGGCTACCCACGCTGATCAGAAGAGAGAAGCGGTGTATCCCGCCCAACCATTCACCGTGTACGCGTTTGTGGATCTCGATCCAGCGACCACTTACAAATTCAGGATAGCAGCTTGCAGCGAATACACAAAGCAGTGCGGCAATTGGAGCGCCGAAGTAAATGGCACCACGCTAGACGGAGGTGCGTCTCGATCGCAAAAAAGACGAGTAGAAAATGTATTTTTCTCAAATAGCGAATATATCTAAATTTAAGCACACATTTTTGTTTGTTTGTTTTTTTTTAGTGGCTAGTCCTCCGAAGAATCTCGCCGTTATTTGTAGCTACGATAATATAAGCAGCTCTAGCTTTATATCCATTACGTGGAAACCGCCCGAGAAACCGAACGGCATTATACAACGTTATAACATACAATTAAGCGGCACGACTAGATTCAAAAATGATATGGGACAAGTGGTTGACGACAACTTTAATCTATCCAGTTTGAGCGTTTTCAACAAGAACAACACGCGATACAATCGGATACCTCCCAATACAAATTATACTGTATGTAGTCTAAGTAATTAATTATTATTCACACACAAGCTTATATCAAGAACACGTAGCCTAATTACTCATAGCTTAGATTATTTATCTGTCCACTAATTATTCCCTAATAATTCAATTATAGTTTTTTTTCTTAATTATTGTTTAATTAATTTTTACTTGAAGTTAAAAATGTTATCAGATAGGTATTTCTATATCATTTGTGTTAATAATAAATCCTCAAAATCAAAGGTTCGAGTGCACGGAGTGACAAGATCTCGCACTCCCGGTAAAAACGCCGTTGGCAACTGCACAACGCCGGTTACGGTTCCGGAGCGTGAGAGCTTGAACATGCGTAACTGGCGTAAGATCGAGAACCAAGGCAGGCAGTTGTTCAAGCTCTATCTGCCCCGCATCTCCGAGCGAAATGGTCCTATCTGTTGTTACCGCGTCTACTTGGTGAAACTGCCGCCACACAAGACTGTCAGCGATTTGCCGTCACCTGAGGAAATCGCGGTGTACTCCTATCAATACGTACACAGCTCACCTACCGGCGGTGCTTACATGGCCGAGACGTTTGACAGCGATCGGTTATTAAGCGAGGTCTTTCTCGGCGACGGCGAGTCGTCCACCGGTGGCGCGATGTGCGACAAGTGTGTCGGTCTGCGACCAAAACCGGCGCCCCCGCTGTTGCATTTTGTCCCGGAAATTCCATCGACCACTGCTTCTACTTCGACTACTGCAAGTAACGTCACTGTCACAACCACGTCGACATCAACAACGATGATGACTAGCAGTAGCAGCAGCAGCAGTACAACCACAAGCTCGTCTACGTCGTCAACAACAATTACTACCAGCACTATTTCAAAAATAGACACGACTACGGCTGTGCCACTCGTTAATATCTCAGAGAAAGCAGAGAGACGGAAAAGAGAAGATTCGCCTGTGCAAAGGGCGTCTATAGATGGTTCCGGCGAAGCGAGTTTGTTATTATCTTACGACGGCTTTCTCGATGAGACGTCAAACTATACTGGTTTTATCGAGGTTATCGGTACGTACACTCGTCCCTAAATTATACATCATAAAATTTTACATTCCCGGTGTATATACATACACTTCGACGATCGATAATTTCTTACAGTGTTTGACGATCGAAGAGATCAGCTTTTACCGGCTTATAGCAGTTATCTTAATCCTCTATACGGAGGAGTGGACCCTCTCAGTGTAACAGCCACAGAAGCAACTACTGTCAGAGAAGTGATAATACAATTATTCATCGCTCTGATTTTAACTCTCATGGTTCTGTTTATCGCGCTCTGCGTATTGTATAGATATACAAAACGTGCGCAAGAGAGAGAGGAAGTCATAACGTTGCGCAATAGTTTTAGGCAAGTTCCACAATACAAAACAACGTTTGAAATGTTTGATTAAAGATCATTATTGTAAAACAATAACAAAACATGCACGTTCCTTACAGGCATCTCTGTAGAAGTTTGAGAGGTAGACATCAGCTCGTGGCGGCGAGTCCACCCGATATGCCACCCATACCGAAGAACGAATTGCTGCAGGCGTATTTGGAACGACATCGGGATTCAGATTACGGTTTTCAGCACGAATTTGAGCTGTTGCCCGACCGATTCACGGACAGAACGACGCGCGCATCCGAGGCGCAGGAAAATCTCTATAAAAATCGTTACCCGGACATCAAGTGTTACGATCAGACGAGAGTGCGTCTGGCGCAGATAGACGGTATTTGCGGCTCCGACTACATCAACGCTAACTTCGTGCTGGGTTATAAAGAGCGCAAGAAGTTCATTTGCGCCCAGGGTCCCATGGAGAATACCGTGTGCGATTACTGGCGTATGATCTGGGAGCAGCATCTCGAACTGATACTCATGCTGACGAATCTCGAGGAATACTCGAAAACCAAGTGCGCCAAATACTGGCCGGATAAGCACGAGACCAAGAACTTCGGAGATATCACGGTTGAGCATGTCAAGGAGCGCGCCTATTCGGATTACGTGGTACGCGAGCTGAAGATGACGCGATTGGGGGAACGTGACTCTCGCACAATCGTTCAATACCACTTCCTCGTATGGAAGGACTTCGTCGCGCCGGAACATCCGCACGCAATTCTACGTTTCATCAAGCGCGTGAACGAGGCGTACTCGCTGGAGAAAGGACCGATTTTGGTGCACTGTAGCGCGGGCGTAGGCCGCACCGGTACCCTCGTGGCGCTAGACTCTCTGCTTCAGCAATTGGCTGAGGAAGGCCAAGTGTCTATCTTCAATACCGTGTGCGACCTGCGGCATCAGCGTAACTTCCTCGTGCAATCTCTCAAGCAGTACATTTTTATCTATCGCGCGCTCATGGAGATGGCGCAGTACGGCGATACGGAAATCACGGCGTCGCAACTTAAAGCAACCGTTGCCAGACTCAGGCAGCGAGATAACGGCAAGGAGAAGTGCAGAATGGAGGAGGAGTACGATGTAAGTTAAAAGACACACAGAAAAAAACTTCGAAACTACATAGTCTTGTCTTTTTTTAGGTGTGGGTTTTAAAACTTCGCGCAAATTGAAATGTTAAATTTTTGCGTGGCACTTTGGCTCGCGATTTTATTTTTAACTTTTATTTCTTTTCCGAATGGCGCGCATTCTACTTGTGTATATTGAATAGGGTCAACAACTCGTAAAAAAATGTTTCGTAATATTTTATATAGATTGCGGAGAGAGAAGAGAAAGAAAAAGAGAGAAAATAAACCAATATCCAATAAAGTGCTCGATGCGGAAGTACACGCCGCTTTAGTTTTTTGAATTTACTCAATAACTTTTGAAAAATATTTATTTTTCTTTCACCAAGTGACATGAATGTTTTTTTTTTTGTTTGTTTGCAGAAAATCAGTTCTGTATTGGAAGATCGGAAATCTTTTTCTGTCGGTGGCGGAGAAGAGAACAAATCGAAGAACAGGAGCGAGCTGGTGATACCGTACGACAGAAATCGCGTGATACTAACTCCGGTTCCGGGGAGGGAACACTCGACGTATATAAACGCGTCGTTTATCGAAGGTTACGACAATTCCGAATCGTTTGTCATTACACAAGATCCGTTGGAAACCACCATAACGGATTTCTGGCGAATGATCTCGGAACAGTGCATTTCCACGATAGTTATGTTATCCGACGTAAGTGTTTATTTATTTATGCGCATACACGATATAATTCTCTTTTTTTTTTCTTATTTTTCTATATTTATAACAGTTGTACAAATTTATTTCTAATTTTGATTTTAAGTTTTTGCATCGACAACTGTACGAAGATATTGCGTTAATAGAACATACATACAAGGCACGCATTTTCGTACAAAGTTTTTTTTAATAGAATTAATACACTAAGTCTAGTTTACAATCGCAATCGGGTGAGAAATGATATCATGGTCCCCGATTTTTGTATCAAGAGACAATCTTTGAGAAACAAATGAATGAAATCTCAATCATATGTCGATCGTATATTATCTAAAATGTACAGGACGTGTACGTGAGATCAACATTTGTCTTTTTCACACACACAGTTAAATGAAGGCCCACGGAAATGTCCACGATATTGGCCCGACGACGAGACTGATTACGATCACATAAAGGTCCGTTACATTCATAGCGAGAGCTGTCCGTATTACACGCGTCGCGAGTTCTGCATTTTGAACACGAAGACTGACGAGAGCGGGGTCGTGAAGCAATATCAGTATCATGGCTGGCCAACGGTGGAGGGCGAAGTACCTGAAGTGACGCGCGGTCTCATCGAACTGGTGGATCAAACGAACGATCCCGACACGAGCGGCTCGTTGGTTGTGCATTGCAGCTACGGATCGGATCGAAGTTCGATGTTCGTGGCACTTAGTATACTAGTCCAACAGCTACGCACCGAGAAGCGCGTAGACATCTTCACAACGACGAAGAAACTGCGCTCGCAGCGACACGGCATGATCAGTACCTTTGTAAGTACTCAGGAGGGAGAGATTATTATTGTTTTTTTTTTTATAAGTGAAAAATTTATAAAGACATTTTTGTTGAGTTACTTTGATTGAAAACGAAAAAAAAAACGCAGATGAAATGAGAAATCAATGAATTCTACATAACGATGTAATATTTCGTGTGTGTGTGTGTTACAGGCACAATACGAGTTTCTTCATCGTGCCATCGTGAATTATTCGGATCTTCACAACTTGGCCGACGATGAACCAGTGTCATAATGTCTGAAAACTAGCGAAAGCGAGATTAAATTGTTCTAAATACTCTGTTTGGGCAGACATGTGCGTGAAGATGTTCCTCGTGAGACGTAATCGAGGATCCACGAACAGACGTACATCGCCCCAACCAAAGAAGAAATTAAACATCGATGACAGATCATTAATATCTCATCATCATCATCATCCATTATTATCATCAAGATACAGACGCACAATGCGCACTTTGCTGCATCTCGCGCGAAGACTACTTTGTACATATAATATAATGGCAGATTTTACACACACACACACACACACAATTGATCGTGAGTTGATAAGAGAAGCATTTGATCGAAGAATTAACTGGCCAAATTCAACGCAGTTTTTATCTTGTGGATAGATCCGAGTTGGTGAGAATCTGAGAAGTGCAGTGCGTGACCGCACGTCACGTGACTGTTGCAGAAGCTTATTTTTTATCGGTAGTCTAATGCTCCAGCCGAGAGAGTAATGTATTCGGAGTGCGTCGCGAAGTTTTTTGTGATCGAGATCCGGACAGAGAAAGAGAGATAGAGAAAGAAAGAGACGGATTTCTTATCGGAATTCTCGGTATGGCTGTACAGCGAAGAACTATCGCAGGATGGAACCGGTGTTCTTGTGTAGGTATGCCCATATGCATATACGTTTTTCTGATAAATGTACAACAACGCGGGGCAAGAACTCGGAATCGCTTTCTTCTTGTAAATCGCAATCGAGGCAAACAAAACAGCGGAGTTCTCAAAACCACAATTATTTGGATTAGAAAAAAAAAAAAAAAAAAAAACCCATTGTGAAAATTTCTCCAAGAGGTTTCTATTAAACGCGATTTCGCTCTGACGTCTGCTGCGGAACATTCTCTTTCGAATCGAACGGAACGAAGCTAAGAGCGATTAAATGCGCAATTAACTTCGTTTCACGGTGGAAACTCCGAGAAGAAGCGCTTTCTGCAACGAGACGCGCGAGGTATCGCTATACTTTATGGTCTGTCGTAACGAGTAAATAGTAGTGACTACGCGCGCGTGTTTGCGTATACATATTTATATGTTCGTCGATGATATATGCGTTTACTATTATGATATATCACGCGTACGCTGATTTCTCTCTTTCTAAAAGAAAAGACTGATAGTCTCTTATTCATTTCGAAATACGCGACTAAAGCACGTATGTAATAATCTCGTTTGCACAACATTTTGCCTATGAATCGTAATATCGTGGGAAGACGATCGTTCTCATTTCTTTTCTTTCTTTTTTTTTTTTTTTTTTTTTTTTTTTTTTTTTTTTTTTTTGTTTAGTTTTCGCGTCCGGAGAAAATGTTTTTTTATAGATATGCGCGATATGTATATGCGACGATGTGCTTTTTTCGCGCGTGACGACATAAGAGCTATTGCGACTTAAGTCGAATACCAAACGGGCTGGGCAAATTATCGCGAAGATCAAACACGCACAACATAGATTGCAGAAAAAAAAAAAACAAAAAAAAAAAAGGGAAAGTCGTAACAATATAAATTTGAGATGCACACACAATTATTATATTGAAAATGTAGCTTCGTGATCGAATTATGAATTTGCGATTATATTCGAAATATCGCCCGGCCCGATAGTGCGACAAGAGACGACACAGCGGAAAAATTGGCGACGTCGATATAAAAATGGAAATAAAAAAAAAAATAAATAAATAAATAAATAAAATTAATAGATTAAGCAAGGACACGGAGGAGAGGAAAGGATGTAGAATTATAAACGTATTAATTCCTTCGCACGCGTTTGTTTATTTCTAGTCAAGTTTAAGCTTCGACACACGTGCGTTGCCAAGCCATAGCCTTTCGCAGGAGGCAAGGAGACAATCACGTTAATTCCGATTCGCACACATCGCGTCGCCCGATTATTTCCTTTCTTTTTTTTTTTTTCTTATCTTCGCAGATATCAGTCTCATTCCAATTTAGCCGGAAGTTCTCCGATAAGAGGCATGAATTAATAGCGAGTCTTCATTTTGTCTCTCGAAATTGTGTAACAATAAATTTTGTACAATTACAGTTATCTTGCAAATCTCTTCTATATATATAGAACAAAAAAATAAAAGACAAAAAAACAAAGTTGCGGCAATCGGTGTAGCACTAACAGCAAATAAATTTGACCTAATAAAAAACTCGCAATAAATATTTAAATATTTTCTCATGACTCACATTGGAGGGCTTTTGTTCTGACGTTAAATACGCTGAATAGATTCATCTCGCCTTATTACGCGACACAAATAGATATATTAGGTTTTAGTCGTTACCGTGAAGAAACTCGCTTCGGTTACGTTGTAGTTGATAGAGAGAAAGAGAGAGAGAGAGAGAGAGAGAAAGAGAGTCTCTAAAGATAATAGAATTACTCTCGCCGCCTGTATTTATAAATATATAAACATTGTTATATACTATCGCCTATCGCCTGTTGCTATTTGTATTAATGAGTGTGTGACAATACTTGTTTCGTATCCTCTTCGATATACCTGTTGTTATACATGCGTTTTCCGCAGGGTCACGCGACGGTTTTCTTTTTTTTTTTCTTTTTTTTTTTTTTAATTTCAGTTTTATTACGTTACACGCCGTATATAATCATTCTGCATATCTCGTCTCGGCTAAAATTGAATTGCGAAAAACAGCTGCGAGACAGAAGCCACATGAATAAAAGCAAATCAGCTGATTAAAGTGAATTCCGCTCATCTTTGAGAAAAGGGAAGAGAGAGAATAACTTTTATTATAAACAGAGATTTTTTCTATTGCTTTTATATACACACACACATATATATATATATTAACAATAAGATTTACACCGTAGGTAATCGACTCTATTGTAAATAATATCGTAATCTCTCTTTGAAATATAAAAATAATTTGTTCACAATGGATAAGATGCGCGCTTATATGATTCTTTTTCTTTCTCGCTGAAGTTTTTGCACATTTATTCATGTGGCTTGTCGATTGTGTGGCTTCCCATTATTTGCAGCAGCGAATGATATATAATATTAAAAGCGTTGATTCCCGAGAGAGATCGATAACTTAAATGAAACTGTTGTTTATCGAATAGAGGTAATCGAGCGGTCACATTGTTATGACTACTATTATGCATATACGTACCTTCTCTTTTTACACAATAGTATTTCATTTTATTTTGCGCTCCACGTTCTCTATTTTTGTTTTGTTATTATAGCGTTGGTACACAGTAGTGTACACGTCACCTGGACAGAAACATCCACGACCTGCGACCGACTATACACATATATGCTTAGTTTCGTAAATTTCCTCAACGGATTAACAGTGTAATCTCCGAAAACGCCTAACTGCCGAAAATATGATTTGAGATTGAAAAAAAGGAGGCGACTTTTGTATACACAGGGCGCAGAATTCTGCTAGATAGAGCCACCACTCACAATAGGTTTGTTTCTCGCGCACGATCCTTGTGATATATACCTCGGTTCTGTTTTTCTTTGCACGAGAATTTTTCGTTCGTGTGTCGGTTCGATTACGAGGTATATATATATATATAAATCTTCTTCTTCTGTACACTGACCACGATTCTCGTGTAATCGTTGTAGTACATCTCGATGATAGAGATAAGTCAGAGAAAGAGAGATCATTCCGCCAGAGAAAGAGAGACTTCGATACGAGAGGTCCAGCCAACGTACTACTTAACTATAGAATTCGGTGAAAAACAAAGTTAAGCCTAGAATTACTAATTTGTAATAATAATGAGATTTGTACTAATAATGAGAAAACTCTATAGATAGAGCGAGCGACGCAAAGTGCAAAGGGAGAGATATTTGTGTATTCTTGTTTTTTTTTTCTTTTTGGCTCCGCACGACGGTCCTGCGAATGTTGCGAAGCTTTTTCAAGTTTTTAAAGCTTTTTTTTTAAATCTTTTATTCTTGTTTTTTTCTTTTGTTCTTTGTTTTTTTCTTTTTTTTTTTTAAATGTAATAGTTAATCTAACAGTGCTGCAATTTCGCATAAAGAAACGTATAGACAAACTCGTAGGATGTGCTTATAGAAAAAACCCTCACGATTTATATATTCGTTTACGTTTGCTCAGAATTGCAGCATTATTAGGATCAGAAAAGAGTTTCCTAAGAGTTTTTCTTTTTTTTTTATCCAAATAAACAAATTTTATTAAAGATTGTCTAATATTTGAATATATATATCAAGATATATATATATATATAAATATATAAAAAAGATGAATTTAATTTATTGCAATAAAACTTTTATGTAATAAAATTTTTTGTAGGTTTCGTTTAATCGAGAATTACGTTCCTCCTTGAATTCCGCGGCGCAGTTCCAAAATAAAACGAACATACAATAACACACGCAAATGATATATTTCTCGACTTTATTACGAGAAAATAATATTCTTCTATCACACCTGTTGAGTGTTTAGTGAAACACGCTGGTGTTTCGTCAAACTAACTTTACTTTTTAGTTGCAAGAAAAAAAAACGATAACTACAAGTTGTATTTCGAGAAGTAAGACTTTTGAACGTGATGCGTTTGACATTTTCAAGATACACCGAGATTGATAGAGATTGACGTCGTTTAAAATGAAGCTTGGCACAATAAAATTCCGTTTTTTTGATAAAACCGAGTGAACGGAGAATCCGACGAGAGACGACACTCTTCTTGGTCTCACGCGCATTCTCTCAATACTGGAATCTGACAAACCCCTTTACACGTTACTGAAAATGTGATTCTATATTTTTACATTTAAGATTTTTACATTCGAGAGAGAGAGAGGCGAGAACAACTGCTGCTTACATCTGAAAGAAAAAAAAAAAGGGCAACGGTTTGGTTTTCCGGTACGGATGTTTCTTGTTGTGACCAAGAAGGGTGATATGTGTTTTTTCACAGAATTATATAACGAGGAAAGAAATTCGCGAATATAATGCTCAGCTGTTTTGTTCAAAACTGATCATTAACAAACTTGATACTCTGCGAGGGATTCCCGTTCACGTCGCGTGTGCGCAAGATTACGTTTAGTATTGAAATAAAAGATGCGAGGCCTAGAGATGCGAAAGGGAAAAGGGAGGAATGAACGCGAATTTCACGTTTCTATAACGATATTTGACCCTATATTCTCAGTTTTGTTTAAACTCGTTGAAATCACACAGACGTGCGTGCCTAAATTTTTATACGCATTATTTATACGTATAATTTTAACGACAAACAAACAGATCTGAAAAAGATATTGAAATTTGTAAAATGTAGTTTAATTTATCTTAAGAACTTAATATGTATAATCACTTAGAGAGACAATTTTGAAAACACTTTATAAGAGAATATAACAAAATATATAAAAAAAAAAAGTATTTATGTACGTGAAAAAAATCACATGTATTAAAGACTCCGTCTTTTTCACAGATGAAATTATGCGAGGATGCGAATAACGTGGAACAGAGCACTTCTTCTCTTTTTCTCGCTGTTGTCACATTCTGACTGATGTGAAAATATTTCGAATCGGCAAAATTTTACCGATAAAATATCATCAATTACATTAAGAAACGTACAATTACTTTGAAAACAAGTAAACAGTGATTTAAAAATATTCAACAATATTATGCTTGTTATGAACCAAGAAAAAATCTTTTACAAATAAGATAAACAAACTTCATTTCGTTTTCTAACATTTCTCTCGAAACAAAAAAAAAACATTGTTATAATTCGTACAAGAAATTTGCGCTATGTTATTAAATAATAATTGAATAATCGATTAATCACTAATTTCTTTTAACTAATAAAGATTCGGAATATTCTCTTGTGCGAGTGATAACTCAAGAAAGAGATTTATACATTTAAAGGTGCACGTGCGCCAATTATGTAATCGGCTGGAACGTGTTGCGCGAATGACAGAGGAGCGTGCACTGTGAAAGGACGTGTGCGTGACGTGTGTTACGTGTTTAATACAGATCCCTAAAAAGAAATTTTAAACAAAGGAGAGACGGCGGGCAAATCTATTTAAATGACAAACACAAAGTCAATATTTGATGTGATGAAACAACGGAGAATGTTACATTGATGTCAAATTTGTTTTGAAAGCAATGGCGCAATTTACCGATTTGTAATTTTTTATTGTATATATAATAGAAATTTAATTTGCATCGATGTAATCCTCTAATATAATTGGTAATTTAATTTAAATGTTCCTCTCTATTATTTGTATTCCGAGGATATGGAAATGTATTGAATCTCGATTCGAAAATTAGCTCGTATATAACTCTGTTAATCAAGTGATTACGCAAAAGTCACATATGTCACCGCCGTCTCTGCGTTAACCGAACGACTATTCGGTAAGGTCTCGAATTTTGTAAATTTAACGATTTAAGATAGCACACACAGAAAACATACCGCCGCGTATTGCATTAAAAAAAATTACGTTCGTAACATGATAACAAGATCTACTTGTAAGAGACATTTGCATATATAGTCTTAGATTTTGTATGATATTCTCACACAAAGAAGATGACGGCAAGAGGTGGGATTCACGCTGAAAGATCTCTAATATCTGTGAGAGATATATTAAGTGTACTGATAAAAAGAAAGAGGGCAATCGAGTAAAAAATTTTAACGTGTACATGCCGGATGATTGGAAGAACACCAGGCGCACGGCGCTCGCTATGATATAATATGATAAAGCGCGTTCGCGAGTTTCGCTATCGAGGAAGTTTCTTTCCTCGAAAGCAAAACTCACGGAAGTGCGCAACCGAGTCTGCGACAGCTCATCATCGAATCAATTCTTTTTTGTATGAAACAATTGTAAAGCGATAACACACAGTGCACTCGATGTGGAAAGGAAATACATGACACAATAACAAGCCAGCAGCAGTACTTTCTTTTGACTGTCTTTCTTATTGTTTTTCTTTCTGGACGCGCTCGTGTGTTTACATAGATGAGATCCAAAAAAGCAAACAATATAGGACTAAAAAAATTACCTAAGTTCAATAATTTTTCTTATAATTATTTGAAAGAGTTCAATTTTACTTGAAATATGAAGAATCAAATTTTTTCATATATTTACATCCGCAAATAGAATTTTGTACGTAATTGTTATTTACCGAAATACTGACATTTTTTGAAGAGAAAAAAAAATGTATACATTTATTTGAAAAGATTTTACAATTATTTTTCTCTCTTTCTATTTTCTCTAAAAGCACATTTCTTCCAAAACGGGAATCTGTCTTCTATCTATATCGGATGTAATAATTGTGATTTCCTTATTACAGGATGTGTCGTTTGCAAAGTGCTGCGGTGCTTTACGGCAGAACCTCGATAAATGACCCTCTAACGGTCGTGTGTGTCGTTACCAATAATTAAGCAACGGTTCACTGACTTCGGTAAAGCGCTGCAAGTGCTCCTTATTTTAGACGGAGTCGCAATTATCCGCACGACATTTCCGGGAATTTTACTTGAGGAATTCTCGTAAAGCGCACAGCTGTTAGGTAATGATGTAACAAAATTTACATAAACATTTAAAAATAGACGCGCATTTAAAAAGAAAGAAAAAACAAATCCGGAAAAATGTGAAATCTAAGTCGATATTTCTCTTCTGCGAGCAATCAAAAATGATTGGGCGCGCATTTGATATATTGTGGAATTATTCGAGCGATCTCACAACTTCTAGTCTACGGAACGGGAATTTTTTCAAACAATAATAATTTCAATATCGGATGACCAGCAGGTGGTTGTCTAAACGGCTTGCATCGGTCGATCGCGATTTCGCACATGATGATGGTGTGTGTGTCAATGTGTGAGAGGCGCGCGTTTTTCATAAAAATTGACTTTTTGCGGAACGATTAAAACGCGAGATAAAAAAATGCAACACGATTGCACAAAATGCATCGTCATAAAATTCCTCTTTGTTCATTTACAAACCGGAGATTAAATTAAAAAAAAAAAAAAAATTGTTTGACCGAGTTCTTTTTTATTCGTAGCTAAATAAAAAACTTCTTCTCTTTACGCAGGTGCAACGAAGTGCGTCTGAAATATTCGCCGCGATGAAGATTCGCGAGGTATATAAATCGGGTTACTACCGGTACTGCCTATACATTCGAAATTCCGAAAGTAAATTCATCCCGTCTCGCCGCGAATGAAATTGCCGAGAGATGCCTTGGAAATTAAAACTTCCTCCTCTCTCTCAACTTGATCTTGAGTAATCACACTCACTACATTCTTGTGTCACCGTGACATAATTACATACGTCTAGAACGTTCGCATCTTCGGAGAATCCGGAGTTTAATTTGATGTTACATAAAATTGTACACAATATGAGTAAACATTTCTTTTCGAATTTCTTTGACGTATTACATTTTTGTATAATTGTTTCAACACATCGGTGTCAAATTCTGTAAAAAAAAAAAAAAAAAATAATAAGTGCCAGCAATAAGTTGTTAAAAAAATTTTTTTATAACAATTCTACTTTATATCCCGACTTCTCATAAAAAGTTCGTTAAACAATGACATTGATCATGATTACGGATCTCTTGATTTATTTGACAAGACAGAGCAATTTGTTATAAACGTTTTGACGACGAGATAACCGCGCGGAGCTAATTCGACACGCAATAGTCATCCGAGAACGATCTTCCGAACGATAATGAGACTTTTTACTACCGCTTCCACTTGTAAATTAAGGACACAAGTCAAAAAACTATTATCGGACCGTGATGAGAGCTCCGACTATCGACGACGAATCTCACGTACAGGCAATATAGATCTTATCGAAGATAAGATTGTGCATTCAAATCAGCGATAAGCGCGATGACCGGTGAATGTGGACCGTCACGGATCATACGATTCAGGTTCCCGGTGGTTTTGGGTACGTCCGTTATATTACCTGTACGCGTATACACATCGGGATTGAACAAAATACTGGTTTGATGGTAGCGGAATATACAATACTGTACACAGATACACGTACTACGTAAGTAGGCTACCGTGGACGAAGGGATTGTCATTACGAACTCGATTCAAGGGATTCGGAATGTGCGTCGAAATCTTTTAAACTTTAGTGAAAAATTTATATGAATTAAGAAAACTTTATGCACACAGTAGAGTTTGTCCTGCAAAATTAACAGATCTGTAAATGAGTAAAAAAAAAAACAATTTTATTTAAAAAATTTTTTAAAATGTGTTTTGTTTACTTTCAAATAGGAACGAGGAAACGTTTAAAGAGAAAGAAAGAAAGAGAAAGAGAGAGAGAGAGAGAGAGAGAGGTTTTCTAATATTATTTTATATAAAATTTATATATATAAATCTAATTGTACAAATAAACTACGTACTAAAGTTGCGTGATTCCCAGGAACTGCGCTTTGATCGTCAATTTTTTTTTCTCAATTGATGAAAAACTGTCCACAGAAATGTCCGGTATAGATTCTTATGAAACGCAATTGTTATTTGTAGCATCCGCCTTCGTGATGCGTATCACGTTTCCGCGTTTCGCCAAATATACAGGAGTAGGGGGGAAATGTGTCTAGCTAAGGAAGTTGATTCAGTTCATTCACGTTATAGTAGTACCTTCGCAAACCTGTTTGTCGATCCACCTCGATCGCACGCGTTTTCCGCGCTTTCAGAATACATATCCGCCGCGAGAGAAGGCACGATACCTTGCGTGCGATTTGAGCTGTGCGATGCGCGCGCTCGTGTGTGTGTGCGATACGGTGTGTCAATTTATTTAACCCTTTGATTACCGAGGGCTGTTGTAGACACATGTCGAATGACGTGCGCGATTTTGGATCATGGTACATTAAATGAATTTGTAAATTGATTTCAATAATGTGTCACATCGCGCTCTTCTTTTTTTTTTTCACGAGGAATTTAACGTTGCTTCTTTAGCAATGCGTGAAATACATCAATCTCGCGACACCGTGAAATGTGAGAAACATTTAAACGGTCAAACGGAGTGACGTCCGAAAGTGAAAATGCGTCAGATATGCCATCAGTATCACGGAGGCTAAAAGACTGTTTAATGAAATACGTAATAAAATCTTACTAAGAAATTACGAGAAGACAAATAAAATACAGAATTGAAAAAAAAAAAAAATCAAAATATTGTGCGCGAAAATCAAGTGGTCACCGACAGTGTTTTTTTTCCGACGGATGCTAAAAGCGCAAAAAAACCGATTCGATATGAATTTACTGCTGAGATCGAAGCCGTCGCGATTTGCCGCGTTGATATCGTTTATCATAGTCAACGCTCGTTCGAGCGGCGCGGAAACGAGCGCGGAGTACCTTCGAAATGTGATGATCGAGCTTCAGGAATTAAATATGCCCGCCAATAGCCCGACGATGCACAACCGAATGTCGACGAACTATCACTCCGCAGATTATCAGGATGACGACGTCCAAGACACGACGCGTCGTAAACTTAGCATCAACAGTGCTCATCATCAGGATGTTCAGCAGAAGCCGACCGCGATCGCGCCTTTTGTCAAACATGTGGACGTGATTCCCGCCGCTGCGAATAATGTATTGCAATATTACGCAGTACGTTGAATTTAAACAAAATAAACAAAACAGATATAAGACATGTGCTGACTCAGAAATTAAGTAGCACTCAAAAGAAATTAACAGAAATTTAGTTTTATAAAAAAAAAAAAACGTACGCAATTTCAAGTCCCGCGTTGTTCATCATTTTCGATTTGATTTTTTCAAAATGTCAACGTTAAGTTCCGACAATGTGTCCGCGAATTTTTTTCAGGTGCGCGATCCCGCCGCCGCGACCAGTTACCCAAAGGTGAAACAACCGGAGCCGGTGGCGTTTACGAGAGCGGAGCTGGCCGCTATGTACAAAAAGGCCTTGGAAAAAGGGTCAGCGATCAGCGTCGCGTCGTTGACGCAGGCACTCAACGCCGCGGGCAACGTCAACGCGCCGTCATCACCGCAGATCGGTCACCTTCAGCTGCCGCTTAAATACCCGATGTATAACTATTACTTCTTTCCGTTCAAGAGCTTCGCGTCCGAACTACAAAGGGATCAACAGCAGGTCGCGGTAAGCGTTGTTATATCGAATCCGTTAGGTCGCAAGTCGCGATTTTTGCGACACAAGACCACCAAGTGTTTCGTCACAACACCGGTGTAAAAAGTTGCTTGAATTTTTGTCACATATGTATCGACAGCTATCTGGAAAATAACGATAAATGATAAAAGTCAAGGAATTTATCACTTGTCAAGCGCAATATTGAAATATTCTATTTAGAAAATTTAACGTTAAGTTAGATTTACACACCATGTGTTTTTTTTTTTTTTAATAATCACATCTCGAATCCGTTATTTTCTTAAAGAAAAACCAGAATGCGTTAGTCAGCAGACACGTATGTGACTTGTTTCTCTCGCAGGCCGTTCCGGTGTTCGCGGCCACGGAGACCGCAGAGAGCACTCACAAGCAGCTGATGAATCCGCTCTTCGTGGCGATCGGCACGTTCATCAGCATGGCGCTTTTGTTTATGATGGGTGTGCTGTTTTTACCGAAGCTCCCGCACTTTGAGCTTTTTAACGCGCGAAAGGCCGACAACGACGACCTACAGCGTCTGACGAATTTTGTGCTGAACGCCATAGACGCGCGCAATCGTTGGAGAAAAGCGAGCTAGTTGAGACTACGCGCGACGCAATCGGAATTAAAATTATTATCTCACAGATTTACAATATTGTGGATAATTTTCAAAAAAAGTACATATAATAAAATTTGCGAGAGCAAACATTGTCCGAGAGGTCAATCGCGGCAGAACATTTGTGCGTACACGAGGAAACACGTGCTTGAGCGCGTACTATTTACATATCACTGTGTATATATTGCTATGTAAAAAATATAAGTGTGTTGCGTGTCTCATATTGATTCACCGCGTATTTTATAAAAGACTTTTAAAGAGATCGAACGCGTCTTTAGAATTACAATTAAAACTTATATCCCGCACCGAATCGAGATGAGATTTAACATAAGAAGACACGTAAAATAAAATAAAATCGGCATTATTAACGAAAGATATTTATTTAGAATAACATTATCATATACTATACCTTAGTTAAAAAATGCAATAGAAGTTATTGTTTGTACATAAATACTCATAGTAACCATGAATGATTGTTATCAATAACTAGTAGGTAGTATACTTCGATGAGAAAATACTATTTAAATAGAACTTGTAGACGAGCTAGAAATGTTGTGCTCTCATTCTTTGTAGCATATTTATATCAGATTAATAAAGAGGACGTAGAGATAAATAATGCACTTCGGATGATTGGGGAATGTGTATGACGTGTATATGTGCGCGCGTGTATGAAAACTTCTCTTCTTCTACTTTACGTACCTAACTCGCTTTTTTTTTCGTCTCTTAAAAATTCTGTGTAATGATACGCAGATATAAATTTCTAAACGGTACAAATCGCGGAATTTGTACGGTTCGGAAAAAACAAAAGGGAAGGCACACTTTGGGACGTTACACGATAAAATGCACATTTCGCCCCGTATCTTTTTTTTGTTTTTTTTTTGTTTTTTTTGGCTTAAACTACGTCAGTCAGTCAGTCCGATTGGCAGTTTCTTTCTCCGCTGCCTTTTTTTTCAACAATTGCCTTTGATGCTCGTACTCGAAGTCCTCCTCGCTCAAATTCAACTTTTGAATCTGCAAGCAAGTTAAATTCTATCGTTAATCAAAGTGAAGATATTTAAAAGTTTAAGTTAATATTTTTATAGTTCATAATTACAAAATACATTTGATTTTCTTAAATGAAATACAAAACTTAAGTGTGTAAAATATTTGTTGTGGAAATGTTTACCTGATAAACTAAAGCCTCTTCCTCCATGATATGTTGGGGTGGGTTTCTTAGGACTTGAAGAGTCTCGTACGTCGTGGGACAGCGTTTGGTAAGAGACGTACGACCTAGACTACCTTTCAACAGCACCAGGCCCACCTTGAAAATTACTTTCACGCCTTCGCAAAGGAACATGTCCCATACGCGCAAAATACTTTCCCATGGTAACGTTCGCGTGTAAACGCACAAGAACCATTCCGTCATGTAGAGGATTGGCTCCATTTTTTGTTTCTTCTACATAACACAACAGGTAACGTGGGTTTATGTATAATCGAGTCAATATATAAAATAATATATATTCAATCAGTCAGTTTAGAAGACCATTAAAAAAAATTCTATACAAACAATTCAATAGAGTATACTAACTAGATGCTTGTATGCGACAGGTGAGACTCTTTTTAGCAATGCAAACAGAATATCGCCGTCGCGCAGCAATGTTTCCATGCCTTGACTATAGTAGCCGATAAGATACTTATCGCATATAGCGACAAGACACCAGAACGCTTGTACCGCTGGCATGTGCATCAGCAGAAATGCAGCAATTGGCGCTTGAGCTTGGCAATAGCCGACTTTGCTATTTAGAATGGAATACGCCTTGAGAACCTGAAACAGCTCTTGCTGCCCGGGCGCATTGTCAACGAACATCTCGTGATGCGGAAACTGGCGATGAAGATCTTTCTTGATATCTTCTATATATTTGGAATCACCAGGCCGTTTGATCAGTTCTTCGTATAGATTTGGATTCTCGTTCATCAGGAGCTGACCACCGCAGAGATTCAGCCAGGCTCGTAGTCGCACCGAGGGCGGTATACCTTTGCGACATCTTTCGCGAACCTTGCTGTAGTTCGTGGTCATGAAGACGCTCCAGTTGTTCAACATTCTTATCCATTTCCTCTCCCTCCTTAATATTACATCGGGCGGTATAACTTGCTTTCTGCAATAGATTTTTTATTATTAAAACATCTCTCGTGTGTGATACACAAGCGTTGAGAGATCGAAATTATATACCTTTCCGGACTGTACTGAGAACCACCCAAGAATCCATGGCGATCAGGTACTGTAGAGATTACCGAACCCTGACATATGCTACTGGCCTCTGATTCTGTTTCTCCGTTCAGCTCCTCTTCCTCATTGTGCGACATAGCTGAGGCAGCCATAGCATCTTTCTACTTCCCTTCTGAAAAAGCATTGTTTATTGATACAAAAGCACAATTATAAATCCCAAGTATACATCTTACATATAAAAAATACATTAAACAATTATATAAATTATATATAAATTCTTTCTGTTTTTTTTAAATACAAAGTTACATTATTTTTTAATATATATATTTTAAATAATTTATATTTTTTAATATATGTATAATATTAAGTTTTTAAGCTATATAGTTTTTATACACAAATATTATTTCAAGCACATTTTGAAACATACATATCGCACATTTATGTGCAATTCTAAATATAAATGTTTCTCACGTGGAACATGTGATCTATATCCCGGAAAATACACTGCGCAGATAATAAACTTGTCGAAAGAAATTCCGTTATATACATAGTTCATATCCGAAACATTCGCCGAATCTACGAACGCGCGAAATAAATAAATATCACGTCACTTCGTTGAGAAGATCTCTCTCTCGCATTGCTTCATCGTGCACACATACACACACACATATTACGTAGAGCGCGCATATATTATACGCCTACACACTTCTCAATTGAGGAGTTTACGGTAGTTAAAATCTATGTGGAGAAGGGAACACGAGCCCTGTACATTTCCTGTCTCGTAAATTCGCAGGAAGCACGGCAAAGTGCTTTTTTCGCGCAGTGCGTCCGCCGTATAAATTAATTTATTATTATTATTATTATAACGGATATATATCCTTTACCTCGCGTTTTTTTTTTCTTACATTACACGGAGGATTTAGGTCTCAAAAAAACGCGACACGGGGGGTTTGTTTCTTCTCGTTCAAAGAGAGACAACGCGTAAAATAAACGCCTTTAACAGCGAACGAGCGAGCATTAACTCACGCGTGCACGCACGCGAGTTTCGCAGCTTCGAAGTACGCGCGAGTGGGCGTATTCTTTATTTGCGAGAGATAAATTATATTAGCAGATATACTTGCCGAGAGTTTCCGTCGAATTTGACATATCGAAGTATCACGAAGTACGCACGATACGCTGTTGTGTACACAGCGCGCATACGCGATTGCACACACACACACAACGCAGTACTCGCACACACACGCACACGTCTTCCTGTATATATTATATATACATATATCGCATTGCGCATAAACAGCGCAATTACATGAGAGAATGTACTTTCTCCATAATAATTTCTCCGAATTATTTTTGAACACACCGCGCGTCCCGCATCCGACGGTCGAATGGAAACGCTCGCTTCCTAGGGACAAAACTCTCATTCGCTCGCGAGTCTCTAGGAAGCGCGTTCGTTCATTGGACAATTGCGAACTTTCGGACAGCGACATCGGCAAAGATTTGGGTGCGTTCAGACAACTCAACGGTTGCACAACGGTTGAGAGATAGGGTGCGTTCAGACAACTCAACAGTTGAGAGATCATCACTTATGATAGAACTATTCTTCAAAATCTGCTGTGGTTCCAAAAGTATGATCCAATCAAAAGTGATTATCTCTCAACCGTTGTGCAACTGTTGAGTTGTCTGAAAGCACCCATAATTACTTCTGATTGGATCGTACTTTTGGAACCGCTGCAGATTTTGAAGAATAGTCCTATCACAAGTGATGATCTCTCAATGAGTGAGTTGTCTGAACGCACCCGTTGTAAACCTCCAATGGCTCAGGTTCCAGCTGCTCTGCGGAACAATCGAACGTGATTGGCTATTGCGTACTGTATCACTTTTTTTTGCGTTTCAATTTTCTGATGACACTTAGGCGCAATGAAGGCGCGTTTCTAATCCTTGTTTGCGTAAAAATATCGTATATGAACTGCTGGTAGCTAACTTCAGTCCATACTTACATAGGGTGCGTTCACATTTTGAACATTTTAACCGCGCTTTGAGCGCGTCAGTTTATTTTTATTCTATATTTGAACAACAATAAAGACAGACTGACGCTTAAAGCGCGTAAGCGTCCAGAGCGAACGCACCCAATAGTTCAAAGAAAAATACCGACTTGTAATTAGGCAATTCACACAGCCAACCCCGACTCGCTCGTCGTACGAATTCGATTTCAGACACCAGCGTGGCGTATGGACGTAACCGTTCTTCTGGGTCCAAGAATCCGTATGCGCACCAAACCAAACCGATTTCAGTAGCTTCCGAGACCGCTGCGGTGTTAGGTTGTGCGCTTGCACGTGGTGCCGACGAGGTACTGACGAAATACAAAAAAAAAAAAAAAAAAAAAATTCGTTTATTCCCTTTAATCTCAGATCTGATCATGAAGTACATTCTGGTGACCGGCGGCGTGATAAGCGGCGTGGGCAAGGGTGTCATCGCCAGCTCGTTCGGCACCATCCTCAAGCACTGCAAGATCCGCGTGACGTCCATCAAAATCGATCCGTACATTAATATAGACGCCGGGACGTTCTCGCCATACGAGCATGGTGAGCGCAAATTCTGTTCAATGTACATCACATGTATTATGTGCAATACAGTTTTTTTTTTTTTTTTTATAGATACGGTACGTCAAAAAGCGACATTGTTTAATTGTCGAAGTCGGTGCGATTTCATTCGATTTCTTCCGGTGCGTCGCGAAATATGGAAAAAAAAAAAAAATGGTCTTTACAACTGATCGCAGTCCTCAGGTCGTTTTCTCACACGTCGGCGCAGAGAGATCACGTTCTCGAATTGACTTATTTGTTGTTTGAATTGTTAGCGTTGCGCGGGTTATTTTCGTTTGAACATAAGTCATTTAAAAGGATAAAATTGGAGTTTTTTTGTATATTACACATATATGCGAGGTTATTCATTCAAACTTGATTTGCTCTCTCCGCGCGGGTTTTTAATCCGTTTTATTTCTTCAAACGGAGGAGAAAACGGACGAGTTTGTTGACACGCGAATGTGTGCGATTAAATAAAAAAAATAAAAAAAACAAACAAACAAAAGTCGAACAAAAATTACAAAAAAAAGACCGCAGTCACATCACGTTTTTCTGGCGGTAAAATTTCCAGCCATGTGCTCGCAGCCATGTTGGGAATTATCCCGCTACGAAATTAATTTGCACGTGTGTGATAATTGAGATCTGTAACGAAATTTGCATTGCGACTGAAAAATTGCGATGCGAGAGATCCGTTAATCGTGTTGCAATTATCGTGAAACGAAACGGCGATTCTTTTTTTTCAAAAGTTCTCGCAAAATGTTTTTGCGCTCACATACGTATCGTCAATTGAACGTGTGTCTCTTCCGATTTGGCGCGTGCGTTCAATCGGGCGGCCGCGCCTACGACGATTTGATTTAAAGTCACAAATTGGTTTCGTTAAAAAAAAAAAAAAAAAAAATTCAGCGTTTGATTTCTACTTATATTGATTAACGTATCTTTAGTAGATAACGGTATTTTTCGTAGATAATTACGTTGCACGTGTTATGTGCCTTACCGTCTTACAGTCCGCACGCTATCAAATATTTGGTTTCAAATGGCCGATGAAACAGGATGCTCATTACTCACTGTTCTCATTGTTCTAAGAAAACAGCAAAGGCATTCTTGGGAGCGAAACATTCTCATGTTACTTATTTCCTATACACATCTGTCTTTGTTCTCCCTTGTTACATTATTTCAATGAAACGTTTTCTCCCCCGTTATTTGCCGCAACAGGAGAAGTTTATGTACTCGACGACGGAGGGGAAGTGGATCTCGACCTGGGAAATTATGAGCGTTTCTTGGACATCACTCTTCACAGAGATAACAACATAACCACGGGAAAAATTTATCAACATGTTATTACAAAAGAAAGACGTGGCGATTACTTGGGAAAAACGGTACAAGGTAAGATGTGTATCGTAATATTGATGTAATGTTAAATTGCGCACACACACACACAGTATATGTGTATGTTATGTAAATTAATGAGAGTGTTACATTTCCCTTAGTGGTGCCTCACATTACTGATGCCATTCAGGAATGGGTGGAAAGAGTTGCGAATCAATCTGTAACAGAAGATGGAACCAAACCAGAGGTATTACTGATATACACAAAAAACAATGTGCTCTCTGCATAACTTAATAAAATACAAAAACAAATTTTAATTAGATACTTGTAATAATAATGTTTTTATAGGTTTGCATAGTAGAATTGGGAGGCACAATTGGAGACATAGAAGGCATGCCATTTGTAGAAGCATTTAGGCAGTTTCAATTTAGAGTGAAAAAAGAAAACTTCTGCGTCGCACATGTATCTTTGGTGCCGCAGGTAAAAAATCGCGTAATATATGAAACGATTTGTGTGAGCAGCTATTGAGATTTATATGGTTTTTTTTTTTTTAGCCGAAATCAACTGGCGAACCTAAGACGAAACCAACACAATCTAGTGTGAGAGAACTACGTGGCTTAGGCCTGTCGCCCGACCTCATTGTTTGTAGATCGGAAAAGCCTATTGGCGATTCCGCGAAAGAAAAAATTTCGAACTTCTGTCACGTAGCTCCGGAGCAAGTAATTATTAAAGTATTAGTATTATAGTATTACAGTAAAGATAATTTAGTATTTATATAAATTAGCGAAATATTTGAACAACGCATTAATTATTTTATCCGGTTAGGTCATAACTATTCACGATTTAACATCTATATACCGAGTACCGCTTCACATGGAAAATCAAGGTGTTATAGAATTCCTCAACGATCGATTGCAACTAAATATCGGTCCACGTCCGCGTAGCTTTATGCGAAAATGGCGAGACTTGGCCGAGCGTGTGGATCATCTAAGGAAAGACGTTAACATCGCTCTAGTGGGCAAATATACAAAACTCGAAGACTCTTACGCGTCTGTTACGAAAGCATTGCAACACGCTGCCATTGAGGCCGGATATAAATTGAACTTGACGGTAGAGAGTGTTGCAATTATTTGAATATACATTTTATGCACACACACGTATCACACGTGTACGTATAATTTTACCAGCATATGTAATTACTCTGTTACAGTTTATAGAAGCTGCTAATCTTGAACATACAACATTGATGGAAAATCCAGTTTCATATCATGAAGCTTGGCAGCAGCTTTGCAAAAGCAAGTAAGCAACATTTTTTAAATATAATTTTACATAGTATTTTTCTCGCGATATATATATATATATATATATATCTATATGTTGCATCCATAAGTTTTGCGTAAAAAATTGAATTATTATCGCAGACGTGTATATATGTACATACATATGTGTAAGTTAGATGGAATGTGAAAATATTATATTGTTGTTTAGCGGCGTCATCGTACCGGGTGGTTTTGGGAAACGTGGTATCGAAGGAATGATAGAAGCATGCAAGTGGTGCAGAACGAACGACAAACCGTTTCTCGGTATTTGTCTCGGTCTGCAAGCTGCGGTCATTGAATTCGCGCGAAACGTGTTGAATCTTGAAGCAGCAAATAGCACAGAAATTGATCCAGACACTAATTATTCCGTAGTGATAGATATGCCAGAGCATAATCAGGGAATGATGGGAGGAACAATGAGACTTGGCAAAAGACAAACGCGATTTAATAACAATAATTCTGTGCTGAGTAAGAAATTTCGTCAACTAAGATAAATAAATTCTTCTTTTTTTTTGCTTTTGCGTTTTTTTTTTACGAACAATCGTTTTTGTTTGTAGGAAGATTGTACAACAATAAAGATGTGATAGAGGAGAGACATAGACATAGATACGAAATAAATCCAGAACATATCAATAACTTAGAAACAGCTGGTTTAAAATTTGTAGGTGAGCTTGTGTTGCACTTCTGAACAAGAAAGTAGCGAAGAATTTATTTGAATGTAATATGCGATATTTTATCTGTTATATATTATATACTGATTTATAACATACTCATATAGGTCGCGACGACGATGAAAATATACGGATGGAGATTGCCGAATTAGAAGGACATAGCTATTACGTAGCTACGCAGTTCCATCCGGAGTATTTGTCAAGGCCGTTAAAACCGTCGCCGCCATTCCTCGGCTTAATTTTGGCCAGTGTGGGCAAACTCAAGTATTACTTAGCGCGAGGATGTAAATTCTCGCCTCGTCAACTGAGCGATAACGAGTCAGGTAACAAAATAATGCAGAAATGAGAAAATGCAAATAAAGATAAATTCCCGGTCATTGCACCGTTCTCCTTACTCTCAAATAAAGATAATTTATATATGCATTTTTTTTCTGAATGAATATGTATTATTTTGCTAGATATAGTTCCAGTTTGTGTATGCAGCTGTTATGACTAATAATATTTGTCGTATGAATTTTTACAGATGACGATATATATTTGATAGAAGAAACGAAAATGTCTAGTGGCGCAAGTCAAAGCGGTAGTAGTACAGGACTCACTGATTAGAATACAATTATTATTGCAAAATTTTTATATTCATTTTATTGTCTGAAAGTCTGTCTGCCACACGTTTGTCTGGTCTCTCTTTTTTTATACATAGTTTATCGTTAAAAATTGAGATACTAGAGAAATATGTGTGCGTTAATACGTACAGTGAACGTTCACGTTTTATTTTATTTGTACGTTTGTTTTAAATTTTATAAGTGAAACGCATTGCTTGTTTTTTCATTATTGTACTGTTATATTATTTTTATTTGTTGGGTTTTTTTACGCAGAGTTTTATCAGAAAATTGAACAATTAATTTCAAATTAATTTGAAATAAAAATATTTTTTATAATGAGATTAATTGAAGAGAATTGCAAACAAAAGTTTTACGACATTTATAGGCTCGAATTACATTTAAACTTTTTGTACTCGTCTATTCGAAGTTTAAGTACCGTTTCAATATGCATATAATAAAAAATATCTATATAAAACATCCAATAGTACGTATATATAAAACATCCAATAATTAATCTGTATCAAGTGTAATTGTAAAAATATGCACAATAATTAATTTTTGTTAATAATGTAAGTTTTATATTTTGTAATAAATTCTTTTTTTGATACACTGAAAAATGAAGTGTGCACGAAAGCTAATCCGTACAAGTAAAAAAAAAAAATTTTCTACAGATATATGATTAATCAACAGATTTTTCTAACAAAGTTATAACAAATATTTGAAAAAGTATATAAAACAAAACAAAAGAATAAATTATGTATTTCTATTTATTAACGTTTAGCAAATTTCCATTAGTTCCAACAACACTCGGAATCTCAATTTCATTCTTAAAACTTTTTCGTTGATGCGAGTAGTCTCGTGTGTGGTCGCTCTTTCGGTCGGAAAATCAGGTCCTAAAAAATTCGAAAAATGGGATCCTCAAAATTCGAGCCAGTATATTATCCTTGTACATGTCTATCACACAAATCTCGCGTAGAACTATAACTCATAGAGAATCAAGTTTGATACTTCGGCAAAGATACGTAAGGATCAGGGAGCATTAATTCCATTCTCTATTAATTTTTTATTATAATAAATTTATAAATTAATTTATTTTTTAGAGAAATTTAAAATAAATTGTATGTGAGAGAGGGTTCATATTCGTACTCGGATAAGAACATGTTGTATGTAACTGTCTCTCTTACCTACTTCCCCTTTAACATGTATTTTTTTATAACGCGTGTATGAATATATATCTAAATATGTTAAAGCGAGAAAAAGGAAACCATACAAATTTAATAAATATAATATAACACATCAATTATACATGTTCATCTTAACCCTGGAATGCTTGATCCTTTTCAACCCACATTATTTTTTAACTCCATAATAATAAAAAAAAAACAAAAGATAACAAAATAGAAACTGTATACACGAGTATAACGTAACTGAAATAAAATATTTTTCAGAAGAAAGCATAATTTCCAAGATAATTTCAAATTAAGGTTTTTATGACTTTCTTAATTTTACGTACACATGGTCGAGTCGCACGAGACACGAACAGTAATGTGAGGTTAAAGGGTATAAATTATATACTTCGTATATAAATTATATAAATATATATATATATGTATACGTGTATATATACATATATATGTATATGTGTAAGCATTCCAAAGTTAATAATAATACATTCTAAATCTTTAAAGAACTTAAAAATAAACAAACTAAATATATAAATTAAAATATGTTGGATCGTCATTGTAATTACATTACTGAGAGAACGGAACGTAAATAGTCATTATTATGTGAGAATAATAACCACATATTTCAAAGATAATATATAAATAATATTCATTGTTATGTTACGTGCATATATACGTAATCAAGTTGATATCGTAATCGATATGATAATCAAGTTGATAAATGTATCCTATGGCGAGAGAAATAAAAATGTCGTCAGTTTACATACACCTCTCTTTTTTTTACGCTTTTGACACTTTTGTATTTAGGTCAGCAGGTTTTGTAAAGGTATCAGAGTATAATGCCAATGAGTTTTACCCAGTTTTACACATTTACATTTTCGTTTTTTTTAACACCATTACTTCAAGCAACTCAACAAATAATGCAATTCGGCTTTTCTTGTACATTTCCGTTGGCTTTCTCGATCTCCATTAGTAACGTGTGAAAAATATCTGCAACAGACTATAAGCAAAAAAGTGTGTTTAATTGCGAGTTTTACGCACAATTGATTAAAAAAAAAAAAAAAAAACAGAAAGAGTTCGAAGTACCTCATTTTGTTTTGCACTGGTTTCTAGAAACGCAGCGTTCCAGGAATTTGCTAAACGCTTTCCTTGATCTGTTGTAATCATACGATCTACATACAGATCCGTTTTGTTACCTACTAGTACGATTGGAACACTGATAACACAAATAACAATGCGATTTAAAGTTTTGAGCTCTAATTGAAAATACGCGCAAATATATATGCGCAATATCAACCATTTTTTAATCAGAAATGCTTACTGAAGCTTCCCAGTGATGTCGAGTAGTTTGTCATAAATAATTTGTACAATCTCAAAACTCTTAGCGCTGGTTATGCTATACACCAGGACATAGCCATGAATGTCCATTGAATACTGAGTAGGAAATATGCTATATTCGTCCTGACCAGCTGTGTCTACTAGTTTGAGTTCATAATCTTGACTATTTACTCGTGTACTTTTTGTGAATGCTGTAACATACACAACAGAGTCTCTATAGAACGCAGTTAACTTTTTAAAATTAACATTTCCATCAAATGCAAGTTGATGAAATCAAACATTCCGAGTAAAATTAATGAAATAGAAAGATATCACTTACTATTTTCTATTGTAGGGTCATAGGAATCCACAAACTGTCCTTCCACAAACTGTATACTAAGGGATGATTTACCTGTTTGGAAAATAAAATGCACATTACGACATTTATATACAATTAATAAGTTAATAGCAATTTAATAATTTATTAACGTATATTTAATTACTGATTTACATCTAATCTATATGTAACAAAAGAAAAATATAACAACGCTCATATTTTTTGTAATAAAAAACACCTACACACACAAGAGAATACACTGTTTAATATTGTTTATCTCTTACCTACGGATCTATAACCCATAATAGCTATTTTCCTCTGCTTGGGTGGCATTTTGTATCATTGGCAAACTGAAAAACGGTGAGGATGCTTGATGAAAGCTGGTGCATAATCCAGTTACAACCTGGAAAACAAGAGGAAACTTTACAATATCACAGGTGCTACCTCATTAGATCTATTAACACCTCGCATCTGTGACAACCAGACTACTTTACATCGAGTGTTTCGATAGAACATACTTCAGAAGAATGTAACATTACACTTAGTGTCATCAAGCGCGAGCAACAAAAATGCATAAATGTGCGACTTGAATCAAACAGATCGCAAATCATTTATTGCGTATCGTTGCGCGCAAACGGACAACAACGTGTTTCCTCACGGGCGATCTGTTTCCGACCATTTCGAAAGTCTTATCAACGAAAAAGAAAAAAAAAAAAAAAAAAACGGAAAGGGGCAAAGAAAGTAAACAATCGACAACGGAAAAGAGAAAGAGTAAACAAGCGCAACAATGTTGCAAACGAGCGTTACTGTGCACTCGCGCGACCAAAAAGCTTGGGATTTAATTGTCGAACGCGATCGTTCGCGATAAAAACGCCACGTAAAAAAAGCAAAGCGTGAGAAAAAAAAAGGAGTAGCAAAAAAAGACGTGCACGTACAAGGTGGAAGTGCGTCTTACATCAGTTGCAACAACGTTCCCGGTACTTATCGCGAAGCGTGCGAGCGCGTCGAGAGTTATCACGCGCGCACACAGATTCCAGCAACGCGATCGTAACTTGCACCTGTGTGTCAGAAAGAAAAACAAATAACGTTCTCCGAAACTACGCACCCGTTTTAATGCATCGTACTACGGACGCACGCGTACAGTACGCATACGGTACGACGGACGAAAAAGAGAGAAAAAGAGAGGGAGGGTGCGAGGGAAAGAGGGAGAGGAAAGCGAGAGGGAAAGAGAGAGAGATGACGTCAATGACGTGTTACACACACGGGGGCGTCTCATGTTCCGCGTCTAAAGTCTGCGGCTTCCGGATGACTCGCTCAGCTGTGTTTGACAGTCCCGTGGATTTTAAAAATACGCAACTCACGCGTGTCAAAAAAGTTGTCGGGGAAGAGTCTGTCAACTCGCGCTAAAAAGAGAAACTGTAAGACTCTCTCTGATATGAGACTCGAACATATATGTATACATATATATATTTGAATGGATTCGAACAAGTTTACTGACTGCGGCGATCGAACGTCGCCTTTAGCAAATAAAATTAAAAAACAAGTCTCAGGTTCGATTTCATCTCTCTGATTACCTTAATCGCCCCGATTATGAAATCGGCCGAGATCTCGTCAGACTTTTAAGTAAGAAACCACGGGATTTCGAATGGTTTGAGAAAAAAATAATAATCATGAGCGTTTAAAGACAGTTTTCAACAACTTTAAAGCGGCCTCAAGCCCGCTATCTCAAATGTCAAAAGGTTCGTGTCAATTGGCCGTTCGATGGAAACTTTTCAAACTCCCTAGAGATTCCTTCCGGGAAAAATCAATAATTCTCTATCCGGAACCAATCAACGTGATCGAGAAAACTTTTTGCAAATTTGCGAGTCGAGCTTTCGAAGTGTATGGATATTCTCGAAGAGAGACCAGTGATGAAAGTTTTGGCAGGCTAGCACCAAGAGCACCAAGGTGGTGGGAGCCACTGGGAATACGCACACAGGCGAGACCGCCGTCCGTGTGTGTGACGTCATGCACACGGACGGCGGTCTCGCTTGTGTGCGTATTCCCAGTGGCTCCCACCCTTGGTGCTAGCCTGCCAAAACTTTCATCACTGAGAGAGACACGAAGAGAGACAGTGCTGGACAGTTGCACACGTATGTACGGTGCGGTGCAGTTGACTGATGAACGAGGTTAACGTCATCTCATCAAGTGGGTCTTGACAGTTTAATATCATGTCAAATCGAAGTTGATAGGAATACTAGAATTAACACACATCGTAGCCAAATGTTTGTTGATAATTATCACGCGTGAAAAAAAAAAAAAAATACATGTGTATGTAAATATATGGGCCCCATTTTGTCGAAAAAAATTGTAATTTCTTTTTTCCGACCTTATTATTTTGCCTTTGCTCGTGTCTTCGCTCGCTTAACGTTACGCGATTCGTTCATTATTTGACGAAATGATGCCAAACACGGACATTTATGACAGCTTGTACTTGTGAGTAAATTAACACGAGGTTTTATATGCGCATCTCTCGTTATCTTATCCCCTCTTTGTGCCTCTGATTACTCAATTCACAATTATATCTCATTAAGGTACGCCACTCCGGAGAAATTTTTTGTAGAACCAGTTGGGACCAAAGTCCTGCTAGTAGTTGATAGAGTGAGTCAGCAAATCTACACGCAAGGTAATAATAATTTACAGCTGACTGTATAACAGCCCAAGTTCTAACAAATTTGTCTTAAATTAATTTTTGCATTAAGAAGAGCAAAATAAGTTCTACTGTTGTTAGTAGAAGAAAAGAATTTCAAGAAAATAAAGACAAGATAAAAAATTTTTTGAATAATTCACTCACCAACACTGCATAGCTCTCGTAGCTCTTCTTAAAGTCTCTGTGCGTTGCTATCAATTTGAAATCCACTAACTTTATCTGTATAATTATTTTAATCTTTGCTTCTCTTTTTTCAGTTGGCACAGCTAGTCAAATTCCAACAACTGCCAGCCGTAGAAAAATATGGGGACTCATAGGAACTATACGCCTTTTGGCGTGTCGTTACCTCATTGTTATTACAGACGCTCAGATGTGCGGAACTATAGCGGGACATAATATCTACAGAATATCTTCTACAGAAGTAATACCGTACACAAGATCGTCTCTACATTTGACTGAGAAACAGGTGCAATATAATGCCACGTACTTGGAGATGGTAAAATCTGTCCTGAATACTCCATACTTTTACTTCAGTTACACATACGATCTCAGCCACACCATGCAGAGATTGCATAACACAACACCCGAATTCTTGCAAGTAAGTATCTTGTTTTGTGAAAAAACTTTATTAGTGTACTTTATGCACACAAATGTGCGAATAGTCTTGCAAAATAACACGTGCTGTCATTTAGATGCCGTTTCACGATAGGGCGGATTCCAGGTTTGTATGGAATGCCTATCTTCTGCAGGATTTAAGTGCCAGACCAGAGCAACATAAATTTTGTTTACCCATCATTCACGGCTGTATCCTTTTTTTTTTGTTTTCAGCAACATTACTTTTTCTTTCTGATATTGAACTCTTATATTTCTTTATACTGATGCCTTAACTACTTGACTATAGTCATCTCACTGAACACGGTAGTCGTAAATGGCGTTGCATTCAATTGGGGCATTATCTCCAGACGTAGCGTACATCGTGCCGGCACGAGACTATTTTCGCGAGGCATAGACGCTACCGGGAACGTCTCCAATTACGTGGAGACGGAACAGTTGATTGAAGTAAATGGTGATCGCAGTTCCTTCGTGCAAACGCGCGGATCTATTCCTCTATTTTGGTATCAAACACCGAATTTAAAGTACAAACCAAAGCCGCAAATCAGTCCACACGATGATCATCAAAGCGCTTGTGCCCGCCACTTCGATATTCAGATCTTTCACTATGGAAGACAAATTCTAGTTAACTTGGTAGGCTATCTTAGGAATTTTGGTTTTTACAATATTCGACAGTTTTGTTATCGATAAGTTGTTGTTATTGATTTGAACACGCAGATCAACCAGCACGGAGCGGAAGCTCTGCTTGAAAACGCATATCGCAATTTAGTCCAAAGAATCGGCAATCAAAATGTTCGATATGAAGCCTTCGATTTTCACGCGGAATGTAAAAGTCTGAGGTGGGACAAACTGAACACTTTAATGGACCGATTGGCCCATGATCAGGAACAAATGGGATATTTTTTGTTGATGAGGGACGGATCGCTGATCTCAGCTCAGGACGGTGTTTTCCGTACAAACTGCATTGACTGTTTAGATCGAACAAACGTTGTACAAAGTATGATAGCGAAGCGAGTTCTCAACGAGGTATTGAGCAGGCTGGAAATACTTAGGAAGGTGGAAGATCATCCCGCTTTTGAAAATCTGTTCAAACAGGTAGAGAACATTTATTTTGAGGAATTAAGTACGTTGTGTAGTGGAATGAAAAAAAAAAAAAATGATATTGAAATAAAAATTGTCTCTGCTACGCTATTTTTTTTTAGGTATGGGCTGACAATGCCGACGTGGTAAGCGTTCAATATTCAGGCACAGGTGCGTTAAAGACAGACTTTACACGAACTGGAAAACGCACTAAATTGGGTGCAATGAGAGACGGCATGAACTCGCTAACGAGGTATTACAAAAACAACTTTGCCGACGGTTACAGACAAGTAAGTACGTCTAAACACACTTTATCATGTATCGACGTATATTTTTCTCGCGATTATGTAACGTTATTTCGTATGTTGAAGGACGCGTTAGAGCTCTTTCTGGGTCGTTATATTGTGCAGGATGGCGAGTGCACTTCTGTTCCATGTCCCTTGGAATCCGAGCGAAATTGGCGTTACGCTACATTCCCGCTCGTTCTCTTAGTCGCGTCCTCGATGCTTGTCGCTCATATAATATTGCCGTCACGATACACAACGGAAATATTACTTTACATGTTGTTCTGGGGCGCCATGGTCGCCGGCACCTTCGCAACCATTATCCATCATGGCAAGCAATATGTCGACAAGCCGAAATTACTTTAGAAATAATCAGTGACTCCGATGTGTGTTTATTTGTGTGTGTACGTGCAGAGTTTCACATAATTGTACAATAAGAATAATCCGATGGCGATAAGGAACTGTAGATTTATCATTGTTTATCAATCTTGCACAGTTTTCAATTGTGGAGCAATAACCGGCCGGTATCTCTCGATTTGTTTTTGTTTTTTTTTGTATGATAGCACAAGAATAGATCTCGTCGCGCGACGTAATACTAACAATCCTTAGTTTCTATGGTGTAAACATTTTTATTCCCGGCGGTGTTCGCATGATCCATGCCCCGCCAGATACACGATCTTATCGGTTGTACGCAGATGCACGCAGGGATATACAAGGACATTGATACCTCTTTACTAATTATCATTACGATATCTTGAACTTTCCGCAATAAATAATGGAGCATGCAGTTCTTCTCGAACAGTGTTCAGTTCTTAAGAGTTCTTTTATTTGACATCTTTTGATAAGCTCTAGTACTGTGTATTTTCTTGTAGTGTGAAAGAGTCTCTAGTCTCCAAGCAGTATTGGTAAACAAGATTTATTGGGTCATTAAATACAAAACTTGACAAATATAAGTATTTGTCATGTATATTATATATATATATATATATATATATATATATATATGTACGTATGTATATATATGTGTATATTTGTCGTTTCATATTTGACTGTGACTCAATAAAACTGCACGAGAACCGCAAGATTTCGCGTTCCGACATCCACCGTCCATAATAATCTGCAACGTGAAATTTGATCGGGGCTTCAGAATCGAAAGAGAATCTTTTTTCGGTTTTTATTATGTGTTTATAATTGCGTATAAAAAAGTTTTTTGAAGTCGTAGTTCAATTTTTGAAAATAAATGTGTTCTATACCGAATAGAACTTTTAACTCATTTCTAATTTTGGTTTTTACATGTAAAAAATATTATACAATTTTTTGCCAGCGCAAACTCAGGATCATTTTTGGCCCTCAAATTAGACATATTAATCCTTTCGGGACATTCGTCTGTTTTTTCTTCCTGAGGAAGAGGAAAAATGGTCAACAATAACTCTGAATTTGTTGTGTCCGAGAGTAAAAAAATAATTGATTTTAGAAGGGTATAAAAAGATTGTAAGTAGAAAAATTGCAATCAAATTGAAAATTAATATGTGAATAGTAAATTAATTTTGAAAAAAAAAGATTTATTTTATTGATATATGTTTTATGTAACATTTGAGTGGAAAGTATTTCATTAAATTGTCTTTTCTCTCTCTCTCTCTCTCTCTCTCTGATTGAAATTTTTATTTATAATGTCCACATTGATGAAACAGGTTTTCCACATACTCTAATAGACGTAGCATGACTCTGCGTGATGCGTTGCAAAATAGAGAGAAAACCTAAGAAGCCAGGGAGATGAACCCAAAGAGTATAAAATCACGTACACCGTACACTTGTTTTCTCGAACAAATATTTAATCGCAAACATATATGGAACTCATCAATTTTTTAAAACAAGTGAGTGCATACGATTACAAAAATGCCGTCGAAATCGCGACAATAAAAAAAAAAAAAAAAAAAAAACGCAATTAAAAAATGTACAAAATGTTTCTGTGCCCGCATTTCATATCGCACCGCTATTCCGCCTGATTTTTTCTCTCCAATAAATTCACGCTATGTAATTTCAGGTTTACGGTAACGCGCATCCTTGGGGCGTGAATGAAGATGTAATCGTTTATTATTTCGACGAGACGAAGAGCGTTTTTTTACGCGGATGTAAAAAGGCAAAACTTGGTGGAAACGACGGCGTTGAGAATAAGAGTTACGTGGGGTCATTTAATGTTTGCATTAAACTAGATCGGAGGCCGACAGGGGCGCGAAAGCCTTTGTTTCGCGAAATGGCACGCGAGCGGCTCCTTTTATGCGGCTTATATTTTAAACCGTAATTCGACCACCATTGTGCGGAATTACGTGATCGTGTATCTAAAGGCGCAATTACGCGAAATGGGTACGTACGTGAGATCGTATCGCGTGTAAAACACCGGCGTTAAAATATATTCTAATGTAACGACGAGTTTTTTGTGCGTCCGGATATTCATCTCCACTTGAAGATTTAAATTTCACATTCGTCAAGAGGGTTTTAAGTTTGCTTCTTTTTTGAAAGAGAATTTTTTTTTGCCACAGTTACTTTTGGTTTGATGATTTTATAAACAGGGGTCGGTAAAGTATCTAATAATATATATTATATATATATAATATTTGTGCAATGAAATTTGTGGAAATTCTAAAACTCGGAACGAATTTGTAGCTCGAGAACTGCTGTTGCACACATCGGTGCTCGAATTCGATCGTTGGAACATGGAGGGGATGCCGAGGTACCGCTTACGAGGAATGGCGTGTGTGTACCGCTACTACGCAGTAATAAGTGACGACTAGAGTACCTCAGACGTTTGCTGATGGTTATTCCGTGTTTGGTTTAGCTCTCTTTTCTTTTTTTTTTTTTTTTTTATAAGTAAAAAACAGTTGGAAAGTCAATAAACTTGAAATTTACAATGAGCGACCTCGCCGTAAAGAAGCGTACTGTTAATTGCCTGACGTTGCACCAACGTCTCGAAATATTGAACACAATTGAGAAAGGTTTCCCGATAAGACAGATCGCCAACAATTACGGTTTGGCTATTGAGAGCGTTTGGCGAATTAGACGAAATGCTTCAAAAATACGCGAATCGGTGAAACAAGGAGCTAATCCTCTGAGGAGGAGGACACGTTTGTCGAAATATGACGACGTCGACGAACAATTGTACAATTGGTATCGCGAGCAGAAAACAAAGGGGGCCAAAGTCACCAATAAGTTACTTATGAAAAAAGCAGTGGAATTGTCGAGAGCTGCGGGCGGCCCGTCAACATTCAAAGCGTCAGGTGGTTGGCTGCAGAGATTTAAACAGCGTTGGAAACTACCGTGTCAAATAAAGACTACAACTAATAATAAAGTGATCGATGATAAAATAAAAACAAAGGAGAAAGTTGAACGATCAAACAATGACAACTTTATCAAACAATTTAACCAACGTTTAAAAGACGAAAGTGTTTGTTTGCATAATGTTTACAGCATGGATTATACGGTACTCTTGTGGAAAGCATTTCCCAGAAGTGTGTTGTCACATACGGGGGAAGAACAAATTTACGGTAATATAATGAAAAAGAATTGCATAACATTTGGATTGTGTGCAAACGTTACCGGTAGTCACAAAATATCGCCAATTTTAATTAACCAGTGCGAAAATCCAAGAGCACTTAAACACATAACCAAGTGTAATTTGCCTGTCACTTACAAGACGCACAAATTTGCCCGGATGACGCAAAATATTTTCTTAGATTGGTACAATAATTATTTTAAGAAATCTGTGCAAAAGTATCAATTGGAAAGTGGCAAAACTGGCAAGGTGTTTTTACTCATTAACAACCGCAACACATACTTCCCTCCGGAATGGATCAACAAGGATGCGTATTTCGAATTGTTATTACTTCCTTTAGGCCTAACTTCAATTCTTAGTCCCATGAGTCACATTGTTGAGAAAATTAAATTGAACTTTCGTTATTATCTTTTGAAACATATGTCGGAATATCCTTGTGGATTGAAAGAATTTTACATAGATTATGACATCGGTGATTGCATTACCATGCTTGTCAAGTCGTGGAGAACTATTTCAACCGCCGACATAAACAATTCGTGGACAAATTTGTTAAACATAAAGCCAGACAATTCTGAAACGCTAGATGACACCTTCAAAGCGATTTCGGTGGATTTGCAAGAGTTAATTAACAATATAATAGGACGAGAAGTTCCTCCGGCAAATAACGAGGTAACGGAATGGATCTCTTCCTGCATAGAAGCTGAAAAAAAATACGAAGAGGAAACTGTAAAAGATACAATTACCGAAACTGCAGAAAACACAGAATGCCGTGAAGAAAATATTCAATTAAAGACGTCATCACAAAATGAGGAAATTGAGAGATCTTTTAGAATTATATCTGAATGGGCGGAAACTCGAAATGACTTTATAAAATTTCAATTTCACGTTCTCAAAGACTGCTTTAATAAAGAAATATAAGTATGTATAAATAATTTTTTATTATTCTTTAAATAATTTTTGTAAAATATTATACATTTACATTATTACAGGAAGAGATGATGAAGGGTGACAAAAAGTATGACAAGAAATGGAAGGACCCAAGCGGACGTTTGAAATTGTAGATATAATCATAATTGCGACTATTGAAGTTTGTATGTATTCAGACATAAGAAAAAAACATGTTTATGTTACAGAGTAAAACTTGCTCAACCAAATACTATTGAAAGCTACATATCGAAAGCTTGATTGACTTCACACAGGACGTGTAATAGAAAAAGCTACAAAAAGTGTGATTTTATCATATTGGACAAAAACATTATCAGTCAGAACAAACAATAAAAGAGAAGTCGTCTCTGAAAATGAATGCTGAATGAACAGAATATGTGATAAAATGGATGGCATGATAGTTGAACGTTATCTACATCCTCGAAGAAACTTGAGGAGAAAAATTTTCTCTCTATTGAGAGGTTTTAATTAGGTTTTGATCTTTTTTACTCTTTTTGAGATATAATATTAAAAAAAAAAGAAAATTAGAATAACGATTCGATGAGATTATATCAAAGAACGGCAAAAAAAGAAGATTTAAATATTAAGTACCACATTCTTATTAAGTAATTGAAAATACACAGATGCAAGAGTGTGTCTAAGTAATTTACTTTTTTTATTAAAACTTTTTTGGTTAAAAAGGATACAACGCCATGTTACAAAAAAGTTTATATATGCATGTTTTTTAAATGTTTATTGTATATATATATGCATATCGTATATATATTGTATATATGTATATGTACTTTATACAATCTATCTTTATATACTCTTTATAAGGTCATTGCTCTTGTTGATGTGTTAATTTCTTTGTAGTAAAATTGTAAAAACAGAGAAATTTAAAAAAAAATTTTTAAACTCGAGAAAAAACGTTAAAACATAAAACATTTAAAACATTTATCTAAAGTTTATTTATCTAAAGTTAAAGAAACAAGATTACGACAAAATTATGTTTCACTTATTTCTATACGACATGTAATGTACATTTATATAATGCGTTTATATTCTTGCTAACTTGTTCAAGTTTTGGATTGCTATATCTACAATAGTAGAGATAGAAACATATCGCGTTTTCTATGAAATATCCGAGATATTTTTAATTATAACAAAAATATATTGAACTTAATTAACTTGATAGATTGTTGGTTTTGGCACAAATTGTTCTTCAAATTTTCTCTTTAAAGAATTTGAACAAACAATATAATTTTTCTTGTTAAAAATTTAGTCAACAATACTATTAGTTAACTACTAGAAATCAATGATGGAAGATAATTGCGTCTAAAAGATCATCGAACGTTTCGCAGACGTGTGTTCTCGGTATTTAATGTAATGACTACGATCTCGATACATATATATTTTTATACAAATATAAATACGTTTAATATTTGTTGTAAAACTGTTTTAAAAGTTTAGAATATGTTTTCTCTTTATTATAATTCAGAAAAAAACGTGCAATTATTATCACTACATTACACAAATGTATATAATTTTGTGATAATAGAAAATATGTTTATTACATATACATGTACATAAATGATGTATGAGTTCTCGATAATGGCTATGCGAATGAATGAATTATATAGAATTGTTTTTCCACGAAAATTGATTTTTATTTCACGAGAACGGTGAAATATCATTTTCACTTTCTTACGTCAAACCTTTTTCTTTCGTCAAATCTTTTTCTTTCCTCTCAATCATGTCTTTTTCTACTTCTCCGGTTTTGCGCTTACGATAAAAATAAAAATGACTAAGTTGAACTTACAAACTTTTGTATTACTGACAGATCGATTACTCGCCTTTCATCTGATGTCATCAACCCAACGCGCTGGTGATAATATGAGGGAGGCTTGTGCTCTCTCTCTCTCTCACACACACACACATTTATATCTTTAATTTAAGATCATTTTCATCTCACCTAAATCCGCGCCTAACAGTATCGCGGTCAACTTCTCGCGAAGAATCACGCGGATTCACGCGTGATTCTTATCGCGTGTCAGAAAGCGCGCGAGTTGATCGGTCAAGTCTTTCATTCCGTATTTATTTTTCTTACTGACAGTGTTGAACGCGCGTCGGAAAAACACGCGCGAGACGAACGACGTCATTTTCGCGAGCGAGGCCGAAACTCTTTTTGGTGGCTTTGAGTCTTTCACAAACGGTCTTTGACAAACGGTTCCCGGTAATTGGATTCGTTTTATGAAGTTTCCAACGTAACGTTAGGATGACCCTCTTCACACACCCGCAGACCCCGCGCTCGCAGAACTCTCTTTCCCATTCTCGCTGCCTCTCACCAGCCGCTCGCTATTAATTGGAGATGGCGGATGGGTCGACGGTTCGCGGGGATGCAGACTCGGGGAGAGGTCAGCCGGGGTGATTAATTTGATTCAATTACAAACCAGAACAGATCCGGGGCATCGATTTTATTACCATTCCGCCGGTATTTTCGCTCTTTCCCGTTCGCGGCCCGTCGATTTTTCTCACACCACAAAAAAAAAAAAAAAAAAAAAAGAAGTTTGAGACGAGAGATTGACTTTGGCGTGTGTTATCTGGTTTTCGCGGTTATTAGTTTCAGATTACAATCACGCGAACACCAAACGCAACTCATTCTCGGATAAGATAATAGACTATGATATCTTTTATATACCGTATTATCTTCTACATTCAAGATTCCACGTTTATTTATTTCTCGCAAGTTATCTTTGCTTTTTTATCCCGTAGAAATTAAAAAAAAAAAAAAAAAAAAGTGTCTTTTTCTAAATCATCTTCACGCGTGTACGTGTACTTATGTACACGCGTCGTTTCGGATAATTTATCAATTACGCTCCGCGTAACACAAGGAAATGCGACCGGTTTTTTTATTTTTCTCGTTTTATTCTTCTCTCGTAGCAATTTTCTCGGAAGAATACACGAGCGGATCGCTTCTAGTTCTGTGTGGCACGCGCTCGCTCGCGCGGATCCGCGCGCGCGTACACAATCGCGCAGCGAGGGCACGTATGCGGCGGTACGTACGTCAGTTACGTACCTACTTACGGCAGGTTGGGTGATACATGGAGGTCGCACCTAAATTTCCCCGGGGAGTCATTCGTCTCTAGGCGATCTCACTCTCTCTCTCTCTCTCTCTTTTTCTCAACCTAACTCTCTCTACACCGTCTCAGTCTCACCCCCGTCCCCATTCTCTTCTAACTTTCGCGCTTTCCTCTCTCTGACTTGCTTCTACATCCTCCTCTTCTCGTCCCGCCGTGGCAACCCTTTCGCGAGCGCTCGCGCGCTTATTTGGCCGATGTGTATTCCGCATTCGGTGATGATTCTTGCTCGCTCGCCGCACTCTCGTGCCGAGTCCGAGTGGAATTATCAAGATTGCGGTCCGCGGAGACGGCGCTAATGGATTTCGAGATATTACCCCCCGGCTCAGCTGTATACACACGAAATAAACGTATGTATGTTGTATGACGTTTATGTGTATGCGCTCTCGTCTGTGCGAACGCTCGCATACCCTCGAGTCTCGAAGCCGTGACTCCCGTTAGAAGCTCAAGACTGCGAGTTTCCGAGATTACTAATTACGCCCTCTTACAATTTGCAACTTAATTGTTTAGTTGCTTAGGAGATGAGGACGGTAATAAATACATTTGTTACTCAGCGTAGAGCAGTATTTTTTTAATTGAAAACTTTTTTATAAAAAAAACTCTTCCTTTGCTTAGTGGCGTTTACTTACTAAGGTTTGCAAATTATAGAAAATTTTATTTATAAGATCGAAATATGACATTATATAGACGAATGTAGGAGATTCTCTTTTCTTCTTAAAGTTTACAATAACTTTTATTGCCGTATATATGTGCATTAATCTCGAAAAACGTTTTACTTTGTGTATTATCAGTTCGCTCTTCCATTCTTATATTATCTGCAAACAACCGAGGAGTTTTATGAGATTGCTTCTAGAAGAAGAAAAAACAGGTCCCGAAAGACCTGTGGAATCCTCTTATGCAGGGAAGCCATTGTATATATCAATACCTACTTTCGAAATCAACCGTGTCACAAACAAGAACTTAAGGCCGACGTTTTAAGGCTCGGACAAAACAAAAGCTATAAACAGGTCGGAACATCCTCGTAAAAAAACCCCACACTGTTAAACGAAGCAATTTGTAGACGATCTTTCGCGTCCACGTCGATTCATGAATTAAACAGCGCCGCTTCGTTCGATGCGTGTGCCAAAAAATATGCAGAGGGGTCTCGTATATGTGTATAGAGGTATGCGTGGGTTTCGTCCGCGTTGATGTTTTTTTTTTTTCATCGTCGCACACAACTTGCGAAAAATGGCCGGGACTAATAGGCAGGAAGATAAAGTCGGGCCAATTACCGACGACCTGTGACTGCCAGTACTAGCATTGCACCTTTCTTCGTCGGTGGATTTTTCCTTGGAAATAAGTCTTGGGAAAACGAAAAAGAGAGAATGGTCCGATGTGGAGTTTTTGGGGATGTCGCGAAATTTCATCTTTTTTTTTTTCAAAATAAAACAAATTTATCGTTAGCGATTTATTGTATATACAGATGTACGCATTTTTGCAATCAATACGGATTAGAGTTTCATAAATAATCTCGTGGCTTTTAATTAAAAAAAAAATTTGCCCAAGAGAGAGAAAAGGAAAAACAAAACAAACGTCTTTTAGGTCCGCGTTCATAGTCGTTTCTCAAATCTTAAATCTCATCTTTAATCTCAAATTTCAGCTCTCGGATCAGAGCTGAAATTTGAGATTGGAGACGAGATCTAAGATTTGAGAAACAACTATGAATTTTTGGACCTTAAGCATTATTTCAAATGTTTCAGACTTCGATAATAATTTTGTCGCAACAATTCGTCACTCCCTACGTATAATTACATAAGTGTCACATATGGGATTTTCAGTTTATTGTGCATAGTGACACTCAGAAAATCATGTTCTTTGTGGTCACCAAGTATTAAAAAAAAATATTCATAAGTAAGGTAAAAAATTTAAAACCGAAAGATCCCTTAACTAGGGAAACTATATGAAGCTTCAAACTTTTAAACTGCTCTCCTCTAAAATTTGCGTTTTGAAGTTACGGGATTATACGTAGGGAGTGACGAATTGGAAAAGAAACTTATATAGATTACACTGTGCACAAAATTGTCATGCACAATTGTTATACATTAGTAGCTATGCGTAACGCAGACAATTTATATCGTTTATAATGTTTATATCTTTGCCTGATGGAACTGTGCCGTAAGGCGAGCGCGATCGACGGAATTTTCAGAAAAATACCGCGGCACACGCCACTGGGAAAACGCTAAAACAATCGATGGGAAAATATTTAGCTATCGAATCAAGCGCTCGAATCGAGCGTGCATGCTTATATAAACCGAAAGAGCGTGTTCTCGAAATATTTGTTACTCTTCAATAAAACGTTACCAATGGTTCACCGTTTTTGAAAAAAAAAAAAACTGGGTTATTTTTTATCCACACCCAAGTATTATTACTGACGTAATAATACTAAACTTGGCGTTGGCGTTTGCGCATTGAACAAACAGACGGAGTTTATATAATTAAATGGAAACGCGAGCGCGCGACGCAAACGCGGCTCGTTGATGATTACAAAATGCAATTAATTAATGATCACTCGTCGGAAACACGGCGCGCGCGGTCGCGAATATCACTGCCGCAGGAAAGTTTGCGGAATCCGCGCGAGTGTCCGTGTTTATCTAGTCTAGAGAGTGGTAGACAGACTAGCGGCGAATAGCCCGCTGCTGTCGTACAACTTGGCCGGGACTTTGCCGCAAAACATGTCCGCCATTTCGAGCAACGCTCAGTCTCGCATTGTACACTTCAGAGTGTACATACACTGCCCACTCACACCGTATCTTGTCAATTTAGTCCAAGTAGCTGCAACGCAGCAAGGATGGCAGTTTCGACCGCAGAACTGCAACGTTTCGTTCCTCGCCGGCGTCTTGAAAGACGCTCCCCCGTCCGCTAACTTGAGCAGTAAGATCACCCAGGGGATTACAATTGAGATTTCACAGTCACACACCGAGACCTGAGATCGATCGATGGGAACTGTTATAATTATAATAATAATAATAATATTTTATAATACAAATTATAATATTAAGATACAAAACAATTTTGCGCAAAAGCAGATATTTTTTTATGCTTGAGATGAAATTACATATCAGAAGCAACTTGTGATGTAATTTCTGACTTAACTTCGTTGACATCTTTGATTCTTCAGGTGGATGTTTCAATTAACTCGGTCACATAATTTGCACAAAAAAAAAAAAAAAGAAAAGCAAACAGGTAATACTGAAGTGTGTATCGTGATCTCTTGTGTCGAACAAACGAGTTTTTTTTGTTACATTTTCCGCAAGATGATTACGTATGAGAGATGACGTGTAAAAAAGAGAGAGAGAGAGAGAGAGAGAGATGGGAGTAGACAGAGAATTGTCGCAATTGAATGGTAATTAGTTTAAATGACACTTGAGAATGAGACGTTGCGGTTTGCTTTCATCATCCGTCGTTGTTTTTCGCACACGCAGAGAAGAAAACGCGCTACGAAGTTTGTCGCTTCGACATCCGTGTGGTAGATATATCTGACGATCTCATCATTCTCGACGTAGCCCACACGCATGTCAATCTTCTGGATACAATTAAGGTCACGATTGCGCGTGACGGCAATCTCTCTCGATCTTCTTTTTTTCCTTGGAGGAAATTGGTCGTAATTGTCTTGATTCGCCGGTTATTGAAAGAGGAAAAAAAGAGAAAGAGAGATAAGGAGAGAGAGAGAAAAAAAACACAAGTGCCACACGACTTTAGCGTTATCGACGTTGCATAACGTACATCGTTAAGAAACTTAAGTCAATATTTTAAGATAAAAATCGTTAAGAAACTTAAATCAATATCTTAAGATAAAAATTGTCAAATCACTATATGACTAGCAAAGAAATTTGACCAGCACTGATATTTATCTCTAAAGTTAATCGCGTTCTGATAAATTAAAAGAAACTTAATTAAGAATCTTATACATATAATGTGTGTATAAAAAATTCGTACAAGTAAGATTGTTGACTTATATATCTCGTTTTTTTAATTATTTTTTAATGTCAAACTTCCGTTGTCATCGTACAGGTGTGTTGTTATATTGATAATTAACTGCAGATTATGATTTACGTGGCAAATTATATAGATTATTCGATCGGAGAAATTACTACGTAATCACTGCGTATTTCTTTGCGTCTGGTTTTGAAGTTAAACTTTTTGAATTTAAAATTTTTCAAAAAAAAAAGACACTACATTTTGTGTATAATGAAATAGTTTTAGTTTAAAAACTGAATATGCGTTTTTATGTATTTGTATCAATTTTATATGTACAAAATTATATTATCATGTCAAATAGTTCTTTTTTTTGTGCACACAGTGTGTGTGTTTAGTACTGATAAGTAAAACAAGATAAAATAGATGAGTGTTCATCATGACGTAGCAAAATTTTATTTTTATCTCCGTCAAAATAACTGAAAACGATTTTTCTTCGTAATTGTTTATCATCAACTCTATAAAATTAAATAATAATAATTGTAGTTTAAAAATGCATTTTGTTCTAAAACAAAATAAATAGATACAAGGAAAATTGATGTTAATATTAGCATATATATATATGTATATAAGACGTACACATATATAAGATCTACACGTAACCCCTACCACTCAGTGTGTTACTGAGTCGTCGGTGCGTCGAAACGCTGAGTTAGTTCACTATATAATTGTGTATAAAAGTAGCTGGATCGATTATCGACTCGCCAGTTGATGGCAAAGATCCGCTGCGCGGCGCAAGTTGATCGCTCGTGCAAGTTGATCTCGCGAAAGTGCCGATCATCTGGTTTTTTCGTGAGCAAAGCAAACGCAATAATACATTAGAAAAAATACATTAGAACATGCGTCTAATTTACTCGTTCGTCGGCATCTTTTTGATCGCGGTGTGTCTTTCGTGCCGTTGCGAAGCCGGCAACAAGACCGCGTTTGTGAACACCGACAAGTCGAAACTTAACATTTTAGCTGTCTTTCCTCACCTCGGCAAAAGTCACTTCGATGTGTTCAAACCGCTCGTGGAGGAGCTGGCTCGTCGAGGTCACAACATTACCGTGATCTCGCACTTCCCCAGAAGCGAGAGCGCCAAAGCTAAGGAACCTCTGCCCGCTTACAAGGACATCAGCCTGGTGGATCCTAAGATCGGTGTCTTCGTGAACATCATAGACCTTCATCAGGTCGGCCAATATCAGTCGATATTTGGTCCTTTGATGAATCTTATCAGTCTCAGAGTCTTCGCTGATCAAGGATGCGGCATGAGCCTTCGAAACCCAGACGTCACGAAACTCCTTCGATCCAACGAGACGTTTGACGTGATTCTTAACGAGAACTTTAACACCGATTGCTGCCTAGGTTTTTCTTATCGGTTCAAAGCGCCCTATCTGAGTCTGTCGTCGCATCAGATCATGCCGTGGACTAACGAAGACATGGATAACGAGGACAACCCCAACTACATCCCGTCAATATTGACGGGCTACACCAGACCGATGAGTTTTGTCGATAGAATAATGAATACGTTGATTATGTCAACGCAAAAGATAATGTATGACTATTGGTTTCGACGTAAAGACAGAGTCTTCGCGGAAGAGGCTTTTGGTCCCGACCTCCCTGATTTAAAAGAGATCGCCAAACAGGCGCAGGCGCTGCTGGTGAACACTCACTTCAGCATTCACGGCAGCAGGTCTTACGTGCCAAATGTGGTGGAGGTTGGTGGACTTCACATTCCGTCCAAAATTAGTCCGCTACCGAAGGACATCGCCGAATTTCTCGACAATGCGCACGAAGGTGTGCTCTATTTCAACATGGGCTCCATGATTAAGTTAACGACAATGCCGGAAGAAAAGCTAGACGTTATATTCAAAGTGATCGGCTCGCTACCGCGGAAAGTGATCTGGAAATGGGAAGCTGACGAGCTGCCGCGCAAATTGGACAATGTGATGATCAAGAAATGGCTGCCTCAGTTTGACGTGCTAAGTAAGTATAGACAGAAACGTGTTCTCTTGCTCTCAACCTTGAAATTTAACCGGGCCTTTATTCAGTCTCAAACGTTCGATTTTTTTTTGTGCGACCGACTGTGAGAGTGAAAACCCAGAAGCATAGGATTGTACACAAGTGCTAACTACCGCTACCTTTACACACTTGGCACGAAACTCTTCCGTGCCGAATATAAATAAACTCGAGTTCTGTGTCTTTTCTGCAAAAAATACGCGGGTTAGTTTGTATTTTGTAGATCAATGACAGAAATTTATGTCCGTTAATTTACATTTTTACTTGTTATGTGACGTGGACTAAAACTGAATTTTCATGAAACCCGAAGCAAACAGAAGATAAAATGACAAAACACGTAATATTATTGTCTCTTAGCGTGTATGAAAAAATAAAATACGCGGTTTTCTAAAACAAAATTATTGAAAAAAAAAAGTATTAAATTATCGAGCTTGACACGCGGAATACTCGAACGTGTCTGTTTATTTATAATTTTACAAAACAGAGTTTCGAGTTTTTATTAGAAAACTTTTTTGAAAACAAAATATAGAACAAAGTATATATATTTCTTTTTACTTTTAAATATAATATTTGTTATATATAAATTTGTTACGTATCCGATGGATATTGTTTATATTTCACGCAATATGCTCTTCTGCAATATTTCTGAAAATCCGACTGTGCTATTTATAGAAATGAACGAACGAATAATCTTGACGTGAAATCCAAAGTTCAGCCAGCATAAATCGTAATCTTATCACATGTGTCGCAGAGTGGTCAAGGCGATTAGTCGATAGTTATTCAATTCCTCGTGACCTGCGACTTACGTATAAAAATTCGGTAAACAAACTATAACACCTACGTCTTTTCGGTCGTGCGTGTAATTAATATTGAACAAGAAAAAACAAAAGTCATTATATAACATTAAAACGTTGTTTCAGATTTCCGATATTGGAAATTTTCAAGTAAACATACGATAAATTATTGTTTATCTAAAGTATCAACGTTACGTCACTTCGACTTTATTGACATGATGAAACGTCGGTCACATTTATACATACCGTCACGAACCCAGTTTTTGATCAATTGTTAAAAAAGTATTATAGTAAGGTTTTGGTTATAAAAATTTGTCCGAAAAAATTTTTAGCATAATAATTAATTATTGCGACATCTACGTACCTCTTTTCGAAGGAATTTTTATGACTAAAAGCTTACTATAATACTTTTTTAACAAACTGACCAAAAATTGGATACTGATCAAAAACTGGGTCCGTGACGGTATATAAATATACGTTACAACGTAACATCACGTAAACGTTTGCTGCTACCGACATGTTTTATTGTGAAATACTAACGTTGAGGAAAGATAACGATAACGATAACGATAACGAAGTTTAATTTTATCTTCTTTCTTGTTATTTTCTAATCAGATCAAATCGTAATTGAAGACACACACATAAACCATCAAATATCATATTATACACAAAAAACTTTTATAGTGATTATTTTTATGCTCTGCTAATAAGAAAAACGTCTACTTGCCGATTATCACTCGATCAAAAGTAGTTGTACCTTGTACTGAACAAACACGAATCGATCGCGCGATAAATTCAACGACGTAGATCGCGAATGCTTCCGCTTTGCGACAACCGTTTCCGCGAATCACGGATTGCGCTTTTACAGCAGCCCGAGCCGTGCCGCGGATTTGCAATGGTAATGTCCTGCTAAAAATTTCACCGGGTCGTTTTAGACACCGTTTGACATATTTTATTGCCCTCGCGCACACCGAGCGGTCGCGTTCTCGATGATCGACGGCCGCACCTGCGGTGCGCGAGTTTTATTTTTCCCCGCCAGGTTTTTGTTTCTCGTCGTTGTTGTTGTTCTTTTTTTTTTTTTGCCTTTTTATCGCGTTGTTTACGGTTAAACTGCACCGCTCGACGAAACGCGTGTTATTCCGTTCGCACGCCCCTTTCAGACTTGCTCTTTTCCTATTTGGTAATAATGCTGTCTCTCCTCGACCGGTGTTTTCCCACCACGTGACTTCAAAAAACTGTTAAAATATTGAAATATGACCGAAATCGAAAATATTAGAATATGAAAACTTACTTTGTTTTTGTTTTTGTTTTTTTTTTTTTTAGTAGTTTCTGCCCTCGTGATATTGTGTTTATCTTCATTTTTATTCGCATATTTTATCTTTGTCGTCAACGGACAATATAAATGATTTTCCAGAAAAATGTTTGGCTAAAAGCTTTTTTTTTTTTTATCGTGCAACGTTCATTTAGAAAACAATTGCATGTCGATAAACATGACGAATGAATGCGTGATTACGTAAACTCATATCTCAATAACAAGTTCTACGGGTGAGATATATTTCTCTTTATTCATTGCGTCTTTACGAGTGAAATATCATTATACTCACTCACTAATTTAATACCATACGATATTTTTCGACCGCGTAATGCAATCGCTACGCGTAATTTTACACTGGATTGTCTTACAATTCGTCAACAAACGCAAGTGCCAACGATAACGCGTGTTCTACTGTTACATGACCGATTTTTACGATCGAAGTCTTAAATGCAAATGTTTGTAAAATTCCTTATCTAAGCGAGTACATGTATTTGCATTGAAAAATTAAAATAAATAATAGATAAGTAGTATAATAATAAATAAGTATAATAATAGATAAGTTTACAAACCAAAAAGATAAAGGATTATAAAAGTTTTTATATTATATATTAGAGTTTATTTAATTCTTTTTACAAAATATATTTTAATTCTTTTTTAAATACGTTGTCTGTATTATTTATTGTAAACTACAAAATTATAGTTTCGATAAATTCGTAAAGTTTTGAGACCGGAACAGAATTCGAATTTTTAAAAATATTGAAATATATATTTAAGTATCAGACATATATAGTTGCATAAATTATATTGATAGCTTTCGGAAAGTAATTTGTAATTTGTAATTTTTGTCGGTGGGAAAATTTATGCAGATGTAAAGACAAATAATAAAGAATTTTTTTGTCAGGGAAGAACAGTGAGAATTCATATTGCGCGATTACGTGTTATTCAGCCGTGCCCCCGAATAAACGTATCTATTCGACCATGACCGCGAGAAATTGGAATACTTCCGGAAAGAGCGCCGGGATTCCCCGGCCGGCAGCAGCACGCGCGCATGGCGAAACTAATCGCGCCGAATCGCGGCGGAATCGGTCCGCGCGCGTGAAACACCGAAAGCGGCTTTCCGAATCCCGGAAACCGTACGGTAGCTACGGTATGTGCTATTGAAGCGCAGGACCACGCGCGGGGGCGAGCGTCAAATAGTTTTGAACGGCCAAACCGGAAAGCGGCCCCGACATATTTGAGAAGCTTTTGGTGCTTCTGCAAACGATTCACGCCAATTTCTGTCGAAATAGCAATACGCGAAACGAATGTCGAGGTAATGGTGAATTCGCGATATGGTACAAATACTAGTAATACTTATATAAATATTTAGATAGCTTTGTGGTCAAAATTGTCTCAATATAACATATAGATGTCGCTAAGACTTTTATCACTCACATGTTTTTGTTCGACTGTCATTTGTAAATTACTTAAAGTAATCTCTTTCACCGACACAAATTGACTTAATAACGAGAAAAAATTCTTCAGACCGCAAAAAAGAGTTAATTAAGTAATTAACGCAGTGTTTTCTCTTACCCATCTGTCAATGGATTTCTAACTCTCGTTTATTCCAATTCGCTCCAATTAGGAACTTCTTGCCGACTCATTTTCATCCGAGTCTTCGTCGACTCGGAGATTGCCTTTCGACGCGACCGTCATGTAAATTTATCCACCCGGCTATAACGTGTCTCGAATACTACGGCAGTTTTAGTGCCCCGGGTCATTTGCTTGTGCGGAGGGGCGCGGACAGCAAGAGTGCGCGCCTACTGTGCGCCCGCAGAAAGCCGACGTAGAAACGGGGGGATAGAAAGCGAGAGGAGAAACTGTCGCGAGAATTTTCGCGTAAGCAGTTTTGCAGCCCGGCCTCTGTCGAGTGAAACGACTTTAATTAGGCAACTCGCTAACGACCCGACGGCAACATAAATCACCGTTAAACCTTCCCGGCTGCACCGAGAACTACCCTCATCCCTTGTTGTCTCTCTCTCTCTCTCTTTCTCTTTTCTTTCTCTCTGTGTTCGCCGCGATGTCATTTCCAGCGCTTCTTCTGCTCATTGCGACGGTCCATCACCGTTCGCGGCGGGCAAAGCACTTCACTATTTACGCACCGTATTTACTAATGAACTTCTTAAGAAATATTGTTTAACGATAATTTGAGAATTGTTTTTCTGCACAAAAAAACTCGGTGCTGCTATGGTTTTTATCGTATTTTACTTTCTACATATATATATATTCTTAGTTAGCTTCCTAATTTCCTGGAATTCATGCTAATGATTTAGAAACAAGTAATAGATCTCTCTAGATCAAATTGGAGAAAATTAATTTTTGAATAAAAATATCCCGAAAAATATTTTTCGATAAATCTGTAAATATGTTGCACGTTATTTTTTCATCCGTTTTGCTAACAAATCATCTTGTAAGATAAATAACCTTTCGACAAAATAACCGACACGCGAAATAAGAACGATCACGTATGCGCGTGTAGTATTGCGCAGTTGTAGTATTTGCAAGTATTGCGTGTCAGAGATGACGAAATACTTTGTAAGCGTTATAATTGCTTTTTAAATTGTCTCTAGTGAATACAAACGTATACAGCTAGGAATTATACAAGTAATTGCGCACAAACTTATCGCAACAATTTACATACAGTATCCTTCGCATGTTATCGACATTTTTCCTTTAATCACATAGCGTAGCAAATAAAATGCACTTTATCTAATAATTGTTTATTCAAGTGTTTTTATCAATGTTTTTAGTACATACGTGTACGCGCACATGCATATACATGTGTTAAATATTATCGCTGAAATTATGTTGATTAAGTTGAGAATTAGATAATCTTATCGCCAACATTGTGAAACGAGCATTTAGAACACAATCTCTTTCATTACAGTTTATGAGATGAAGAAATTTTTTCGCTTCGCACCTTGTTGCCTTCGTTGCGCTGTACGTATATCGTGTGCTTTTGTGCGAACTAAAAAAAAAAAAAAAATTATATCTCCGCAATATATCCCTCCCTTGATGAAAAATGAGCTTGCCTCTGCTAAACCCCCAGAATTGCAATTGCGAAACTCATACGTGCCTTTGATTAACTCGATTATTCTTTCTTCTTTATTATTCATGTCTCTTTGTTTTCTCTCTTTTTTTTCTTTTTTTTTCTTCTCATTTTTTTCTACACACCGACTGTCTTTATTTTTGTCTCCCAGCCTTTTCGTCGAGTTAATACGCAAAATATCGTCTTTCATCTGTCTCATCCCTCAAAGGTTATCAAGAGTGGAGATAAAAACGTGAAAATTGCAGACATGACTTTTAATTTTTTTTATTATTGATATTTTTCACACACAAATGTTTATGTACATTTTGAAAATCGTATCTGTGTCTCGAACCGAGACTGGATAAAAATGTATCTGACGATATTTCGTCACGTCAAAAGATCGAACTTAATTGCGTTTATCATAATCGTACTATCAATCACGTATCATGAGCAAAACTTAATGTGTGTGCACAAATAATGAGCTCGTCATAATATCACAGAACAATTTTTTTCTTTCAAATCAAATTGTTTTTTTCAACAATTTTTTTCTCTCTTACTGTGACACATTTCGGATAATCTTTGAATAAAACTATGTCGTAAGTTGGTCAGACTCTACGATCGATCGCTTTAATTTTATTATCTCACTTCGTGACTGCTGCACCATCTTGATCTCCTCTCTTTTCGATCGCTCGCTCTTCCTTTTGCTCATTCTCCCGCGCTCGTTCTCCCTCCGAAGCTAGTTCCGCACTTCTCGCGTTCTGTTTTCTCTTCTCTCTCTTTTTTTTTTTTTTTTTTACAATCTCTTCGAGAGATCGTGTTCAAGGTTTTTAAAAAAAAATTTTTTTTTGATGAAATACTGAAGTTAAGCGCAGTATATCACGGAAGCTAAATTCTTAATGAGACGTACCACCTTGTGTCTTAATTACAAATATCGATCGCGTGTTAAAAAGTATGTGCTTTTCTCTTCAGGCATGTACATAAATTGCTCGTAGAATGTTCTTACATTTATTATCTCACAGCTTGAAAAATGATTAAAAACAAAAAAGTGGTGTCGTGTGAAAAATAATTTGTTCCGTTTTGTTTCTATTTCTATTTTCATATTGTGTCAGGACTCACGGACGAAAGCTATGCCCGATTCTCGGTAATATTATCCTTTACCGCTCGTCACACGACACGGCGAATAGCGTCTATTCGTCTGCAACGCGTCGTCGTCGTCGTCGCGGGGGTGCATCGGGGGATTTTTATATCGCGCGTGATTTACCACACGACGACGACGACGACGTGGAAATCTCAGCGCACGGATCTTCGCGCGACGAAGAGAGATCTCGCTCTCTCTCTCTTTCTCTTCGAGTTTTCGTCATCGACATACGTGTATCTCTCGCGCAAAATTCAAACCGAGCCGATAGATATCTCTTGTCACGTACTATATACACCGTATAGTGGTACATACACACCGCGCGGAAAGATGATATCGAAGGATGACATCGAGGAGCGCGCGAGACCTCGAGATGTGCGACTGCACTCGCATCGTCGAAAAAAAAAGAGAGAGAGAAAGATAGATAGATAGATAGATAGAGACCGCATATCCTCTCGTGGCGCGAGATGCGTGAATGTATTTTGCGATGGGCGGATGTAAACGCGCAAACCTCCCAACCTCTCGCAAATGTATCCGCGTGTACCCCCACGGACCGACCTCCGTATTGCGGCAGCCGATGGCTGGCGGTAATGGAATTTGACATTAGGATCGACGCCGGAGGTGAGCTATCCGGCTTCCTATATATGGGCAAAGGGAATACAAGCAGTCACGAGAGAGGACGGGAACGAGACTTTTATCACGAATGCCTCGCGGCCGTTGAAAATCCCCGCCGCAAATGCGACGCACTGACTACCGACGCGCTAGGTAGAACGTCGCGTCGTCGCACGTGCGCCCTTATCGCGAGCAAAAACCAGAAAACAGAAATTTAAATATGACAGATATGTGCGTACGAAATCGATCGTCTTGAGGATTGTGGAATTGTCGACGAATTATTACTATTATTAATTAATTATCAGGAAATTAATCATTAAAAACACGGCAGTTAATGATTAAAATGCGGTCAGGTATTGGAACGCGTTCGTTGCTTTTTTTTTTTTATATACACAAGGCGCGCGCTACGCGCACGCTATTATTGCTTTTATTTTAACGTGTAGTGTGAGTGAACTTAACCTGTCACCACAATGACAGCTAATATATACGTCCTACAAACAATATAATACACATGATGTGCATATGAGAGGTGTCAGAAATAACGCATGAAAATCAAACTCAAAAAATAAAAGAAAAAAGGGAGAATGGAAAAACAACACGTGACTAAAGTCAGTGACCTCGCCGCGGTCGCGCGACCGGGTCAGTGACCCCTCCCCCACCAAGGCCGCGCGCCCGAGGTCAGTGCCCCGCCAAGGCCGCGCGGCCGAGGTCAGTGACCCCGCCAAGGCCGCGCGGCCGAGGTCAGTGACATTACTGTAGTATGTATATAATACATATAATACAATATAAAGTATAATATTATAAATATATAATAAATTATATGTATAATATGTATTATTTAATGTTATATATAATGTAAATTTTACAGTCACGTTATTTTCACGTGTTGTTTTTCTACTCTTTCCTGTCAGGTGACTTTAGTTACGTTTTTAATTTTCTCTACATATACGACGAACTGTCTCAAAATCGCTTTTCATTATTTAATCTCTCGATCTTACCGATTCGATTTAACTCGATCAACCAACCAACCAAATCGGCAACGCGGAAAAGAGGCAACAATAGATGCGATACATTCGATATCAAAACGCGCACTTCGCGGTACACATGGATTTTTTATATAGAAGGAGGATATATACAAGAATGATGTAATATTTTAATTCGCCTTTATTCGAGACAAAAGAGAATCTTGATGAAAGCATTACTGAATAATGATTGAAAAAATCTCAGACTTTGATATCAGCGGACGTTAATGAAGTTTAAGCGCGGAAAGCGTTGCTCCTTCTACATTAATTATGCAGAGTTACATTAGCATTTACGCTTCTCTTCCTCCTTATAAAAGATAACTACATCGTGTACAAAGCTGCGATAGTGGAGAAGCGTCATATTACAACAAACAAGTATTGAAAGCAATATACATGTAACGTAGATAAATTTGTTATTTCTTAGTAAAGTCTCATCGCGTTCACTTGTTATGTTCAATATGTATTGTTCAGATATGTAAATGTTTCAGACACATACCGATATTTCAGTCGTATATGTAAATTTTGATCGCAAATGTTTCTCGCTACCTGCAAAATATGGTAATCGGAATATCTTTATCTGCCTCGACACCTCGAATCGCCCGAGGTGCGACTGTTATTATCGACGCGCGCGCACAAGAAGGGGAAGAGAGAGAGAGAGAGAGAGAGAGAGAGAGAGAGAAAGATGAGCTGTTGTTAATGAATTAAACTCGTAATTTGCGTCACGATCAATTACGAATTACCGAATCGAATCCGTAATTTGGCCGTTAATTGCATTGTAAATTATAGATTCTTCGTTATATTAAGCGCACACGCGAGCGCGCGGAGTGTATGCGTAATTAATCAATTAAGGGCTTGTCGTCCGCGCGGAAGATTATGCGTTTCTGGCAATTCCATTTAGGGCCGGAGTCATTTGTAGAACGGCTCCGTTTACGCGCGCGTTACACTCCTCGGGGCAGAACATTCTCTCTCTCTCTCTCTCTCTCTCTTCGTTGTCGAGTGAGTATATATACTGACGTGTACTTTTCTGCTCCACCTTTAAGTGTCTTTTACTGCCATTTATTGGCCCTCGGGCCCTTATTTTTTTGTAGTCTAACATCGGCTAAAGCTCTTTGCNTCTCTCTCTCTCTCTCTCTCTCTCTCTCTTTCTCTCTGTAATCCTAAACATTTTTTTAGTGCAAATTGCGATTTGAATATTTTTGGCGTGAGCGGAGAACGGACTCTGCGCTATCGGCTTTGTAAATTGAGCTATTGTTTACAACGTCGTTGAAAAGGCTATTGCACAAACCCGTCGAAATACTAACAGTGTTGCTATCAAACGAAACAACGTTTCAATTGATTCTAGCCAATAAACTAAATAAATTAATTCCTTTTTTTTTTTCGTTTCGTGTTTTGTTTTTATTTGTTGTAACTTTTAGTTTTTTATAAAATTTTCACACACACGTGCAACGAAATAATTGTTATCTTGTTTTTTTTTCATGTTTTTAACACACACTTTCATTTATTTAGTTCTCGATATTCTTATTTGTTAACAATTTAATTTGCCATTTCGACGTTTGGACTTGATTTTTTTTTTTTTTTTTTCAGATCATCCGAACGTCAAGTGTTATCTGGGCCATGGCGGTCTTCTCGGACTCTCGGAAGCAGTCTATGCAGCTGTGCCAATGGTTTTAATCCCGATGTTCGGCGATCAGCATCACAATGCAGGCGCTTTGAAGACCAGAGGTTCCGCAATAGTGCTCGAATACAATAATCTGAACGAGCAGTTGCTCAAACACGCTCTGGACGAAGTCTTCAACAATACCAGGTACATTAAAGATTCATTTCGATCTGAAAAAACAATAACAGCGTGCGCGCGTACGCGCGCCTGCGTTGTGCTAGCTCAATGCAAATAAGAGATTGACAAATCTTAATTTGCGGCGATTATTTCATTAGAAACGAGAGATAAAATCACCGATTCAACCGTCAGGCAAAGTGTCCGGTAAAGTGTCGGCGATAATTCTTTTGAATTTTTACCGGTGAATTTTTGGCGCGGGAATTGCGCGATTACGGTATCAAGCTCCCGATGCCACCGATATCGGTTTACGTTAAAAATTCTCTCGCGCGCGAGAGATGTCGCGTAGTGCGAGCGGAGAAACGCGCGGGAAAACTGAGGGACGGAAAAAAAGGGATCGCGGTGAAAAAAAGAAGAATTGCATAATCTGTCCGGATATTCGCTCCGTTGAATATCTCACGAGCCGTCCGGACGTACCGGATATCCGGCAAGTGCATCGTCGTTGCTGCAACGCGCAGCCGAGGCGCCTCGTTAATCCGTGGCGCGGCTCACTGGCGCTCTCCAACCTTCCCTCTTCTCTTTCCCTTCTCTCTTCGCCACCGTCAGCTTTCATCCTACCACGGAGAAGCATCTCTTTCTTTTTGCCTAACGCTTTACACCATTGTCTCGCTTGTTCTCCGAGAGAATAGGTTCGCGTTGCTTTGGCAGGAAAAAGAGAGAGAAAACTGATGAAAGAGAGAGAGAGAGAGAGAGAGAGAGAGAGATGGAGACGAAGTGGTCCATCCAGGGTGTATCCAGTACTCTTGGCGTGACCCTCTCTCTGGCAGGCGATTTTTTTCTCACTTTCGACACGCGCTCTTTTCTCTCGTCGCAAATTCGAGACACGAATCGCGGAAAGAGCGGACGTGTTCCCCGGATAGTTGTCTCTTTTCTCTCTTTCTCTCTTCTCTCTAATATCCCTCGCTTCCTCGTCGATCGACAAACACGCGGGATCGAGCGAGCACGGCTAGTCCGCGAGCGCGCGCGCGCGTATCCGGCGTGGGAAATCACATGGGAAATTTCGCGAGCGCTAAATGTTTCACGAGAGCACCGAATCAACGGGCACGCCGTCGATGACGACGAGAAGGCGGGTCGAAATGAAATTTTACATTATTCAAATCCGCTCCGCGCGCCCACTCTCTTCCGCGTGCCTATCCTCGTCCTCACTTCTGGCTAAGTACGGTCAACTTGTTAACCGCACGCGCCCGCAAACTGTATAACCCACCCTCGGCACGATATACTCTAGGGGGGGGGAGGGGGTCGAAACGCGTAGGAAGTTTGGAGAGAATAGAGGTCGAAGGAAATCCCGCGAGACATACGGCGGAGGAACTGTAACTTTCTTCATTTGACGTAACTGACTTCTTCAGAATTTTTATGACAATGGCGAGTTTCTGCTTTGTACGTGGAACGTGTGTGGGTGGTCTTTCTGTAGACGTGTGTAGAAAGAGGTTTCCCAGAAGAGATCCGATTCGAATTGACGTTAAAATTTCCGAAGAGTCGAAGCGAATTAAAAGAGGAAAGAGGATTTTATATTGTTTTGTAAAAAAAAAAAAAAAAGAAAAAAAGTGTTCAATCGATTCAACCGCATCGCAGATTTAATTTACTACGGAATTGCTTATGTAATTCGAAAGTTTTTTTTTTCGCGCGCGCTTTGATATTTTAATTAACAAGAAATGTGCACATTTACGTTTAATTGCCGGTTTCGTTTAATGAATATATCTTTATGAAATTTCATGTTGCTTCATATCGTTTTCATATTTCACCCGACATTTTTCTAAATTTAAAAAGAACGTAATATCGCGTGCGCGCGCGCGCGCGACATCCCTCTGCTAAATATAAACGCAACAACACACACACACACACACACACAAAATCAGAGATGCGCGACAGAGAAATTTATGAAATTTTAAACGCCCGAGCGCCTATGGCCATAAGTTTTCACTGTAAAACTTTTCTGACTGTCATGCGTTTATCTTTCGCTAACGCTAATAGCCCTGCTTTGTGTCGTCGTAATCGCCGGTAGCAGCTACTTCTTTCGAGGCTTCTGACTCGTACTCCGCATTAAAACGTGCGGCTCCTGTTTTTCTTCTTTCTCACCGCGAGACTTCGCATTCGCGGAGCGCGCCGACGAATGACAACGAATATAATTTTTAATGCACGCGCTGTGTGTTTACGGCAGTTTTAATTCCAGCAAAAAAAAAAAAAAGTAGAAGAAACTTGCGATTCAAAAGTTGTATTTTCTTGTTAGAAAAAGATTCTAAGAAAGATTATTGTTATACCGTCAAATAATCGTTTGTTATTATATCACACGAATAAATACCTTGAGGTTTCCAATCAAATGGAAATTACATTTGTAAGTTTCGTGGTAATGTGCGCTTGGTTTGTCGGATCAGAAGAAACAATTACATTTGTAAGTTTCGTGGTAATGTGCGCTTGGTTTGTCGGATCAGAAGAAACAAGGGAATTCCAAAACGTAAGAAAAAAAACTTATCGCAATTGTACGGCGGTTGATGAAACGAGGATCGAAACTTATTCACGAACTCGCGTAATTCTCGGCCCGTCTTATTCAAAGTTCTGTATGATTAAACGTTCCTCAATATGTCCGTAGACGCGGTCGACAGAGCGAAGTAATTGCAGAAAATTGCGAATTTAAGAAACGTGACTTGACGTAACGCGTAATTGTTATTACTTGCGTTTCACTTTAGCCGGTAGCTTTGTTCTCGATGAGTCTTTCTTCGCCGAGGAGATTTTTCCAGGAGAAACACAATTTAAAAAGCACATGGAACAAAACCCCTGTTCGAAACACGATTGCTAATCATTCTGGAAAATGATTAGTAATTACGGTTCATAAGAAAATCACTAGCACTTTTCCCTCTTGTGTGACTCATGTGTTTATTACAAAACACTAATGAGTACGTTTTTTGTAGCTAATTGTTCGAAGAACAAATTGAAATTGAATTATCAACGGTGTGCGTGTGACAACTACACGTAATTAAAATATAATTAAATATAATTATGTCATCAAAAACTACGGCGACTACGAACACAAGACTCGTGAATTTTGTTTTCACGGTTCGCTAAACGACAATGAAACAGAACCGAATAGCGATAACTGTCTGTTATCGCGGCAATAAAACACGTCTGATGTGCCACAATAGTAAATATGCGAGTCACTTTTTTCAACGTGTGTGACACGTCACGCCACTGGCCGTCGCGGCCGTGTCCTGTATATGCGACTCCAGATGATAATCCGACCGGGCGAGATAAAGCCGGCTTAATAAATCAGTGCGGATATGAAACTGTTGCGCCTGGATGCTCGTTTTCGCGTCATACGACACTCCTTAACGTCGCTGTAATCACAATGTCATCGGATTTACGAGCACCCGCCGCGCCCGCCGCGGACCTTTAGCTAAGAATCTGCTAAAGTTGGGCGATTCATATACGCGCGCGATTCCAGTTTCATTATAATACCCTTCTCAGAGACGGAGAATTTATTCACCGGTATATTATTTATTCACTCGACCTCGAAGCACACAAACGATCCTTACAATAATGATATTTTATCTTGTCTCTCTCTCTCTCTCTCTCTCTCTCTCTCTCTCTTTTTCTCTTTGTTTAGATCGTACAAAGCGAGAAAAATATTTATTACAGTTTTTACTATGTACACGCACATAAAATGTAATTTTTTTAAATTTAATTGTACCGAGAAGATAATATTTGATTTAAACTAAAAGATATAGAACCGGTTACTTTCAAATCTAGCGTTTTCAAGTTTGATTAATGATTCATTTAAATCAAGACTCGAAGTAGACTGTTCCTCTTTCTTTCTTTCTAAAATTTCTCGCACGTAAATGAAATTTTTAACGCTCTGAGAAGATTTAAATTCGATAATTATATTTAATTTGCGAAGTAGTTAATACATATATATAAATGGTTCGCGTCGCAAGATTTCTTGGCCTCGGCTTCTAATTTGTAAAGCGATTCTAATCTGATATGCGTTTCAATGTTCAATGCGTCGACAATAGCGAGCGCGATTATTGAAATTGATCAGATGTGCGCATCAGTACTATCAAATGCGTTATGGCGAGGCCGCATTGTTTTAGAAAATACGATGCAATTATTCGAATGCGATATTATATGAGCGGAGATAGAACACACACCGAATTATCGGACGCTTTGAAAATGCCGCTAACATCATTTTGGACGATGATGCCGCCGTCATACCGGGTTCATAACGTGGTAATTACTATCCGTTACAAATTTGTCCCAACAGAAAGGTGCATATTAGAGGGAAATATGCAATATACAATCACACGTGTGGTAGGTAAAATCACGATCTCGCAAACCCGTATCTCTTTCTTGCGGCTGATGAAAAAAAAAAAAAAAAATGTATTCGTTAAAATTAAACCTTGTAACGCACGCGCGCGCGCACACACACACACATACGTCACGTTTCTGCGCGCTCTTGTGTATCTGAAAATTATTAAAAAGAAATCTGCATAAATGAAAATATATCACATAATAATCGCGAAACGAAATTTCGACGAAATGGTTTTGCAAACGCGCGTCGTGTCTTGAAATTGAAACACGAAATTAAAATACAAAATTACATTATGAAACAAATACGAGCGACGATACTGAAAATATATAGGTCCGGTTTGTTGTCCTGTGTAAAGGCAAACGTGGTTTTAACATTACAAATTGTGCATTGAATTACGTTTCGTTTCTGTCGTGGCGGCTAAAATAATAGAAAGCCGCGCGCATAATGCAGTCTCGATAATGAAGGGAATTAATTAACGGGGGTAAAACGTTATATATTCGAGCAAAAAGTAAATGTTTGATGAAAGAGCGCAATTCGCGGGGATTGGAATATTTACATTTATCGCCAACTTACAACATAGTCCGCGGGATCCCCGATGCAATAAATGTGCGAAGTAAATCGACAGAGCGCTGTTTTCCTCGATTCGTTTAAACATGCGGGCAATTTCGCGGGA